CTCCCCCTCACCTTCCTTCTCCCTCACTTCTATCTCCACGGCTCTCTCTCGGGCTCCTCTACACCTGTGCTGCTCGGTTGGGGGTATCTTAACCCCTCTACTGCTCGCCTGGGTCACTTCCACACCTCTACTGCTCTGTTGGGTCACTTCCTCACCTCTACTGCTCTGTTGGGTCACTTCCTCACCTCTACTGCTTTGTTAGGCTACTTCCTCACCTCTACTGCTCTGTTGGGTCACTTCCTCACCTCTACTGCTCTGTTGGGTCACTTCCTCACCTCTACTGCTTTGTTAGGCTACTTCCTCATCTCTACTGCTCTGTTGGGTCACTTCTACACCTTTACTGCTCTGTTGGGTCACTTCCACACCTGTACTGCTCTGTTGGGTCACCTCCACACCTGTACTGCTCTCCTGGGTCACCTCAACACCTGTACTGCTCTCCTGGGTCACCTCCACACCTGTACTGCTCTCCTGGGTCACCTCCACACCTGTACTGCTCTCCTGGGTCACCTCAACACCTGTACTGCTCTCCTGGGTCACCTCCACACCTGTACTGCTCTCCTGGGTCACCTCCACACCTGTACTGCTCTCCTGGGTCACCTCCACACCTGTACTGCTCTCCTGGGTCACCTTCACACCTGTACTGCTCTCCTGGGTCACCTCCACACCTGTACTGCTCTCCTGGGTCACCTCCACACCTGTACTGCTCTCCTGGGTCACCTCCACACCTGTACTGCTCTCCTGGGTCACCTCCACACCTGTACTGCTCTCCTGGGTTGTTGTTGTTATAGATTCAGCTACTCGGAACAAGTTCCAAGTAGCACGGGCTATTGTGAGCCCGTAACTTACCTGGCACAGGAGCGGGTCAAGTAGCACGGGCTATGGTGACCCCGTAGTGGACTTACCTGGCACAAGAGGGGTGCTGAATGTGCTGTGTGTCCTCTCCTGGGTCACCTCCACAACTATATAATCATCCTGACCAAGGTCATCACTTCTGTCCTGAGTAATCCCCACACATGTAGTCACCCTACACAGCACTACGTTTGAGTCATCCACCACATCAATTGTAACCTTTACTAAACGGATCACTCCCATACATACACTTCCCTTTTCCAAAACCTCCACACGTGAACTACTCTTGGACCACTCCCACACCTGCACCACGCTCTCCTAGCTGGATCACTGCATGGAGTATGTTCTTACAATCAGAAAGTCCCATAGTTTATTGTTCTACGACAAGGTCGCCTTAAGAGAATGATGGGTGAATTATGTCCTAGATTGCTAACAAGGCCTTGATACTGTCTCCAACAATAGGCTGATGTATAAGTCAGAAAAGCATACTGTGGTAACAAAGATATTTTAGATTGGATAAGAGGGTATCTGATAAACAGGAAATAGTAAATTTAAGTTACAAGAATAGTAAGAATATATAGAAGTGCCGGCCTACTTTGACTACTATACTGTTCCTGATTTACGTAAATGACTTTCCGAAGAGGACAGGTGATCGCGATAATAGATGAAGATCACGAGGTCCTTCATCCGGTGAGACAGACCTAGCCCTATATTATATATATAATTATATATTAGCACAAACCCAAAGGGACAGTGTAAGGAATAAATATACTTTTATAGTTGCTCTAGACAACTTCTTCGATGCTTTTCACCCACAGGGTTATAAACCCATGGAACCGCCTACCCCTCCGAAGCCGTAAATGCCAAAACTGTTAAATTTTAAAATCCAACTGGAAAAAATTATCAGGGTAAATAGGGAAAGCGAGATCAGGGCAAAGCCGGCGGCTTGTCCTGTCCTCGACGAGGACCACTAGTGTTGGTGGCCCTCAGGTAACTTCAAGTAAATAATGTGCTTAATACAGGAACAATCCCTCAGCCTCTTGGGAACAATGTCCGGAATTTAAATTGTTTTTACGCAAATGTCAGAATCCTAGTAAATAAATTTGACGCATTGTGTGCAAACGCCGATGAGACGGCACCGCTCCTGTGCCAGGTAAGTCCACTACGGGCTCACCATACCCCATGCTATTTGCCCCACTCCTGTGCCAGGTAAGTTATGGGCTCACCATAGCCCGTGTTACTTGGAACTTGTTCAGAGTAGCTGAATCTATAACAACAACAACAAGCATACGCCAAGGCTGAGAATCCCGACATCACTGGAATCAGCGAAACACAGACGAGAAGACATAAATGAAAGGGTTTTCCATCTTCCAGATACCATCCACTTTCAGAAAAGAACAGAACAACAATAGCAGGTGACATAATACTATATAAAACAGGTCTTGATTGCAACCAGTTGCGAGGAATAAAACATCAATGGAAACGCAGAATCGGTATTGCGTAATGTACTAACTCAAAATGGCAGCAAGTGACAGTGGGAGTAGGCTACAGTGCAGACACAGCAACAGTAGAGGAAGTTACTGCATAATGTGATTAATGCAGCCATTGAAGCTCAAGCTCATATAATGGGAATTTTAGCCATGAGATAATAGATTGGGTGAATCTAACCTCACAGATGGAAGGAGAACAATTTCTAGACCTAGTATATGACTGCTTTTTCATACAGAATATGCAAAGAGCCTATACTTGAGGCTACAGCATTCTTGATCTTATGCCAACATCGGAATAGAGCACGACCGATCAATTCCAGATAGGGAAAAAGCTTCTCTATTCATGTAATCATTATATCTGAAGATGGATTACAATTATGGAAATGCAGAAAGAGGTCCAGAGCGATGATTTCCTAGACTACCTTTAAAGAACCTAGCAGTCCCCGTGGCGTAGTGGTAAAGCATTCGCCCGGCGATTCGCGAGCGATTTGACCTGGGTTCGTATCCTGACCGGGGAGGATTGACCGGGGGCCAATCCTTAACTAGGATCTGTTCACCTAGCAGGTTAAATGGGTACCTGGTTGTTAGATGATTTGGCGGATCGTATTCCGGGAAAAATTACGATTAAGGACCTGCTCGAAACACTATGCGTGCTGGTGGCTGTACAAGAATGTAAGAACTCTTGTATAAATAAATAATACAAATAAATAAAGGTAACTATCATATAGAATGAGAAAAGAATTGCAAAATACCTCCTAGAGGGAGTTAGTAGATCGCGACACTGAAAAACCATGAACAAATTTCAAGGTCACCACTGAACGTGTTGAATATTACGTGCCAAGGAGAGGGAAAATAAACAAAAATTAAATGGATGACAAAGGCAGTGAAATAAAACTGAAAACTGAACGCAACCTCCAGAGATGATCCAATTTTAGAGATTTGCCCAACCACTTGGACAGGGCGGTAGAGCGATGGTCTCGCTTCATGCAGGTCGGCGTTCAATCCCCGACCGTCCACAAGTGGTTGGGCACCATTCCTTCCCCCCCCCCCCCGTCCCATCCCAAATCCTTATCCTGACCCCCTTCCGAGTGCTAGTCGTAATGGCTTGGCGCTTTGTCCTAATAGTTCCCTTCCTCTTTCCAGAGATCTCAGTCCACTAAGAAGCATATAGATCATAAATTATGTGATATACAGAAGTGCATTCAATTCAGGAAAATCAGATCAGACAAAAGAAACTATGAAAACAAACTTGTTCAAAACATTGAGAAAGATTACGCCTTTTTGTGCCTAAGTAAAGGAGTAAAGAAATGTGCATAAGTATAAGAAGTAAAACTAAGAAAAAATACTCGGTAGGAAACATATAAAAGATGAGACCAACCAAGTCATAATTGACGATAAAAAAAAGCAGTCAAAGCTCTAAATAAATTAGTGCTCACACTAGAAAGATTAGACAATACCCACACACGTGTTTGAAGGAGGGGAAAGAGAATGAATTCATTCATCTCAAACGTATTAGTGGCTTTAGGCATAGTATACTAGCTCTATCTAGAAACCCAACATTCCATTTGCAACTCACTTTGCATGTATGTACTTTTACCTGAATAAACATTATTATTACTTATGGGATATTCCCATAACTTTCGAAACAATGAAGATGATTAATAAATCTGAAGCCCACCAGGAATTAAATCCAAAGTCTTGAAGGTACTGGCCGTTGAACTGTGTTTACAACTAAATATCATTTTCTGAAAATCTCTGGACCAAAGGAAACTCCCCAAGACTGAAAATGGTGTTCTTACAGTCTTGCAAAGCTACTAACATGTATAGTGTTTCGGACAGAATCCTAAAGGATGTAATCATTTACCATCTCACAGTTCACAGTCTAGTAAAATCAAAGCAACACTTTTTTTATTTTGTTAATAAATTCTGCCTTACCAAGCAGACCGCATTTTTTAAATTTTAGTTAAGAAAGCCGTGTTGGCATTGTGTAATCTAATCTATGATAGTTAAGGAGTTAATATTGTGTACTTCCATTTTGACAGCATCATTCCTTTCCTCTGGACTATCCCAAATCCTTATCCTTTCCAAGTGCTATACAGTCGTAATGGCTTAGCAAATGTTGCCATTGTGTATTCTACTATAGTAGTTCAGGAAGTGTTGCCATTGTGTATACTTTTCACTATGGTAGTTAAGGAAGTGTTGCCATTGTACTCACCTAGTTGTGCTTGCAGGCGTTGAGCTTTGGCTCTTTGGTCAAAACCCCCGCAAGCTCAACTAGGTGAGTACAATGGCTCAGTACACAATTGTGTACTCTCTCCACTACGGTAGTTAAGGAAGTGTTGCCATTGTGTACCCTCTCCACTACGGTAGTTAAGGAAGTGTTGCCAATGTACTCTCTCCACTATAGTAGGTAGGAAGTTGTCATTGTGTACTCCCTTCACTACGGTAGCTTAGGAATTATCATTGTGTACTTTCTACTATGGTAATTAGGAAGTGTTGTCTTTGTATGCCCTATTACAGTAGTTCAGGAAGTGTTGCCATTATGCTTCTATGGAAGTTAAGGACTCATCAAATGGATTTTGTATCTTGAGACCTCCAGCTAAAGAATTACTGGATCAACACCCAATATACAGCATATGCAGAGGAAGAATAAAAGCTGCATGATTTTTTTAATTTACATTTATGAACACACTAAAAATTAAATTTAAAAGAATTTCCTGATGGAGCATACTTAAAGCTATTCAAAACAGTATTATCCTTGTCATTGTTCATCTTATTTTCGTTGCAGTCCTGGACGCAGCTTTCTTCGGAGTGTTTGTCAAGGGCACTAGAGCAATTTGTTTCCACGCCTACTTGGCTCTGTTGAATATCACCAACAGAGTTATTCGGTATATAGGCCTCTGTAGAACTTACTGATATTTTGTCTTGTGAGTTGTGGTTGCATGTTTGGCCATGAGACTTCTTAAAGAATACGGAGTTGCTTGGAAGAACACACTTGCTTTTCAATTTTGGTTGTTCTGTACATGAAAGAGGAGTTAAGTCATTTTTATCACACCTTTTCCTTTTCATATAAACCTTGTACAGTACATCATTAGACTTTATACATTAATACCTTTGTCTGAAGTGTTACTAAGATGTTAAATAACTATCACAATATAAAAACTTCAGCAATAATTACCAATCCTAAACTTGTTTTCCTCCTCAGCCATCTTCTTCCGGTAATCCCCAAATAAAGCATTCATTGTTTGCCTCTTCTTAATTAGTGATGCTTTACTGCTGGTCAGAGTACTGTAAGCTTTCTTCATGTCATCAGCTAGGAGTGTGTGAGAATAGTAAAACATTATAATATTTAATTTTGTTGAACCTTGATACAGCAAATAATGTATGCCTAGGGAATACTATATAATTAATAAGTTACAGTATTAATTTCAAGACACCATTAGGTCATTAATTGAACTAAATTTCAAATGACATGAATATCTTTTATTCATATATATACTGTACAGTACAGGTGTTTATTTATAACAAGTGTGTAGGAAAAAAATGACAGTTAAAATACTGTAGATACCTTGTTTTGATGATGGTTTATTTTTTGCCATGGAAAGTTCAATTTGCTGTATGCACCATCGTAACTCCAAACTGAATCTCTCTAGTGCAGTATCCTCATTTTCTTCCACTACAGGTGCATTTTTAACCTTTACCTTGGGTTCCAATCCCTTTTTTACCTAAAATATATAAATAAAAAAGGATGGAGGAAATGTAAAATTTGTTGAGTGTACATCAATTACAATTAAATTAGTACAACTGACACCTAATTTAATTAATATCTATAAAGTAACAAATTAGGTACATTCTTATAAAGCCACAAATAGGCATAATTTTGTTTGGCAATTTGTAAAAGTCTGTTAATTAGGGTTAGAATTAGAATGCAATAATGACCTAAAAGAGTAATTTTATAAAAAGTCACCTCATAGAAACATTGGTAGCACACCTTAATCAAATGGACAGGTCAAAAAATAAAATACTATTGCTAAACTGCAGGCCACACTTATAAACCAAAATTAAACCGACATATTACTAAATATGGTACTGTGCTGTATGTGAAATACAAGAACAGCTCTCCTGTTAATATCAAGTTTCAATATAAATTTTGCATCAGAAAGAGAGAGGGGCTACAGAAAAGTGTTACCAAGTTTCAAGACTTCCCAAGAATGATGCAGAGACATATTCTCTTAGAGCTATCAAGGAATAAAATAAGGAATAGGTTAACTGTTGGATTCCTCACTATAAACATACTTACTGTACAGAATTTTATATTTTTATATTCTTTATTTATCCACACCAACACAAAGGCACTTTTCCTAGCAGTGTGTTATCACTGATAATGATTATGCCTGTGTTCTGGGCCATGATTTAAACCCTACTGGTTGTCTGGTTGTGTTTTAAGTTATACATTAATATTACTAGTTTTTCTTCTTCTTCTTCTTCATAATACATATAGTTTGAGTGAAGGTTTTCTCCTTCCGATGATGCACGAGTTGTAATGTTGGGAGGTGTGTCACAGTAGCACATCACTGTTTATGTTTTCGCAAAGCTTGAATGCTGCTGCTGTTATTGTTGCTAGCTTTACCTGAATTTATCTGAGGGCCACCATCTCTTTAGAGGCCTTCACAAGGACAGGAAGCCAGTGACTTGTCAAAGGTTGCCCATTTTCATGATGATTTTATCCAGCTGCATTTTGAACTGCAGCAATGTTTTGCCATTTACAGCTTTGTCGGGTAGGCAGTTCCACGAGTTTATAACACTATGGGTGAAAAAGCATCATTTGTTTTCTGTTCTACATTGTGGCTTGTCGAGTTTCAAGCCGTTGATTTTTGTATGTGTTACATTTGACCTTTTAATGGAGTGGTCTGGATCAATATCTTCAAAACTTTCCAGTATAGTACAGAACTTTAAAAGTTTTGATAAGATCAGCCCTATCATGTCTGGTTTGCAGTGTTTTCTTGAATTTACCTGAGGGCCACCATTTATCTAGTGAATGCTAGTGAACTTGACAAAGACAGAAAGCTGGCGTCTTGTCAAAAATCCCCTCATTTTTCCTGACAATCTTTTCCAAAAGAATTTTGAACTGCCCTCAACCATTCTTAGTATGAGAGTCGACTTAGTTCTGGGATGATTTTTGTCACCCATGTAGAACTTTCTGCAAAGCAGGTTCTGAAGATGGTGTCTTCTAGCTTGTATATTGTAGTCCAAATAGGGGCACACTAGTGGTTTGTCGAGTTGAATTACTACCTTCTTTTCCTTGAAGTCAAAGGTTCACTTGATTATTCCTAGTGAAGTTATGAGAGCGTTAAGAGAGTATAAGATCGTTATACTCTAAACGTTGTGTGTATTAGTGGCTTTAAACATTGTACATGCCCTACTCATGATTTTCAATCTTCTTTTATCCTATGTATGTATGTATGTATATATGTACTTTTGCTTAAAGATTATTATTATTATTAAGTCAAGGTACTTCCAAATTTGGGCACAATCATCACACAATAGATTGAAAAATAACTGGATAATATTCTGAATTTATCATAATTACTCATTCACTCAATTATCAAACTTGTCCTCTAACAATATTTTGGATCCTGCAGCTCAACATGTTTTAAACTGTATCTAAGCTTTAAATGAATTACTACACTTTACAAAGCTGTCACGAGTCATATACAAGAGTGGAAATGATCTCACCTGTCGCTTTGGAGGCATTTTCTTGTAGCTCCCGCCTTCAACACCGGAGCTCAGCTGGACACCATCAACACCAATGCTCAGCAGGACACCATTAACACGAGAGCTCAGTTGTACATCATTAACACTAGAGCTCAGCTGTACATCATTAACACGAGAGATCAACTGGGACACTATCAACATCAATGCTCAGCAGGACACCATCAACAATAGAGCTCAGCTGGACAGCACCAACACGAGAGATCAGGGTTGCCAGGTCTAAATTGCTGAAAGTAGCGAGCTGACGCTCTAAAAGTAGCGAGCTGACGCTCTAAAAGTAGCGAGCTGACGGTCTAAAAGTAGCGAGCTGACGGTCTAAAAGTAACGAGCTGACGGTCTAAAAGTAGCGAGCTGACGGTCTAAAAGTAGCGAGCTGACGGTCTAAAAGTAGCGAGCTGACGCTCTAAAAGTAGCGAGCTGACGGTCTAAAAGTAGCGAGCTGACGGTCTAAAAGTAGCGAGCTGACGCTCTAAAAGTAGCGAGCTGACGGTCTAAAAGTAGCGAGCTGACGGTCTAAAAGTAGCGAGCTGACGGTCTAAAAGTAGCGAATTTTTAATAAGAGTAGCCCAATTTTTTTAGTGAATGATATGGGGGTTTCAAAGTAATATATTTTGATATACTTTAATTGTTTTATTAATATTATTTCTGCACACATACACACACACACACACATATTATATATATATATATATATATATATATATATATATATATATATATATATATATATATATATATATATATATATATATATATATATATATATATATATATATATATATGTCGTACCTAGTAGCCAGAACTCACTTCTCAGCCTACTATTCAAGGCCCGATTTGCCTAATAAGCCAAGTTTTCCTGAATTAATATATTTACTATAATTTTTTTCTTATGAAATGATAAAGCAACCCTTTTCTCTATGTATGAGGTCAATTTTTTTTTATTGGAGTTAAAATTAACGTAGATATATGACCGAACCTAACCAACCCTACCTAACCTAACCTAACCTATATTTATAGGTAAGGTTAGGTTAGGTAGCCAAAAAAAGCTAGGTTAGGTTAGGTTAGGTAGGTTAGGTAGACGAAAAAACATTAATTCATGAAAACTTGGCTTATTAGGCAAATCGGGCCTTGAATAGTAGGCTGAGAAGTGCGTTCTGGCTATTAGGTACGACATATATATATATATATATATATATATATATATATGTCGTACCTAGTAGCCAGAACTCACTTTTTGGCCTACTATTCAAGGCCCGATTTGCCTAATAAGCCAAGTTTTCCTGAATTAATACATTTTTTCTAATTTTTTTCTTATGAAATGATAAAGCTACCCATTTCATTATGTATGAGGTCAATTTTTTTTTATTGGAGTTAAAATTAACGTAGATATATGACCGAACCTAACCAACCCTACCTAACCTAACCTAACCTATCTTTATAGGTTAGGTTTGGTTAGGTAGCCGAAAAAGTTAGGTTAGGTTAGGTTAGGTAGGTTAGGTAGTCGAAAAATAATTAATTCATGAAAACTTGGCTTATTAGGCAAATCGGGCCTTGAATAGTAGGCCAAAAAGTGAGTTCTGGCTACTAGGTACGACATATATATATATATATATATATATATATATATATATATATATATATATATATATATATATGTCGTACCTAGTAGCCAGAACGCACTTCTCGGCCTACTATGCAGGGCCCGATTTGCCTAATAAGCCAAGTTTTCATGAATTAATATATTTTCTCTAATTTTTTTCTTATGAAATGATAAAGCTACCCATTTCATTATGTATGAGGTCAATATTTTTTTATTGGAGTTAAAATTAACGTAGATATATGACCAAACCTAACCAACCCTACCTAACCTAACCTAACCTATCTTTATAGGTTAGGTTAGGTTAGGTAGCCGAAAACGTTAGGTTAGGTTAGGTTAGGTTAGGTAGGTTAGGTAGTCGAAAAACAATTAATTCATGAAAACTTGGCTTATTAGGCAAATCGGGCCTTGCATAGTAGGCATAGAAGTGAGTTCTGGCTACTAGGTACGACATATATATATATTGATTTCTTGCCACCAGAGGTGGATAGTTCATTAAGCATCCCCTATTCAACCAGTTGTGTAACTGGACCCCGACCAGTTGTGTAACTGGACTCCGACCAGTTGTGTAACTGGACTCCGACCAGTTGTGTAACTGGACCCCGACCAGTTGTGTAACTGGACCACGACCAGTTGTGTAACTGAACTCCGACCAGTTGTGTAACTGGACTCCGACCAGTTGTGTAACTGGACCGCGACCAGTTTTGTAACTGGACCACGACCAGTTGTGTAACTGGACTCCGACCAGTTGTGTAACTGGACTCCGGCCAGTTGTGTAACTGGACTCCGACCAGTTGTGTAACTGGACCCCGACCAGTTGTGTAACTGGACCACGACCAGTTGTGTAACTGGACCACGACCAGTTGTGTAACTGGACCGCGACCAGTTGTGTAACTGGACCGCGACCAGTTGTGTAACTGAGTGAGGTCCTACACTTGACACTTATATGCTGTGCTTCCTATTTTAACCTGCTATGTTAAATGGGAATCTTGTATTGTGATTTGTGTACTTGTACTCACTGAATTTGTGCGCCCCATGAGGGACTTGAAGTAGAGGGGGGGGGGGGGGTAGAAATAGCCTAAGCTACTCTATCCCTTTGAGATGTATTTTTTTATTGTCTCAATAAACATACTTGAACTTGAAGTGGACTTTAATGTTTTATCGGCAGCTTTATTTCCTTAGTGTCCGAGCTGTTTTCTTTACCGTGTATGTTGTAATAAAGTATTCCTATATTTACAGTTGTTTCTCCCTGTGAAGATTATTAAACAATGGTGATTATAAGGGCGCGGAAGTTCAGCCTGGCCATCAGGGCCGCCAGCAGCCCTTGGGCCCGCCCCGGCAGCTCCCAGTCTTTAATTTGGCACCTTTGTGGCACCTTTGTGGCACCTTGGTATAAGCCTAACATGTATATATACACTGGCTGCCTGTCCCCCTACACAATGATTTATTATTACCTAATATTTTATCATTTAATTTAAATATTAAATAAAATAATTTATTTAATTATTATAGTAAGTACTTAATAATTTAATAATAAGTAGTAAGTACATAAAAATAATTAAAAAGTACAGTTTAGTCATAGGAGATTCCTAGATTGGAATTCACTACCAAATTTCAATATATCCTAGTATTTTTAGTGTAAAATACTGTTATTATATGCATAAATTGTTGTTTTAATAATATTACGCTTAACCACTTGGGCTGGACGGTAGAGCGACGGTCTCGTTTCCTACAGGTCCGCGTTCAATCCCCGACCGCCCAAGAGGTTGGGCACCATTCCTTTCCCCCGTTCCATCCCAAATCCGTATCCTGACCCCTTCCGAGTGCTATATAGTCGTAATGGCTTGGCGCTTTCACTTGATAGTTCCCCCACCCCCCTGAATAATATTACGAGAGCAGTATTTACGGGCTATTCATGCCCGTGCCACCTCTTGGGTGGCTTAATCTTCATCAATCGAGAGCAGTACGTCCTAATCAGACATTATATGATGATATCCTGAACAGTTGCTAAATAAAAGTAATTGCGGAACTCCAGTTATCTAATACTTATCATAAATTGTATAAAACCTTATCATTAGTCAAGGGATTTGTAGATCAGTGTTTAAAGGGAATTCGGAGGTAATAATAACAGCTAATGCCATCTGTCGGCAGAAGAGAACACTATCAACTGGCTGGTCAATAATGGCCATAAGATACAGCTTACGCCATCTGTTGACATCAAATTACACTTATAACAAATTACCCCACAAAATACAACTAACGCCATCTCTGTTTTTTCCAACGCACTATAAATAGCCAAACAGCAACCCATAAGGTGGGTTGTTGTGCTCGGGTAGGAGGTTCCTAGCTCCGCCCACAGATGGTATGGGATGCATAATAAATGGCATATCATTGGTAGATATTCTTTGTTGACATTCACACAACAGCCAATCACAGGAAGGGATCAGCTAAAGGCTCCATCCACTTAATAAATCATATTTATTCAGCACACCATCCTTGCTTATGACATTCTGCTTCAACTTTAATCTACCTAAAAAGTGAAATGTTAAGTTTTTAAAAATATTTATATAGGGATAATTAAATACTACAGGATGTAACTGGTGTTACAGAAACATGCGTTGGCTACCTAACTTGAGACGTTATTATTGGGGGTTGCCTTGACACAAATAATGATACGCTGCTCTGCTCTCTTATTTGAGTAAATTATTCAGTTAGATGGAGATTTCTGTTAGGTGCAAAACAGAAATTGTTGTTCTTTTTCACAGCAACCTTGTTGTTGTGCACAAGGACCTATTTCTTAGTTAAAATTTTATTCAAAAAAGAGTGTTGGTATTCCCCGCAACAGCCAATCACAGGAAGGTATTTCTGGAAACTCCGCCTCCTTATGGACTCAGCACATCGCTCTAGCTCATGGCTCTGTTTCATCTCTTGTATATACAAACTATGAGATATAAAAGTTTTTACACAAAATGGCTAAATTCTGCCATTAAATGGACTTTGTCTGGTATACATACAAACATACACCAATTTATTACCATTCATCCATTATTAATTTCAAATGTAATGTATACTGTCTAGTTTTTTCCTCTCGCCATTACTTGGTGCAATATTTGAAAGTTGTCTATTTATCGATCTATCTATTATCTTGTATTTATATTTACAAGTTTCTGTGCTTGGAAGAAAACTCTGCATTGAATTGGGATTAATTTATTAAATAATATTATTTAGTATTAATTAATATTTACAATTATTATTAATTACAATTATTTATAGCTTAGTTACTTTCATGTAACTCGCAATCGTACAATCTTAACATTAATAATCCAAATTAGCACATCTTGCTTTTAAATTAGCCCCAAAAAGTACCAAGTAGCGAAATTAAAAATTTGGGAGCGCGGGGCTGTCAAAAGTAGCCCAATTCGCTATTAGTAGCCCAATCTGGCACCACTGCGAGAGATCAGCTGGACAACATAAACACCGCCGGATTCAATCCGGATTCTTCAGAACGCAGCTAATAATCTACTTCAAATGTTTTCGTAAATTCTTCATTGTATCACAGATTATGTATTTCCTAATTTCATTAGAGTATTCCGTAATAATGAGAACTAAAAATAATTTTTTTTTGTCATAATTTGTGTAGTCGGGGGACAAGAAGCCTGTGAATATAAAATACTTGTATCGAGGTCATCACTAAGACTGAACTACTGACCTCCTCCCCTGCATGCAACCCCACAACAGTTGCCTAACTTCTATGTATCTATTTACTGCTAGGTAAACAGCGGCATTAGGTAAAAGGAAACGTGGCTAAATATTGTGTCCCTCGCGGGAATCGAACCCCGGGATCCATGATTGTTACTCTAGAGCTTTTTTTTCGTAGCTGTGAATAAAACACCGCGTTTTAAAGTGAGCTCTTAAAGCAGTTAAAACCTCAACCTGCAAAATAGATACTAGGAATGTTGTAACATTCATTAAAATCATGTATGTTTGTTCGTTAATAATGAATGTCATGTATGAAGAGGTTATTGACCGTGCATCTGGCAACACCTAGTCTCAAGCAGCCTCAATGTTAATCAGTTAATACTGCAACTTAACCTGAAAATATGTAGTTTTTTGCTCTAATCTGAATTTAATCAACGTTTGGCTTAAGGGTAGTTACATTAACTTCCTACGTCCACTGTTGTTAAATGTTATATATATTGTGTTGTGATGGTGACTTGGCACCACCGCACCCGTCAGGGAACAGCTGATAGTGGCCGCCACACGCGTGTGGACACTCGTGTTGCTTCACCATACTGCGGTGAGCTTGGGGTCATTACCTCTCGTATTTTACACTGGAGGTGTTTAAATGTATAGCTGACGCTTCCATTCATTGTTTCGTGCCCATACGGACCGATACATCATTATCATGGTGCCATGATCAACACATGTGTCAGGGGCCACAACCTCTCTTTAATTATTTCTCTCTGACATCACGCGACATTATAATGGTTTTAACTACTAGAAACTGGTATTGTCAAAGCACCTTTATGTGATTTGATCATTGTCATTGACACAGACTGTTGGAGTGTTGAGGTAGTTGATAGAGACGTGTGCAGGGCTGGGCCAGGAGGAGCCAGCCTCTGGGGCACAACATTATTAATAAATAAATTAAATAAATACATTTTTTATTCAGGAAAGTACATATATATATAGTAGCTTTGCAATCATAATGTTGGGTTTATAGATAGAGCTAGTACATAAAATATCTAAAGCCACTAAGACGCATAGCATTTCGGGCAAGTTATTGACTAGTCTAATGGTCACTATTGTCAGGGGGTTACCCACACACGGTTATTGACTTGGCACAAGAATCGTTGATCTATATATCCGCATATACATTATTATTCACATAAAAGTATGGCCTCTTGTAATGCGAGTTTGTCTTTTATTTTGTATTTCTTAATTGTTTACATATTTGTGCCATCTTAATGTATGCCATTCGCTCATTTCAGGAGCTGCTGCTTGTTTCTTCATGATGAACAACATTTTAAATTTCAACATAGGAGTTCTGGGACATGTGGACAGTGGGAAGACATCACTGGCAAAAGCACTTAGCACTGTGGCCAGCACTGCTTGCTTTGATAAAAACCCACAGTCAAAGGAACGAGGCATTACTATTGATCTAGGCTTTAGCTCCTTTGTTGTGGATGCGCCGGATAATATTAAAGAATCGGGGTATGAAAAGCTTCAGTTTACTTTAGTGGATTGCCCTGGGCATGCATCATTGATAAGGACTATCATTGGAGGGGCACAAATTATTGATGCTATGATACTTGTTGTTGACATAACAAAAGGAATCCAAACCCAGACTGCAGAATGCTTGGTCATTGGTGAAATATTGTGTGATCACTTGTTAGTGGTTTTAAACAAGTTGGATTTGGTATCGCCCGAGAAGCAAAAGTCAGTTATTGAGAAAATGACTAAAAGAATTTTACTCACCTTACAGAAGACAAAATTTGCCAATGCTAAGGTTATTGTAGTAGCAGCCAAACCAGGTGGCCCAGAAGTTCCTGATGTTGAGCCTATTGGTGTAAAAGATCTTATAGATGGATTGCAAAAATTTGCTTATGTTCCTGAAAGAGACACCACAGGTCCATTTTTGTATGCAGTAGACCACTGTTTTAGTATACGAGGGCAGGGCACTGTCATGACAGGAACAGTGCTTCAAGGAACAGTTGCTATAAATGAAAATATTGAAATTCCAAGTCTGAAAGTGTCAAAAAAGGTTAAATCTATGCAGATGTTTCGACAGCCAGTAGATAAGGTTTCTCAAGGAGACAGAGTTGGTATTTGTGTAACACAGTTTGACCCTAAGCAGTTAGAGAGAGGTTTAGTTGGCACACCAGGATTTATACAAACAGCTTTTGGGGTTCTTGCTGAAGTAACAAAGATTTCATATTACAAGCAGCCAGTTGAGACAAAGGCAAAGTTTCATGTAAGTCTTGGTCACGAAACAGTCATGGCCAGAGCAACATTTTTTGGAACTGAAGATGAACTTTTTATCAAGAATGGATTTCTTTATGACCATACCTACAAGCATCAGCAGGAGTTGATTGATTTACAAAAACTTGAGGATACCACTTACAAACCAAATCATCAATTTGCACTTTTGGAATTTGAAAAGTCGGTACAAATAGTCCCCAACTCCGCATTGATAGGGTCAAAACTGGATATGGATATTCATACTAACATGTGTCGCTTGGCATTCAAAGGTCAATTGCTGGAAGTCTTCACAGACAAGAACTATCATGATACACATCTACAGAGGGTTAAAGTTTACAAAAACAAGAATAAGGAAGGTATCATTGAAAGACTAGTAAATGATAGTGAAGTCATTGTGAAAAATCTGCTGAAAAAAGATACCAATGTCCAACTCTTTATGGGTCTCAAGGTGCAGCTGTCAACAGGGGAAGACGGCACCATTGTTGGCACTTTTGGACAGAGTGGTAAACTGAAGGTGGGAATAACTAATGGCTTACAGGATACTACCAAGGCTGCCTTACAAAAGCTCTCTGGTGGGAAAAAAAAGGTTAAAGGTGGACAGGAGAACCCATCTTCTACTGTTGAAACTATAGAACCAGTGAAAGTTGTGCTTAATTTCAAGAAATATATATTTAACAATGACAAAAAATTGGTACAAACTTGATATAATGTAAAGAAAATTCATTTATTTTTAAAAATTTTATATAATTTGTATTTGTATTGCTAAAAGTTTGGCTCATTCATGTGATGAGCCATGATGAAATACCTCTTGCTTATTCCTTTGCTCTACCCCTATCTTACAGGGCAGGTCCTGTTACACTCCTTTCCCAGTGTCAGGCTGTCAGAATATTGTACATAATTTCAACTCACAATATTTACACATTATTATATTTTATGATGTATTTTTCTAAACCTTACCTTCAACGTAACATTGTCAACTAGGTTCTCTGGTGTTTTTCAACTCTGATTATCTCATGTTTTTTGTTAAACTTTGAGCCAGCTTAGGAATTAACCGAGTTGGTTACAGTAGATTTAATAAAAAATAAAGTAAATTATACAGCTGTGAAGGAATCGAGCTGCAGTGCCTCCTGTCAAGGAAAATTAAACACGTTTAAAGCGTGATGATCATTTGATTTACTTACCACGTATAACTGGGTTGCATTTACTATACTATAATTTACCATTCCTTACACCATTAGTGCATCTATGGGTTGGTGATTGTTGTTAAAATTATCTTACGTTAAAATGAAATGATATTTGGAGAATATCTCTAAAAGTTAAAGGATTGATCTTTTGATTAACATATTAACTTTTTTAAGTAAGTGATATCTCTAAAATGTTGAAAAATTCTTTTCCACTTCATTAATGAATATACTCATTAATAGGACTGTACTAATGAAAGCCAGTTTTGGACCACTTTAACTGTGATGTAAAAAAAAAAATGGTAATATTCTTTCCAAAATGCATTTTTTGTTACAAAGTCTTGGTTGTAAAGTACATCCTTGTCTAGGTAACAACTACTATACTATACTCGATTCTCAAAACTGGATAAAAAAATCACATTAATGTGATGTATCAATGAGAAAATCATTGGGAGCCATGAGGATTATATATCAAGCAAACTAAGCCTTTGCACCTTCTTTTGATAATTATTTAGTTGTTTCATCAACATTTTTTATTATTTATTCGATGAACTTTTCCCGTATCTATTACTGTAATCATACATCCATTATTTTGTCCTCTTGTTTACTTTGTATCCATATATTCCATTGTTATTTTAACTACTCTTGCTGCAACCTCAGCCCACCAAGCAATTTGTCATATTGTTGTCAGTTTGTGCAACTCCACACTGTTGCACAGACTGTTTATATATGCACACATATATAAACATTTACTTTTGATATCATCCATTATATTCTTTCTATAACTCTTAGGTGTCATACCAGTTACATTCTCTATGGTCCGACAAGACAGTCTTACTCCTGACATTACTGCATATTTAATATAATAATCAACTCGACTCACTCGGACTTGAGTTTCACATATACTTGAACTGTAATATGAGACAATATTCCTTCTTTTATTTATTAAGAAGCATATGTCTCCCATACTTTATTTTCACATCAAGATGCCCCCTTCCAATGCAGTATGAATTATATGCAGCACAAGGCTGTTCTTGAATGGATTCTTTCCTCTGTGTAAAGGCCTTCTGCATTGTTATTCAGATCTCATTGTCTTTGTGCATACAGTACATACTGTAAATACAAAAAAAAATATTGCCATTTGCATTACCAAGATAGTATTTCAGTATACAAATGTGATAAAATGTAAAATGTAGAACATATTTTAAAAACAGCAAGTTTAATAAAACATAATTACACATTTTGTAGACATCAATCATTCCTGTGTGATTATAGCATCCTCGCCCAAAGTGTAATGTTTGTGCATTATTATTTAACCCTTAAACAGTGGTGAGTAAACTTGGAGTAACTCCACAACTGGAAGAAAGTACTCAAGTTTACTCTGGCTAACTCAGTGCACCCCTACCTACCTGTTGAAGATTTCTAGAATCGATGTTCCCACGGCCAGTCTTAGATCATGCCGCCTAGTTGCTGCTCTGATCAACCAGGCTGTTCAAGGCTTGCAGCCTGGCATATGAGTCACAGCCTGGATGATCAATAACAAGTTGTGGAATGATGGCCTAGCACTGGATTTTACATCTTGGTAGCCGTGATGAGTTGATATTCTGAGGCCTTGCTACTAATTGATATGGGCATTAATACAGTAATACAATGTCCAGTTGAAACAAATACATTTGACTCTCAACTGATGGCCAAAATAATAAATTCCATAAACCTCGCACAACTGCTCTTCAGCCAGAAGAGTGGCCTAATAAACCACACTTAACTGCCTTCCAGGGCAACAAGAACACAACGTTCCCTATCATGCAGTAACCTTGGGGGGGATGTGGGTAGGCAAACAGTGACTGGGGTCATCTCAAGTTACTGAAACTATCAGTTAATTTTTAGCTTGTTATAAACAAAATATTTAACTTCTCAAGCTTCAAATAAAAATCACTTTATAAACAGTACAATATCATGACTCCTATTTTATGAGTGTGTGTAGGCACTTGGAAGATATAATCCAGCCTTTTCTCTTGTAGGGGATAGGGAACTGTTCTCAAGAGGCACAGTTGTCATATCCATGTGCCTTACTTCATTTAGCTACTGTATACAGTACAAGTATAGAAAACAGACTATAGTTACATTTGCCTTTCTGCTTTTATTCAAATAAAGATGCTAAGTTGCTCTGTAAATTCATACCACAAACTAACCCTTGTTACATTTTTCTGATGTTTTGTGTAACTTATCAAGATCGTAGGAAGCACTATACATGCAACTGTGCCTGATGCTCCAACACGTCCTCACACTAGGCATCAGCAGCCGTCCTCCCCAGACGCATTCGTAAATTTTAACGTACGGTGTATTATAAATTGATTTGTTCTCTTATATAAATTAACATTATTATACATAAAAATACTATGTATAGTTAGGTGTAGGTTAGGTGTTTAGGTCAACTACTGTTAGCTATTATTTGTATTTGAAGCATGTGAGTAAAGCATTTATAGAATTGTGGTTCGAACAGAAGACATGAGTGAAACACGTTTCCAAAAGTGCTTAGACTTCATCAGTTGTGAGTCATGTGTAAACCCCTTTTCATTCATAAACAGGGCAGTTTGGCAGCTGGATTAACGAGCCTTTGATTAATGGTCTTTGTATGTGAGAATGGGCTGGATGCTCACCACATGTTATGTACACTGGAAAAAGTTTCTCAGTGCAGAATAAGAGTAATTATGAAAAGAAGGCGCCATGTTAGGACTACATAGCACCATTTGTGTCACTAGATATTCAAAAGATGCTAAATGTAGGAGTAAAGAATATAATTATGGAAAATGGTTTGTACTTTCACAACTCATTGCAGTGATTCAAAAAAAAAAAAAAAAAAAAAATCTCGCACATGAAAAAATATATTCATAGATTTGTGTTGGGAATAGAACTTTAGTCAATATTCAGCTGGCACTATCATAGGCGTAATGAAAGGAAAATTAAAATCATGTAGTGATTCAGTCACTTCATATAGAGATCTTATATACTGACAATGTTTAAATGAAAGAAATATATATTTAAATAACAAAAAAAAATCACATTTTGTATACAAGTAATCCTTGACAACAGTGCAAAATACATCCCAGTGATTATGTTTAAAATGATAATGTTACCCCTTTAACAACATTACAGTAGAGCATTAGAGAAGATTCTGAATCATATACTGTGGACATTTATACAAATTTTTTAATAATTTTGTAAATGCATTTTCATGTAAAATATAAGTAAATCTGTATTTCTGCTGAAGGAAACCCCAGTTAGTCATGCCTGCATTATAGAACACTTTTCATGATAAACATGAAGAAATTCTTCAAAGACTCAAATGTTTTCTACAATAAAGGTTTGTCCAACCACTTGGGCTGGATGGTAGAGTGACGGTCCTGCTTCATGCAGGTCGGCGTTTAATTCCCGACCGTTCAAGTGGTTGGGCACCATTCCTTCCCCCCTGTCCCATCCCAATTCCTTATCCTGACCCCTTTCAAGTGCAATATAGTCATAATGGCTTGGCACTTTCTCCTGATAGTTCCCTTCCCTAACCTTTGTCCAATTTATATATTGTACTGGTATTACTAACTTTCATGCTATGCATAATGGGGTTGATCAAACGTGCACGCAGCCTCGCATCCCAGCCATGCTAATGACTAAATTGTGACAGACAACTGCTGAATTTAACTATCAAAAGTTACAGTATATACGAGTTCATCTCAAGTTCACAAAATAACACGAGACCCTTTAACATAAATAAATTTATCAATTTAAAAAAAAAATATATATATATAATTTACAGACTATTCCCCAATTGGCATAGACACATCTGGTAATGTTTTATGAAGCTGAATAGATTTATGTCAAAGTGAAATCTATTCTCGGAATATATATATATATATTGGAAAGGAAAGGAAATTATAATAAGTTTCAGTATTGAATATCCATAACAAAAATATAAAATATATTCAACAATAATTCTCAGTGGGCATTTAGAAACCATTTTAATCAAATAGAAGAAGTGTGGTGTGTGTGTGAGTGTGATCAGATCACGACATCTCCCCACCAAGCCTCGTGAGCTGAAACACAAAATTACGAATTACAGACTATGTTGGTATCAATTTTAAGGTTTAATGATGTACATCTCCAAACTCATATCAGCCTTCCCTTCATAATGGGAAAATCAGTTAAGAATTACAGTATATCTCGGTTACTTAATTGCAGACCCTAACTACATTAAAATAAACACAGTGGGACCACATTTGAGTTAATCTCACTCGAGTGCAATCTTGAAAAAAAAGAGCCCAATAAATGTTTATCGAAAATTTGTGGTGTTATACCTAATGTAATTTGATTTGTTCCTTTAAGCAGTCACATTTCCTAGTCCTCAGACAAGTGCAGGTTAACAGGTGACCTAATACTGTATGGACACATCCAGGTTGCGTGAACTAGCGGGTAGTATTGTGGTGAATGCAAATACTGTAGCTATAACCATTTAAAGTTTGAGCCCAGGAATAAAGATTATAAATATATAATGTTGGTACCAAAATGTCTGCTCTATCTTATGTTACAAAGAAAATGAAGAACGCTTAACAAATATATTTCCTGTGATTTTTTTGTTAATGTTGAAAAATATGTTGTTACTTCCAAGCTGCTTAACTTAGAAAGGAAAACTTTTTACAAGAATTTTAAGCGTGTGCTAAAAATATAGACTATAAATTTATAACTTTGGTTGCCAGTGATTGCTTTATCGTATGGAATACACTAACAAAGATTGCATAATAAATTGACTTTGTGAATTGTTTAATTGGACCTTCACGTAGTGGCAAGATAGTGGGATGGTTAGGATGGGATTTTCATGGCCAACAGTGCTTGAGGTAGTGGAGAGCTCTGAAAGCTACTTAGCATGGTTTTATAATACACTACTTGCCTGCTAAGATATGTGGTAATTTACACACTACATTCTGTACTGCAAATTACAAAATTTCATTTTAAAGATACAATAATAGAAATGAAATAATAGAATAATAGAAAACAATAGAATTTGTATAAAATCAGATATGTAACTGTATAACCTTGCATAATAAAGTGTACACCATAAAAAAAGGGGGGTGGTAGGAGAAGCGAACACTCTTACGTATTCAGAGTTAAATGGCAAGTTTTTTCCTGAATGCTCTGTGTTCCCTTCTCTGAGGCTGTGGGTCCCTATAATTGCACCAGTGGTGGTACCCCCCCATAATAGAAATTGTTTTTTTTTACAATATTTTACAGTTTATATTTTGACTGCAATATTGATTTAATTTTCCCAAGTGGATTGGGCCATCATAGTGAAAATAAAAATTAACTTGTACTGTATATGTATGGAACAAGTTGGCTCTGTTATATACAGTAGTTCATTCAAGTGAGGCCCAACTCTGAATTGATAAATCAGATGAAACATGAAAAATGTGTTGTAAACTCTTACCTGAGTGAGGAATTGTTCAGCATTAACAACATCAGTGCACCCATAAATGATTCTTTTATTAGTCCCAGCTTTCTTCTTTGCATAGCTGACGAGATTACTATATTCCATATAGTTACCACCGCCAACCACAAACACCACTGCATCCTACATATAAATACAAGAGGTGCAATTAATACATCTTTGATGCAATTAATAAGCTTTGCAAATTAATAAAGATGCAATTAATAAACTTTACAAAATCTGGTCAAAGATGCCACTAAAAACTGACAAAAGCACAAACATTTGCTGAGCAACAACATTCAGACAAGTTGACATACAGTAGGAATGGCAAAAAAAGGCTACTATTTAGTAATTGGGCATCAATATCAACACTGAAGAAAGCTATGTCATACCTATGAATTGTTAGCATTGAAAAGACAATAAAAGATTCACCTGAAATGGTGTCCGCGTTCTTGGCGTTGCTCCTGTGCTATCACCAGGACGTAGCAACTTAGGATCAAAATACCGATACTCTTTCTCTTCTTCACAGTTTTTCAATTCCATCAAATTGTCCACAATTCTAGTGATAGGTAGTTTCTGTAATAAAATAAAACTATCTTACAAAAGCACTGTATTACTATTTTCCTTTGAAAATATTTGTTGTTTCAACAGAGTCTTGCTGCCCTCTCAAATACTGCAATAGGTAGTATAATACTTTTATTAGAAAGAATAATATTTACATTTTCCTTTAGTACAAAGTTGACACCTTCAACAACTAGAGCAGATCCTTGGTTCATGAGCTTCGAGAACATGGATACTGTCTTGGCTACTCCACCTGTGTATTCCGACATTCCAGCACCAGCAGTCATCTGTTGAGTTCAAAAGTGCTGTATAAAACTTCCATAAGTCCTACAATACTCTACTGTATAATGAAGTGTACTATGCTCAATACTATACAATAAAAAGTAATGAGATTCTTTAAACCACATGTAAAATGACTATATTAATATGAGTATAAAATACAGAGTGAAGAAAGGTAATATAAAATACTGAACAGCAAATTAGCATCTCCTAATTTTGTTTATCATTATGGTGAATTAAACCCGATTTGAACACTAATTCATGTCAGTGCACTTCTTCATCTTCGTCATCTCTCTCCACACACACACACACAACTTAGTTAATTACACTTAGATAATTATATACACACACACATCTTGCTAGGCAAGGAGGAAGTAAATGAGATGCCTAATTCTGTGAAATATATGAAGGCACAAACAAATAATATATCTATATATATATATATTTTTTTTTATTTATTTTTTTTTCAAAACAGAGATGCAGAGCTGGTAAACTGGATTGGTTCAACAGAAATTGCGAGGGAGGTCAGAAAGAAAAAAGACAAGAAAACAGGGACAATATAGGAAGAGGCCTAACCCTCAAACATGCCAGCACCATAAACAAGCAAGAAACAAATACATAGCAGTGAGGGGAGAGAGGTAGAAAGGAACTTTGAGAAGAGGGTAGCGGACAAATGTCACACGATGACCACATTAAGGAACATTGTGCAAGGAGTGTATGCTGCTCTTTCCAAATTTAGAATTGCTTTTAAATATGTGGATGGCAAAATATTAAAAGAAATTGCTCATGACCTTTGTGAGACCAAAATTGGAATATGCAGCAGTTGCATGGTACTCATATTTCAAGAAGCAAATCAATAAATTGGAAAAGGTGCAGACATGCAACTAAATTGCTTCCAGAACTAAAAAAAAATAACGAACTACGGAGAGAGGTAAGAGGCATTAAATATACCAAAGCTAAAAGATAGAAGAAAAAGAGGTAATATGATCACTATGTACAAAATAGTACTGTAACAAAAATCAACAAAATTGACAAAGAATTTTTTAAAATTGCAACTACAAGAAAAAGAGGTCATAGGTTCAAACTAAGGACACAAAGCTGCTGAAAAAAATATTAGAAAGTTCACCTTCAAACAGAGTGGTAAACGGTTGGAACAAGTTAAGTGAGGAGGCGGTGGGACCAAAATTGTCAGCAGTTTAAAAACGTTGCTTGACAGTATAATACTGGAAAGATGGGACACCATTCATCTTGCACAAACATTCACACACCTTTTTTTCCAAAATACCAAAGGAAGCAAAATAAAAAATCATGCTGATTCAGAGAAAAACAACTGTGAGACATTTTGATCTATTTTTCTTTTAAATGCTATTACTGTACTAACTTTTTAAAGTACAAAATCCTTGATATTAGAATGTATCCTTTTTTATTCAGATCATCATTAAAATACTATGCTGTCAAGTTTTGTAAAATGTCTCAAGGAAAGCATTCCTGCCCAAAACTAGCAGTGTACTCTAACTCAATCCTTCAAACCATCACAAAGTTTGAATATCAAAGACTTTTTTAATTTACATGTTCATCAAAATACCACTGTCTTCATATAAGATGCACTGGATATTTTAAAATGATGGATCATTTTTTAATGCCTCAACTGTAACCTAAAATGTAGTGCAAGCAAATGAAAGATTACAATTTACAGCACCTTCATTAATGATTTCCACCTCTTCATGTAAAGCAAAGCTTTGGTGTCGGCACCGACTTCTGTAAGAGCTGCGGCGTACTCGTTAAACTCTGCCTCACTTATGTTACTGGAGCACAAATACATTATCAAGAAGATACGAAGTTTGTCCATTGGGTTGCCACAGTCTGGATCCTTTATTATCTGAAAGTACAATTTAGATAAATCCTATTGCACAATGATTTTCTGATGGGGGTGGTGGAGGGGATAGTAGTGCTCACCTGATAGTGCCTTGTCAGCCAAGTTGTGTCAGATCAGTAGGATCAACTCATTTAGGGTAATTTATGACTAGTGTTAAGCATTTGTTTCACACTGAACAGAGTCTAAGTGACTCATTAGTGTTTGGTATAGATTATTGTTTATTTTCTGCATAGTAAGCAATGTGAATCTTCACTCCATAGTAAGCAATGGAGTGATGATTCCTCTGAAATAATTAATATGCACAAATTCATGTGCCTTATGCAAAAATCATTATATATAAATTAAAAGATTAGCAACTTCTTAAGGAACACAATCATCTGTAACTATGTACATCATTTGCATACACTGCAATATGTACTATGCATATTAAATACAAGTCAGCCTTGACTTATTTTCAAGATGTGATATTAAGAAACAGAATGTTAAGCAAATATAAAAAGGTAAGCCTAGCTCCCAATTATCCTGCATCCAATTAACATACTAATAAGAATTCAAATGAAAATTGTTATACCCATTCTAATTATGGAATTTTCTAAATTTGCATTTTCCTGTACCAACAAACAAAAGCAGTGTTAATCTGATGGGCAAATTACCTCACCATGTCTTACCTCCATTAAGGGTTTCTCTAGTGTGCTTCGACCCATAATTTTCTCTTCCATCTCAAAGAAAACATCCAGCTTCCTAGATTTTATACTGTTCAGCAAGGCTGTTCAGGGAAAACAAGAAAAAAATGAGTACTGTACTGTAAACTGGATCTTGATTCATTGGACTGGTCTGTCTATTCAGATACAGTTCTGTAATTCCATACATAAAAGCCAGAACAAGTACACTCAAGCTAATGTAAAATACAGCAAGGACCTGCTAATCTTGAACTTGATGACTCAAATTTTTAGATGCAATGGCCAAAATCTGATCTAGTTATGGGTGATGGTGCTTATTATTAAGACATCTAAGACCTCGGAGAGCAAAAACTCTCAATAATCTGGGATCCAGTTGCTTTTCTCAAAGAAAATACCTTAACTACATTATCTAGAAGTTAATATTCAACTTTTCTGTATACAGTGCTAATGACTCAAACAATACAAAAAATATACTTTAACTCAACAAACCCATGGCAATGCTCATGTGTTTATCAATATCAGCCTTCTTCTTAATTAACTCTGGCAAGGAAGTTATTGCTGATGTTAATTTTGCTGTGTTGTCACTCAATGGATCAATGGCATCTTCATCTGGAAGGTCAGTTTTCAAGCCTTTTATGAGCGTCTCGGCCTTCTTGTATTCCTCGAGCTCCTTCTCAACAGCTGCTGCTACATCAGGAAATGCACTACCTGCAGACATACTGTATTATAATATTGTGATTTCAGGGAATTACTTAAATATAAATATATATATATATATATATATATATATATATATATATATATATATATATATATATATATATATATATATATATATATATATATTGATAAGATAGTTACTTGTACAGTATGAGTAAGTATGTGTCAAGATTCAAAATAATTAATTAAATATATATACATCACCCCTCTAACTCTGTGTTTGAAACCCTGCCACATCTCCTGAAATAAAGGGGAAGGAAAGTGGGCTGGCGACCCATCTTCTATCCATTAACCACTGTGCTGCGCCGCCTTAAAATATGACATTCCCATAGTGCGCCGAAAATAAATTTTTTGCAAAAATGAATTTTTCTCTTTATATATTGTTAAAATGCAGTCTCTTGTCACGGAAAACTAAAATCAATTATTGTATGTGACATACTTTAGCGATGATGGAGATGAGAAGTTGAGCAAATTATGGGTGCCGAGTGACGAAGCGCTAGTTGACACTCGACTTGTTACCCTGTGGGGTAGCAGTTGCCGCAAATATATATTTTCAAGCCAACAAAAATGACCTACACAACCTGTTGCTGGATTACTATTTAGAGCAAGGTAAGATAGACTCTGAAACTCATGAAACTTACTATATTGCAGATAAAACTGACTTGGCAACGATGAAACTCAAACTAGTGGCCAAGATTGAACGTGAGCAGCAAAGGAAGCCCGCGAACAGCAAAGGGAAGCAGCTGCCATACGAAGGGAAGAGATTGCCCTCAAGGAACGTGATTGATTATTTTAAGATAGTTACTTGTACAGTATGAGTAAGTATGTGTCAAGATTCAAAATAATTAATTAAATATATATACATCACCCCTCTAACTCTGTGTTTGAAACCCTGCCACATCTCCTGAAATAAAGGGGAAGGAAAGTGGGCTGGCGACCCATCTTCTATCCATTAACCACTGTGCTGCGCCGCCTTAAAATATGACATTCCCATAGTGCGCCGAAAATAAATTTTTTGCAAAAATGAATTTTTCTCTTTATATATTGTTAAAATGCAGTCTCTTGTCACGGAAAACTAAAATCAATTATTGTATGTGACATACTTTAGCGATGATGGAGATGAGAAGTTGAGCAAATTATGGGTGCCGAGTGACGAAGCGCTAGTTGACACTCGACTTGTTACCCTGTGGGGTAGCAGTTGCCGCAAATATATATTTTCAAAACTTTGTTGTTGTTTCTCATTCATTTTTCTCTGTTTTGTTTTACTGTAATATTATTCAAACATGAGTAATTTGCGGAATTTATATAGTTCCCTGTGGAATATCGCTATGCTCAAAATTATGGGACTCATAAATGTGACATGTATATTATATTCTATGATCAATCAATCAGTGTTTTTGGCTATTATTACACTATATACAAACACATTGCATATACCTATCTACATGTTTGTGCACCATAATGAACCACAAAGATCGTGTGTTGAGAGTTTACACACAGAACAAGAATCCAAGGTCAGCCTAGCGACTGAGAGCCGAGTGCGGCAGGGGCTGCCCCAAATACATTTTTACATAGTTATTTCAGTGTCTGTGAATGGTTTTATATCTAGTTTTTTAAAGTAACATTATTTAATAGTGTGTAATAGAGCATATGGAATGTATATAATTAAATGTGTGGAACTTTGCTATTCTCAAAAATATGGAGGTCATATATGGTGACATGAATTATATTCTTAGATCAACCAGTGTTCCTGCTGTTATTACACTGTATATGCATGTTTTATATCACTATCAACATTTATAAGCATCTTAACATACTAATAAGCAGTTCAGGTGGGTATGGTGATGTAATCAGCATGGAGCCACAAGCAGACGACACCAGTAGTCACAGGATGCATGACAATGCCTCCAATATTCTACTCAAAACTGTTGTTATTATCACATTCCTGTCACAAAATCTTGAATATAAATCCATTTCCATAACAAAATGAACATTGGTGACGGAACGTAAGGTCGTTTCATGATGCGTAGATGCAGGAAACAATGGCTGGGTGCTGTGTGTTACTACTTTATGCTGTGAATATCATAACTAACATTGTGTTCACTGATATCTGAATGCTGTACATAGTCTTTATCACAGTCTGGTTATCTATAACACTATCAATGCAAAATAATTTCAGTGTTATAAAATAAGACAGGCACTGGTTGTAATGATTACTGTAGATAAAAATAGTACCAGAGGAAGATGGTCACAAAGCAATTATATTGATAATACTATAGTTATATTTTGAGAGATTACTAGGTGAATCAGTAGCACTAAGTGTGGTGCTATGGTGAGGAAAATAGATGCTGTTTTGTTTTACTTTGTTAATAAAATACCAATGTAGGATGAGCAATTATTTACTTCATTAGGAAGGAATTTCTATACTCTGGGAATCCTTATATGAACAGATTTAGTTAAACTCACAGAATGTCAAACAGATACATTAATTATATATGGGGTGATCACAATTAATTTATCTTAATTTTCATAATTTACTGATACACTATTATAAAAAAAATTTGTAATAAATGTACTGTACCAAACATTAAATATATTACCTTTATGAGCTTTCCAAAAACCATCAAAATTACTGAGGTCATATTCTTTAGTTTTGGTCCTGTTCACTGGATGAGCCGCATCTTGCTCTGTGACAGTTATACGGTTGAGGCTCAGGTTTAGTACGTCGTGAGTAAGAGCTTGATACGTCCATGTGTGGTGCAGTGGGGTGGCCAAATCGACATTGCGATCAAGAATTACCAACAAAGGTCTTTGGAAACTGCGAAGTATACATGAAATATTTTTTTTATACCATAGATGTTATCAAAACCCATGCCTATTTACCAACCCATCTGAAAGTTATATTTTCAATGTAAGCTTTATGAAAAGGTCAGAGTAACTAATTTATATTTAACCAATGTCAACTCATCTAAAAATTTCACCCAAAATATCTTGCCTTAGCTGACCAGCAGCAAATGAATCTGTACTAAGTCCTGAGAAAAAGGAATTGCGAGTGTCACGCAAGTTTTCTCGAAGCTTCTTATCCAGTCGTTCCCCCACACTCTCTGCTGCATTGCCCCTCTGGCAACGAATAATAGGAACCTGACCTGCAATGACCATTTTATGGTTAAATTATAGTTTTATTCAAAACAAGGTCTTTAATAATTTTAAGATAATGTGCATATTTTTTAATGAAGGAAAAAATATGTACTGTTTAAGTTACAGCATTTATGAAAATTCCTGAAGTGTTTTAATACATTAATATATATTTTTGTTTACAAGCAACATCATAGAAAGTACAACTCTCTCTTACCAAGGTTGACAAAAACAGAAAAAAGGCTGTCGACAATGGAGTCCATAAGAAGATCAATGTCCGAATCCTTTACATCACCACGATTTATAGCTGAAATGCATCATAACTCTGTTACACAGTACTGTAGCATGAAATGCATATATGAATGATTTAAGAGAAACATTATTTTCCCATGGAAATGCTTTTAGCAACTCATGAATGTACGATAACAAATAGTACAGTGAGCTTCATTCTTGACTCACTATCAGGGATCACGGGTTTGATTCCTGGAAGGGACAGAAATGGTAGGGCACAATTCCTTTCACCTAATGCCTCTGTTTACCTAACAGTAAATATGTATCCTAGGAGTTAGGCAACTGTTGAGGGGATGCAGCCTGGGAAAGGTCAGTAGTTTGACTTTGGGAACACCTTGATACAAGCCTAAAATAAATACTGTACAGTATATACTTCCAATCACCGACAAAATAAATAACGTACTATTAAAATAAAGTACATTAGTGTTTATATACCATATAAAATATGGTTGACCTTATGGTTCCCAAAACTAGATACAGGAAGCCTGTTATGCTTATCACAGTTCCCCTTAGGCCAACAGCTGACCTTGCTCAAGATGTAGTCCACAACAGACATGAAACATTAGACTATTAAAAATCATCAGGAAAGAAGATTGTTGAAAATTTGGGAAAGTAAATATTATAACAAAGGCACAACAACCTTCTGAGGAAAATCCTGCTTAACAAACTTGATTAAATTCTATGAAAGAGTCACCAAAACAAGACAAAAGATAGGTAGGATGGGTAGACTGCATCTTCCTAGACAGGCTGAGAGGAGTGGAAAGTGGTGTTCCACAGGGCTCTGTCCTAGGACCACTGCTCTCTCAAATTTGTGTAAATGACCTCCCAAACGGAGTGAGCTTGTACATGTTGATATTTGCAGATGATGCAAAGTTAATGAGAGTAAGAACCGAAGAGGATTCTAGGGTGCTTTAAGAAGACCTAGACAAACTTCACGACTGGGAATATAAATGGCTGCTGGAATTCAATCCAAGTAATCAACATAGTTAAAAGGGGGGTAGGCAACCTGTATTTAACTACACCTCAAGGGGGAAGGCAATTACAAGAAACAATAAGAGAAAAGTACCTGGGTGTAGACATTCCCAATACTAACACCAGAAACTCACGTGAACAGAAAATCTTTAGCAGCATATGGGAAGTTAGCAAACATACGAATATCATTTAAGAATCTAGATAAGGGGGTTTCAAGTTCATACACAGGGCCTATCTATATTAAAAGCAGGTAAAACAAGGAACATCAGTGGAAGCTGAACAAACAAATAAGTCGTAGAGATGCAAGGAAGTTTTTCTTCCCTGTACGAGTCGTCAGCAAGTGAAATGAATTGAAGGAAGAGGTCATTGAAGCCAATTCCAACCACAACTTCCAGAAAAAATATGATGAAAACATTTATGTTGAGAAATTATTTTGCACATCGGGCATGAACAACTAGGTGTGGTTTAAAGAACTAGATCTCATTCCCCCATAGTCACTGACAGGTAAACACTGATAGATGAATAGAGCCATCAGGTGAAAGGAAACATTACCCAAACACTTGTATTTTAGTTGAGGGAACTAAACCAGGACCTTTTTGGTTGTGACCCAACTGCACTAACTACTGCACCACAGGACCCCCTACATAGACCTATATTATGCCAGCACACAATTTTGGTTTACTCTTATAATTAGCTCACCATAGTAAGACAGTGAATCGGATCCTTGATGTTTTAAGGTAAACATGTCATCTTCTAAGCTGATGAAATTTACATATTGGTCATATACCTGAAAGAAGAAAACTTATTTGTCATACACAATTATGCTAAAGCAGTGCCGCTAATGAAGCTAACTACAAATAGACTTTAATGCATTGCAAAAAGTTCTGTCTTATTAATTTGTGTTGCACAAATTTTTAACATAATTAAACATACTCAGCTCAGAATTCAGACACACTTTATCTAACCAAACTAAGAGATGGAGAGGGAGGAAAATAGGAAGGGAAGAAAAAGAAAGGAGATGGTACTGTACCGCACATACTTCCACATGGAACCATTTTCTAATTTTAGTGTTTCTGAATGCAATATTTTGTGTTGAACTTTTGACATAAGTCTTAGTAATTTGTGATTTTGCTTTTCACCAATGACAAGAAAAATAAAGATTATTATTAATATTAATTAGTTTTCAGATTGCAATAATATTCTAGTTACATGATTCTTTTATAATGCTCTTTCTTCGTACATTAACTTTGATTCTTTGTTATAAACTATATTTTGTTCAATAAGGTATTTGTCCATCTTTCACAAAAACCATAAAATTTGGAAATACAGTATTTGGAAATATCAAGATGAAAACCTTGAGTACACCTCTATTTCTCAAAAAGACTAAAAATCAAATCTCACAATGTGTTGTGTTTGAAAATTCTGCCAAAGCTTGCAGGAAGCCATGCTAGCTCAGATTACACTTCTCTAATGTTCATCCAAAGCACAGCATGGAGGATGGTGTGTATTGTACTTTGAGTTGACAGCTACTGCTCTGAAGTTAGCTGAGCTGAATTCCAATGGAACACTCTTGAATGAAACAAAACAATTGTTCACACACCCCTACATAGTTTTGCTGCAAGTTTCTAGGATGATTGCTTCACACCACTGGAAAAGTATATCATTAAACCATGTCTTCTTGAATATGCCTAAATTCAACTAAAAAAATACAGTAAATTTAATCAAGTACAGTACAGTACATTATTGTTGCTGAATGATACAACCGATATGAAAATTGGTGACATGATTGGTAATGTTAAATGCCACTCCATTTTAATTGTAAAGCAGTTGGGTAAATCCACTGATGTGATCAATCTCTCCCAGCTTGCAATTCTCTCTTGCTTAGCCAATGGCCTATGGATAAGAGGAGTTCCGCTTTAACAGGTCCCTGGAAATAACAATGAATCTCATTTGGTAAGTATCCAAACTGACATATATTACCTTCTTAATATTTCCTTGGCATCCAGCTTGTAATGCTGCTAGGGCTAAATCTTCCATTTTCTGTCGGCTGATTGGAGAAATGAAATTGAGATAGTAGGATGAATATAGGCCATCATTAAAATCTTGCCCTATTCTTATCAAGTTTTCTTCCGTTGGTTGACAAAAATATATGGCAGGGACATCAGGAACCTCACCTCGTTCAGCATGGAGCAGCCTGAATAATACAAGTGATAACACATTACAGTACTGTCTTACTACACAATACAGTAATAGATATTTTTTATTTTCCATTCAATATGAAGCTATACATTATCTATCTTTTTCTATAAATTTCCTAGAGGCTAACACTCTTTAGTCATAAACATAAACCTTGAATGTGTGTGTCACTAGATAAACTATAACACTTAAAACAGCTGATGACTCCTTTGATTATATTTTGAGAAGCTGGTATATTTAACTGAACCTACCAAGTGAAGAAAGGGTATAAAGATTACAGACTCCCTGTTCTTATACGTAGTTAGGAAAAACATCGTGGGAATAGACGCAGGCAAAGGTCTGCATGAAGTAGTAGTAGTACAGTAGTTCCTACTCTCATGTATGATTGCGAGACGATGGTGAGGTGTCAACGTGAAAAATCAAGAGTTAAAGCAGTAGAAATGGATAATCTGAGAAGCGTGTGGTTTTAGAATAGATATACTGTATACAGGAAGTATGGAAAATATCATGTAAAGATGTAGAATGCAAAAGTCAATAAACCACAAGACTGATGCCTGAAAAAGGCATAAGAAATGCTCTTCTCCAAACCAAAGCCAAACCTCTGAACTCTAAGGAAGGAAATTGGCAAAGAGGCATCCCAACAAGTATTTCTTATTATCATTAAAACCAGGCATAAATTTTATGACATTAGAAAGTTTTGTTACTACCTGTGTACATCATTCAAATTATACTTATACTATACCAGCATGACCTTGCTGAGCAATTCCTTACATGTGGAGTGTGATGCCCATGTCTCGTAGCTCTTTGACTGAGAGGAGGGGCGAGATAATATCCTGTCCATGTTTGTCATAGATCAACACGGAGAATGTTGTTTCACTTCCCACGGTAGTATTTCCTACACCAGTGTTCAGATTAATTACGCGCCGCAGCGATGCTGTTAAATATAATAACACTATTAATATCACTCAATACAATAGTGAATATTTGAGTCCATAAAACAAATTTACTACACTGTTTTTATGGTATTTGATAATGTGTGTACTTTGTAGTAAAAAATCATCTGTTATTCTATAACTAAATCACATAAAAGTTTTGTGAATGTAATGAGGAGTGAGGAATTATTTCAAATGCCTTCACGAGTACCTTGCTGTATTACAATTAAATACTTTTTATTTATTAGAACATCATAATGGAAAACATGGTCTGAAAGGCAAAGAATAAGGGAGGTATAAAATTGGGGAAATTAATAAGGTGCTAAATATAAACTCAAAATGGAACAAGAAACAGTGAATACAAATTGGGTAAATTTAGATTCAGAAAAAACTTAGTAAATACTGGTTTGGAAAGAAAGTTGTTGTTTTATGGAACTGAATACCAGGTAACATCGTGTATGTGAGATCAGTCACTACATTGTTTTAATCATAGCTTTGGTTAGGTATAAATGGGAACTTCTCCACATGGGCCAATAGGCCTTCAGTAGTTTCTTCATTTCTTATGTTCTAATACACTAATTTCTAATGAACCATGACCTAACTTAAGGATTGTGGATATTTGCCTGAATTTACCTTAGGACCAGGAAGCTGGCAGCTTGTCAAAGGTTCCATCAATGTTCCTGATATTTTTTTCCAACTGCACTTTTAAAATAAAGTAATATCTTGGCATTTGTGGCTTTGGCAGGTGAAAAAGCATTTCATATAAGAATATAAGAATGAAGGTAACTGCAGAAGGCCTATTGGCCCATATGAGGCAGCTCCTCTTTATAACCACCCAATCCCACTCATATACCCACGTCTGAAACAATCGAGGGACCCCACCTCCACCATGTTATTTGGTAATTGGTTCCACAAATCAACAACCCTATTTTGCCCAACAGTGTGGCTTGTTGAGCTTACAGCTGTTACCTCTTGTATTATTATTACATTTGAGCTAAACAAGTGATCTGGATTAATACCCTCCATATGGTTCAGTATTTTAAAGATCTGAATGAGATCAGCCCTGTCATGTCTGGTTTGTAGTTTTGTTAGTCCTATGACCCTAAACCATTCCTGGTACAGTATGAGAATTGACTTAGTTCTGGAATGATTTTTGTGACAATCTGTTGAACTTCCTCCAAAGCCGGTACAGTATATTAGATATGCCCGAAACGCTGTGCGTGTTAGTGGCTTTACAAGAATGTAAAAACATTTATGCTATGAACTCTCATACCCCCATGTACCTTCTTGTATATAAAATGAATAAATACAAGAATGTAACAATTCTTTTATATATCAATAAAAAAAAATATATGTGCAGCTGAATAAACACTTTCTTTTCCTTCAAGTAAAAAATTCTTTTGACTTTAAAAAGTATCATTTCTGCTCCCTAGGGAAAGGGAGCCGGTCGGCCGAGCGGACAGCACGCGGGACTTGTGATCCTGTGGTCCTGGGTTCGATCCCAGGCGCCGGCGAGAAACAATGGGCAGAGTTTCTTTCACCCTATGCCCCTGTTACCTAGCAGTAAAATAGGTACCTGGGTGTTAGTCAGCTGTCACGGGCTGCTTCCTGGGGGTGGAGGCCTGGTCGAGGACCGGGCCGCGGGGACACTAAAAGCCCCGAAATCATCTCAAGATAATCTCAAGATACTACTTGACCATAGATTTTTGTATCATCTGAAAGTTTGATGGTGTGGTTTGTAATATTTTCATCTATGTCATTGATATATATGATAGAAGGGACTGGCACCAAGATGAAACCTTGCAGATTGTGCTACGTCAGAACAGACTCCGGCAGAAGCATGTAACAAGCATCCTCGTCTCAACCCATCACAACAAGGTTGTACCATTTTTAACATCCAACTGCTGTAACCAAACTATATTAAATAAATATAAAAAAGCCACCATACTCTTTGAATAATCCCACAAAATCATGTATGTTACAGTCTCATACAGTATTTAGGACTAACATACAAATTCTAAACCAGTATTAGATCTCGCTCATAAATTATGAAATGTCAAAGACTTTATTTATTCAATAATTAAAAATAGGTATAATGTAAGACACCATTGTTGTTGTTGTTTTTAATTCAGGTACTTAGAACAAAAGTTCCAAAGTAGCACGGGCTATGGTGAGCCCGTAGTGGACTTATCTGGCATAGGAGCGGGGCCATAACTGCGAGAGGTGTGAGACACCGCCGAGTGGTTGCTTTATACCCAAGTGGCCAGAAATGGGGCGACTTGTCCTGATCCCTAACCACAAAAGTCTGCAATATCCTGTACATATCATGCCTTTATCCCCCTGACACTACACGTATACCTAAGAAAAAATTAATACAGTTAAATGTAGTGTGGGGGTTGAAGTAGTGTTCCCAAGGGGGTGTGGTGCATCTCCAGGAAACTCTTACCAATCTGCCTGTCGCGGAGAGTGGTCGCCATGACTTGTTTACGTGGAGGGAGCAGGGAGCCTAAATGTTATTGCTCTCCTTACTTAAAGGTCTAATTACATTTTTGCTCAGTTACTCTTTATAACTGAAATTACGCTTACTTCCTTTAAAATATAATATTTCCTCCATTCAAATCAGTAATAGTGATTAGTGGTGGAATATAATATTACATACACCGACTCAGTAATTAATGTAATGAGACTGTAATTATTACACATAAAACATTATTCTTATTCACATTTTTCTTCTTCTTCTTCTGTTACTTCTTTTTCTTATTATTATATATATGAAGTCAAAAGTGGCCCATCTTCAATTCGTTATAACACGTCGATGGGCTTTTCATAACACTCTCTGGCCTCGTATTTAGAGACAATTAAAGAATTCCCTTACTGTTGACCTCGTCTATTAAACATAATTAAAATATTATATATAAATAAACAATTATAGTTCATGACCTCCGTTTGTTAAATATTCCTATGCCTCAAATGGAGATCACGGGATTGCGTCATACTACAATATAGTGATTAAATTATTTTTTTTGGTAATAACAAACATATTTATTTTCTATTAATAGAATACGTTGGGTAAACTTTTAAAAATATCGCAAAATTCTGTTAAAATTTTAAAATCATTCCCACAATTCAATTAAGATGCATATATGCAAGTACAGTATAAATGTATTGATGATATAATTTATATCATATTGTACGTAATAATATAATTAATATACAAAGTGACATAAAAAATTCTGCCTTTATTTTGTTATAATTAATGAGACATCAATGACCATTGATGACCCAATACCAACAAATGTCGGGCTGTGGCTCAGGAAAACGTGAGAACTCTCCCGTTGACGGCGCCAGGTAAGACATGTAGAATGTTTAACATTCAGAATGTTCAGTAATATGTTAGAGTGAGCGTCATATGTGTCTATATATGTATGTAGATGAACACGTTGTAGTGAACGGTGGTGAGAATAGCATGAGCTACCTCATCACTTTGTGTGTATTTATACCTCAATAAACTTATTTCAATTCATGTGAGTTCCTGAGATTTTATGAATATAGACTTTATATTGTAGTGTCTGTGTATAGAGATAATTCATAATGATGGGCATATTACATCATCCACATTATATTATATGAATTACAATCACATTACAGTATATTACATTATAAAATACCAAACTACATTGTATCAAACTGGCCCTAGGCAGCACTCGGTATCCTTAATTAAATCTTTGAATATGTTAGATATTAAGTCACTGTACATTCTCTCATGTGTATTGTGTATATTTAAAACTCAGAACTGCATTGTCAATCCTGACCTTAAAAGCTTCCTAGAAGGTTGTAACAGAACCCATGGGCACCACACCAGGAACAAATACCTTTTTGATATTTCAAGAGTGCCACTTATCCTAACTAGAAATGCTCTACAAATCAAGGGACCCAGAATGTGGAATGACCTTCCCAATCTTGTCAAAGACTGTACCTCTCTCAACCAGTTTAAGATGAAAACTAAGTACTACCTAATTAATTCCATGTAACCTACCTTATCCCTAAATGTCAACCATGTCTTATTATTTTCAAACAGTACTGTTTGTTGACCGAGTTGTATAATTGTTGATTTCTGCCATGTCCCCTCCCCCCCTTTTTTTTTCCTTTTTCAACACAATTTATACCTTAATATCAATTAGTATTAAGTTTTAGTCTAAGTCCCCCCCCCCCACACCTTGCTCGAAACGCTGTGCGTATTAGTGGCTTTAGGTTTTGTATGTACTAGCTCTGTCTATAAATCCAACATTATGTTTGTAACTCATCTATGTATGTACTTTTACTTGAATAAACATTTGAGTTGATTTGATTATATGTATTATCAATAATATATTACAATCGTCAAATTATTGTGTGTTGCTGAGAGAAAGAGTTTCATTAGTGTGACAGTCAGTTATGTGTACAGATAGTTCTTAACTTATATGGTAGAGTAGCAAACCTGCTGCACTCTGAAATTCTATTTTTATTTTTTTTATAGTTAATTTTTGTTCTCGGTGTAAAGGAACGTTAGGATGAGAATTAAATATAATTACTGTAGTCTACCTCACTTTTAATTTGTAAAATGTGTAGCATTTAGCTTCATAGGGTCCCAGTAGTACAGTTGGGTTTGTTCTTGATGCACAATCAATAATTCCAGGTTCAAATCCTAGGCGGAACAGAAATGGTTGAGCACATTTTCTATCACTTAATTCCTCTGTTCACCTAGCAGTAAATAGGTACCCAGGAGTTTGCTTGTTGTGGGGTTGCATCCTTGGGAGGGTCAGTAATTTGATCCTGGGGGGAGGGGACCTTGATGTAAGCTTAACGTGTACTGCATAATTCATAATCAAATTTTTGAGAGGAGAAAAGCTCATGTGGCAGATATTTTTTAATATTTGTCTTGCAAGTGTCTACTGATCTAGGATTATAGCATTTAAAAATTGAAAATATAGTTTTAATTTATGAATACATTACATTAACATATTTACCTGTGTTTATCTGATGGCCACTTACACACTAGTGGCCTCGATGAAGATAGAAAGCCGGCGGCTTGTCAAAGGTCCCCCCATTTGTCCTGATTATTTTTTCTAGCTGCATTTTCAAATTCAAGAGAGTTTTGGCATTTACAGATTCTGCGGGTAGGCAGTTCCAGGGTTCCATAACCCTGTGGTGGTAAAAGCATCTTTTTTCGGTCCTACATTGTTTTTTCTTGAGCTTGAAACCATTGTTTTGTTGTTTGTGTTACATCTAAGCTTTGGAAAAAGTTATCTGCATCAACATCCTTCAAATTGTTCAGTATTTTAAAGGTTTTGACAAGATCCCACTTCTCATGCCTGGTTTGCAGTGTTGTTAGCCCTAACAACACTGTATTGTAAATCTCTGGAGTGCCCCTTGGGTGCTTCAGAGATTTATATAGTTGAATAACTACCTTCTTTTCCCTAAAGTCAAAGGTACTTTTGATTTGCAATTTAAGTTGAATTTAAGTAAAAGAATAGACAAAACTTAACAGGCAGCAACAAGCTAACAAAGCTAAATGTATCTTCTGCTTTATGTACATACTAGTATACAATATATTGTTTGTCATTTTGTTGCTGTGGGCCACCAGTACAGTATAATGATTCTTTGATTACATCAATTAATTTCTCTCTTTCTCTCTCTCTTTCAGTGCAGTATAGTATTACCATGACGGTGCTCTCGCGGATAGTCAATGGCATGCAATATAGAAGGCACTTACCATTACAGCCGTCTCTCTTCACGTGTTTTGGGAAAGGATATGGCTCTCCAACCACTGTTATGACACGTGGACTTCGGCAGCCACGACGAAGGATACGACAAGGTGGAATGAATCTGGCACCGAATGATCTTCTAGACGCTCCTAATGTAAATAATATGAGTCGTGGCTTAGCCAAAAGTCTGTTATTTGCTGGAGGCTTTTGCAGCACTACATTTCTTGCTGCAACAATATGGAAATATGAATCACTACGATCCCAGCTACAACACAATTCATGGATGAACTGGGCAAATAAGCAATTGAATAATTTAGAAGGATGGGATCACAAACAAGGTGAATTTCGAAAAGCAATAAATAAGTGGTGGAATGGGCTTAGTGAAGGTCAGAAGGTGTTTTGGCCAATTTGCTTCATTAATGCTGTTGTGTTTGCATGTTGGAACAAACCGTCTTTTCAGCAGACCATGCTACGCTACTTCTGTTCCAATCCAGCAGCCCGTGCTGTATGTTGGCCAATGTTCCTCAGCACTTTTAGTCATTTTGCATTTTTACATTTTGGTATGAATATGTATGTATTACATAGTTTTAGTTCTGGTGTGTGTGGATCATTAGGTAGAGAGCAATTTGTTGCCATGTATCTGAGTGGTGGCGTGATATCATCTCTTGCTAGTCACACATTTAAAGTAGTTATGCGATGCCCAGGACCATCATTAGGTGCCTCTGGGGCCATTATGGCCCTGCTTGGTTACTTTTGTACTCAATATCCAAATGCACAACTTGGAATCGTCTTCATTCCTGGCCTTAATTTTTCTGCCGACACTGCTCTTAAGGGAGTAATGTGTCTGGATGCTGTGGGAATGGCCCTTGGGTGGCGTGTTTTTGACCATGCTGCTCACTTAGGAGGAGCTCTCTTTGGACTTATCTATGCCTGCTATGGACCAAAATATATTTGGGGTAACAGCCAACCACTGATGAAAAAGTGGCACGAGTTAAGAAATGAAATTAATAACAGAGTGGAAGGAAGCAAAACAAGAGAGGAATAGAATTCTCAATGAGTTTGTGAGACCAACAATCTACATGTGGTTACAGTGGATATGTTCTCATGTTTATGTAGAATATTCACAGGTAAATTGAAGCAACCATAAGCTAATTTTAGTCTTGCTTTAATTTTGTTATGTTAAGGAAATGTTTTGCAAAATTACATTTTGTATAAACTATGGTTTAAAAATTATCTTCCCAAATTTATAACAAAATTTTCACATTTGTAACTTGGCCTAACACAGGGTGTGCTGTACTTGGGCCCCCCCAAAAAGGGGGGGGGGGGAATAAATATTACTTATAAAAAAGTAGAATTTATCTTGCAATTTTTAATTTCATGAATTATTAATTGCATTGTTTGTGCATGGAATTTTATCCATCGTGAGATTTGTTAAATTATTTGAGAAAGACCTCAACTGAACAAATATCTCATGAAGTACAGAACTGGGTATAGGTTTTCCCACTTTTTTTTGTCTGAATACTGTACATGTTATCAGTCATACCAATTCTCATTAAAGTGTATTTAAAAAATTTATATACAGTAACAAGACAGTCTGTTGCAATAAAACATTACAATGTATTTGCACTTATTAAAAAGCTCATGGTTTGAGCTGTGGGGTTTTATATGTTTTGTTGAGAATGAAAACCAAAACTCAAAGGTGTTCTTGATACTTTAAAGTATGTGAACAAGACTTATTTGTTTTTCCTTTTTTTAAGATTTTATTTCTGTCTTGTACAAGTAATGTCTTGTAGCTTCCTGTTGTAAATATTAAAACAGTTTCCAGGGAATCTGCTCGGAACTATTATATGATAGACTGCTGTGGATTATAACTGATAAATAATATTTCCTTACTGTGATTTATTTTATCTATACATACTTCATAATGAAGCAGGTTCAAAGGTCAGGATGATTAACAACATACTGCTGCCATCACCTACACCATTGTCATTAATTCATCATCATCGCAATCATCATCCTTGTCATTATCACTAATTTTTGTGCCCATTTGCATTTCAAAGCTATGGATTTAGGGAAGGGATCTTCCATTCCAGACTTGTTAGATGCAAACCGTTTCCATATCTCAGAGTGCATACAGTAGCAGTGCTTGCAACACTAATGAATTTTGCTTGTTAGTGCCTGTCATCACTGCCTCATACTAATTAGAGTTTGAGACAAATTAGGTTTTCTTCCTTAAACCTTAAAAAGTTCAGATTTGAAAGTAATAAGTTCTTAAAATACAGTTGAGAATGATTAGTATACAGTGCTCATATGCTAATTGTAGAGAAACACTATGCTGCAAGTTGATATATATTGGAGATAATGTCTTGTCTGAAATAGCCATATCAATTTAACCGTTACAGATGGCTATTGTTTGTAAAGGGCAAGATGCAGTTTTGTGATTGCTACACCCTAGACTGTCTTATGAGAAGGTGTATTTTTTTGTATTTTTTTTTGTAATTGAGTTTGGAATTTTCCAATCTCCTATATTCAAACCTGACCTGTCAATTAAATTTTGTATAATGTATATAAATATTTTGATTATAAAAATGTAAATATAATTATATACTGTACTTATTTGACTGAAATTTATTATCCAATTTTAATTTAAGGAGTTTCCTTAGTATGGTTCCCATTCCAGAGCTTATTCTGTATGTAGAAACTGGTGTTCCATTTTTACTTTACTGCTGTGATGGTTATAGTATTGCCTTTAATACTGATCTTTCAATGTCCCGTCCATGTTTGTACTGCAACACGACTAATTCCTCCATGCTTGAGTGAGAGCCCAGGGAAGGCTTAAAGTTCCATTTGGGTAGCAGTTAGTTGTGTCTGGAAGCCTTCCCCAAATAGCTGTTCATAGCATGGTTGATAAAGCTATTGTCTCCTGCTCTGGGTCAGAAGTTTGAGACTCTTAGGGTCAAATGAAAAAAATATATACAATATATATATATACACCCCTATATATAGTATTGTGTATAAATCTCACCCTCTCAGTCACATTCAACAATACTGTACATATATATTATATAATTAATTTCATTCTAATTTCCCTAATAAAAAATAAATAAAATTTCTCCCCCATTTTCCCCACACTGAACTGGTAAATAACTACATTAAACAACCCTTATTTCTGGCATGATTTCATGTAAATCACATGGTGGGGGGGGGTACTATACATGCCTATATTTCTTAAAATTGTGGCACTGGGAGGACAACACAACTGGTCTACGATACTCCCATTACCCCTATGTGTCATTGTGGAGAGCTGGATAAGGAAAGCTCCAATCATGGGGCCGTCAACCTCACCTCAGAAAGACACAAATATTTTTTTTATATAGGTATAGGTATAGACCAGATGGTGGTACCCCTGTTGTGACTGGGTCTTTCTCCTCCTCTCCACTCTCTCATCTCTCTTCCCTTATCCCCCCTCCCCTTTTTGTTCATCTGCAAATCCCCCACTCCTCCTTCTCAACCCTTTCTCCCAATCATCTCTCCTTCCATTTCTACCCTCGTCCTCCCCTCTCACCACATTTCTCCCCACTTCTCTTCAAACTTCCCTCACTCCCTTTCTACCCCTCCCTACTCCACCTTTCTTTCCCTCTCTCACTTCTCCCTCTCCCCAATTCTCTCATCCTTTCCATCCTTTTTTAACTCGTCTGGCCTCCCCTACCCTTGCTTGACCGTCCTCTCTCTTCCAGTATCCCTCCTACACTCTTACTCTTTTTTGGAGTACTCACTATTTCATTTACTCACAGATATTGGAAGATATTCCGATACTTTACTCAAAGTTTGTTAGTGCAGGCTAGTAGATTATTTTTCTTGGATTCCCATATATATACGATTTGTCCTGGGCGTGTGAAGGGAGGAAATAATCTATACTCTGTAATCCCTCATTAAAATAGGGTAGTGCAATACTGTTATGTATCAAAGCTTGTTATTTCACATAAATTAAATAGTTGAGAGATTCATTATACCTGCAGTTACCTGCCATATATATAGTTCTTGACCTGTAGCTTCACCTATTATCCCTATCTCACCGGATGGTTCATTATACATGGGATGCGAATCTTGTCTACTACGGGTAACAATTTGAGCAGTTCGGGTGCTGCTCTGATGAATTGGCCAAATATGGAAGGGTGGCTTGCTGAAGGTACTACTCAGTGGCCGCTTCACTATGTAACTGGCTCGCCACACCTGCCAGTTATCACAGTAACAAGATTATCGTGTATAACCGAACTCAATTACGGGCTCACCATAGCCCGTGCTACATGGACATTTCGTTATGAGTAGCTAAATCTAAAACAACAACAATATGTCAGTTTCTCAGTTTGGACACCCTTGTGGTCTAGCTAATCAAGTAATTATGCTGTAAAAGACTATAATACAGTGAACAAATCCACAAGGGCCGTGATGAAGGTTCGAACCTACGTCCGTGATGATCGAACCCGGAACCCTCATTCCATTGGGTTTGGGAAAATAAGGGTTCGAACCCTCATCACGGCCCTTGTACTCACCTAGTTGTGCTTGCGGGGGTTGAGCTCTGGCTCTTTGGTCCTGCCTCTCAACTGGTGTACAGATTCCTGAGCCTATTGGGCTCTATCATATCTACATTTGAAACTGTGTATGGAGTCAGCCTCCACCACATCACTGCCTAATGTATTCCACCTGTTAACTACTCTGACACTGAAAAAGTTCTTTTTAACGTCCCTGTGGCTCATTTGGGTACTCAGTTTCCACCTGTGTCCCCTTGTTCGCGTTCCACCCGTGTTATTAAACAGTTTATCTTTATCTTCCCTGCCAATTCCTCTGAGAATTTTGTAGGTAGTGATCATGTCTCCTCTTACTCTTCTGTCTTCCAGTGTCGTGAGGGGCATTTCCCGCAGCCTTTCCTCATAACTCATGCCTCTTAGTTCTGGGACTAGCCTAGTTGGTTTGAAGGATGTATTTAAATACATATATATTTATAAGTTTCAATGTACTTTATGTAGATAAATTTATAATATGATAATTACTATTGTATAATTTTTATTTAACGTTCCATATATAAGCATAATTAATGCATTGTATGTAGACATTTAATGAACGCATCTGATAAATATGCAATTAAATTAATACCATTGTACCACACCTCATCATTGATTCATATCCATCAGTAGAGTACCAAAATAGCCAGTAGTTGAATAAGGGAAAATGACCTCACGTCTACGACAAGAATTGTCATAATTTGTGTTGAAATATTTACTATCGTGCGCCATTTTGCATCATCTGAAAATCTGTTTGTTTGTGGCACGGCCGCCGTAGCTCGATAATACTTTCCTCCTCCCACTAGTCGCTCTCCTCGGTGTCCTGCGGGGGTTTTAAATGTGCAGAGAGGCCAGGCCAGGTGTGGAGAGGTGGATAACACGCCCATGTGGGCGGAAATAAGTCAGTGGTGCCGGTAATAGCCCCTGAAACTTAGGCGTGTACACAGACCTCTGCTCCTGAAGGGCGTTTTACGACTACTTCAAGTTTTTCTCTCGGTTATTTTTGTCTTTTCTAGTTTTTTTTATAGCAAGGGTATGATAAGTTACCTCTAAAGTATCTTCTGGGAACTGATCACATTTGGAGTAATATGAGCAGGATTTCCATATCAAGGTAAGGCGTGTGTGTATTGATGAGGGTTTGTAGTGGTTGGGTGGGCACTGGTGAGAGGTCACTGTGGGTGTCGCCCACTGTGGTGCCCACTGTGGGTGCCGCCCACTGTGGTGCCCACTGTGGGTGCCGCCCACTGTGGTGCCCACTGTGGGTGCCGCCCACTGTGGTGCCCACTGTGGGTGCCGCCCACTGTGGTGCCCACTGTGGGTGCCGCCCACTGTGGTGCCCACTGTGGGTGCCGCCCACTGTGGTGCCCACTGTGGGTGCCGCCCACTGTGGTGCCCACTGTGGGTGCCGCCCACTGTGGTGCCCACTGTGGCCACACTGGCTGCCCTCTGAGGCACCCACTGTGGCCACACTTGCTCGTAACAACATAGCAATTTAAGAAAAGTGCACAACACAAGGCTTATTGGCCCACAAGTTGCACCACCTATTTATATCCACCCAAACTCATTCCTATAGATGTCTTGAAACACTCGAGGGATCCCATGACATGTCCATGTCATATATGTATATCAGGAAGGTAGCATGACTGAGATGATCAGAACAGTTTTCTTGAAGTGCACTTATGTGATCTTGCCCCAAAGAGTTTGTTTCTTCTTAACTGCTTGATGGGGTTCTGGGAGTTGCTCTACTCCCCAAGCCCATGTCTGAGGCCAGGCTTGACTTGTGAGAGCTTGGTCCACCAGGCTGTTGCTTGGAGCGGCCCGCAGGCCCACATACCCACCACAGCCCGGTTGGTTTGGCACTTCTTTTAGAAAATTAGATAGTTTTCTCTTGAAGATGTCCCACGGTTGTTCCGGCAACATTTCTTGAGCTTGCTGGGAGGATGTTGAACAGCCGCGGACCTCTGATGTTTATACAGTGTCCTCTGATTGTGCCTATGACACCTCTGCTCTTCACTGGTTCTATTCTGCATTTTCTTCCATATCGTTCACTCCAGTACAGTGTCATTTTACTGTGTAGATTTGGTATCTGGCCTTCCAGTATTTTCCATGTGTATTATTTGGTATTATCCTCTTGTTGGGAAGAGGAAGCCAGTTTGGCTCCTTTAGGCCAGGCTAACACCTGTCCTTCCCCAGGTTGCAACCTCACAGCAGTCTTCATTCACTCAGTTATTGATGTCTCTGGTGGATTAAAAAAATATTTGTAATATTTAGTTTATTTAGTTTTTGTTTCAAAAAATGGTATGAATCAAAAGATCATGAATTTTATCAAATGACCCAGGATCGAAGCTGCAATATATTCAAACCCATTGATATAGTACTGACAAGCTTGCGCATACTAAAATTTTGGTGAATGACAGGTGTTTAGACATCCGAATGCTGGTCTTCATACAAATGTGTATTATACCCATTTTCCATTTAGTGATATAAACATGTAGAGCACAACTACAGTATATTTTATCACCCATCATATCCATACCATTGCAGAGCAAGAATATTATGTACATTGTCACCAGAATGAGAGATACATGGGCAACTGTAGATAGTTAGTGGATGTTTGGTTGCACCTGCGACTGTTAGATATCATTGGGGGATAGGGTGGTTGTTGCCACCTTGAACTGAACTTGAGCCATCAGTGCTCATTTAACCTCTGTATGAGTAACGTTAACCCAGCTCATCTCATCCCATTGCTGCCCTCTTACCCCTCTGATGCGATATTCATCTTTATTCAATGTTATTACAGGTACTGTACAGTAATTCAATTATTTGTAATGAGAATAGGGTCACCTTAAATGAATCTGCAGAAATAGTGGTCAATATAACACATATAAATTAGTCTATGCATTTTTTATGCGAATTGATGTGTGGGAACGAGTTCCTGGGACTCAAGTTGCCCCTCATGTTTATGTACACTCGCAAACCAAGAATATAGATTCTTGATGTTTTTACTAACAAAAATTCTATATTTTCTGTAGGGCACCACACACAATGCTTGGCTAATGTAAATTTATACTGTACTGTAATGATTTAATAGTTTATATTATTTTATCTTTTGTTATTAATGAATTGTTTAAAGAGAATTGTTATAAAACTAATGTTGCAGTGTATTAATCAGTAACCTGATAACAAAGCTGTGTGATTTGGGTGTCTGTCCAAACTAATTGAACTAAAATACAGAGTTGGTTTTAGCTTAATTCCCTAGATTTAGGTTACTGAGTTCTGAATTAATGAGTTTCTATTGTACTGTATTGTATTTAGAAATTTTTGCTTATTTTAAAAAATTCACCATCATTTGCTCTACATTTTCATAATCAAGAATTATTTGTTGTATTTTACTAGAAAAGTTGTACATAGCAGGTAGATGCCAAGTATATGCTGCAGCAGATACATTAAAGCATGTGAAGCACCGATATGAATGGTCAGTGTCTCTGAGTTGCCAGATATAGTTTATTGTGGAGGAAAGAACACCAATTTTCTTTTCATGCACCAGATCAGAGAGAGTGGGTGGGTGGTCAGGGTGTCTGCCTTCTAATATGTAGGCTAGAGTTGGGGAACCAAGACAGGTTTCTGTTAATATTCAGCAGAAAACCTTTCCTTTATAATTGTTTTTACTCTTAAGCTCAAATAAACTACAATATAGTTCTGAAAAAATTTCGTTATCTGGTAGAGTATAATGTCTAACTTATGAAGACTTAAACAAAAATTAAAATAATCTATAAGCGAGTGTTTACAAGTTTTTGCTTTTAAATACTAAATTTTCATCCTTTTATCACATGTGTAAATGGGGATAATCTTTTGACCATGCTAATATGATTGCAAAATTTGTAGATAGTGCTATATACAGGTACATTACCTCTATGAAGGATGTATATACAGTATTTTGTTCTGATGCTAATTGTTGGGATCACATATTTGTCTTTTAATATACAGTATTTTTTATATGGCCAGAATTGTTCAGCTATTCTGTATATTAATAATTTAATCAATTTCACCTTAAAAAGGTTTTAATAATACAATTTTTTTTCCTTTTACCTTAGGTGAAACAAGATGTTTTGGAAGTACAATTTTGGCTCCTCTGTCCAGATTGAGACTCTTCTACAAAAAGAAGTAAGTATGGAAATTCATGTTTCAATAGAGAGTATACAATATATCTGGGCAGAATGGGGATCCACTACAGACCTAAATGTTGTTTTAGCAAATGACGATCACCCCATAAACATTCTGCTTTTTCATTGGTATAACTCATAATATTTACCATAGCTAGAATAGCTTAGGCTTCACTTTTTTAGGATCTATTTCCAGTTATACTAAAAACTACATTTGGCATATCTGTAAGTGATGCCACTGGCATAACTGCTTTTAGTAGGCATTTAAGCATTTTTGCACTTTTTTTTTTAAAGTCTAATGAGAGTTAGATTTTATCATGTTTCCAAACATCACAACGTTTCAGTGTGGTATCATAGCTAATGTATTCTTTGTAGTTATAGGAGCATGAACCATTATTTGTATTAATTACAGTATTAAGATATATTAATATACGAAAGTACTTGAGGAAATTCCTGTTTTAATTTTCCTCCGTGGTCTGACACTGTCACATTTTTAATCACATGTTTATTTTTCATGATTTACGCACATTAATTATTAACTAAGTGCTATTTCATGAAAATTGTCTGGGAATTTAGTTACAAAAATGCAAAAGCATATCAATGCTATTTCAGAATCTTTGCTTCAGTTTCAATAGAAACTATTTCCTTATACAGTACAGTATTTACTGTGGCATCCCTCGTAGTAGTTGAATCTTCATTTTGAGGATACCGGTCTGACAGAACCACGATGCTAAGAAGAGATCCTGTTTATTGGGTAGGAATCCGAAAATGAAGCAATAAGAACAATGGATTTTGAAGAGAAAGGTGGTAAAGAACAAGTTAAAGGGAAGATTTATGTGAGTGGGGTCTTTTTTGATAAATAGAATTACTAAACTATATACAATATTTTACTCGTCATTTATTTTTCAGGATGTTACGCTTTCGGAACTCATGGATGAGGATGAACTCCTCCAAGAATGTAAAGCACAAAATAGAAAACTTATTGACTTGTAAGTACAGAATTCATATAATTTTTTTCCTGGTATTGAAGTAGAATTCCATTTTGTAATATTTTTGATTTGGAAATGTTTTGATTAAATTATATTTATAAATACTGTATTTGTATAATGTATATCTATACATACAGTACTGTATATATATTTTTTCAGTCTGACTCGAGCAGAGATCCTTGATGAGTTAGTATGTTTAGTGGTAAATGAGCCAGCCATGGATGGGGAGTTGCAGATGCGTTTCAAATATGCTAACTTGGCTGCAGAGTTACTAACTGCGGATGTTCCAGCAATCATAGACAAGTTGGTTGCTTCTACAAATCTTTTAGATATCTTGTACAAGTAAGTTTTTAATTTGTAGCATGTTTGTGCTATTTAGTAAATTTCTTATTATTTGGATGTCCATTTATTTTTAGTAATATGAAGTGCAGACAACAGTTATAAGTTAAAGCCTGTTGGGCAGAGATGTTATTTTCAGATAATATTGCCTATTTAAAAACCAGGTAGAGCCAATTTGTACAGAGTGAACTTTTTGTAAGGAAAAATAGAATAGCTTCCCGTGGTCTCAATGTAATGTTTGTATAGTACTGGCTGTAACCCTCAAGGAGCATTTATCATCATCATATGTTGATTCCTATGCTAATGTGGTTGTTATACACTGATTTTGTTATTGTCTGGTATACCCATGATGTTAATTAATATGGGTATAATATCTTTATATAAATGTAATTCAATTTACCTAGGTCCATTTAAAAAACCTGCTATTGTTTCTTGATTCTTGACTATGTGACTGATGTTATCATTTTATACAAATTATCATCCATAGTTTATACATACAGTAAATTCTTTTGGTTTTCTCAGCTATGTGCTTATAATGAAGTCTACCAGGCCAACTAATTGTCAATTGAACCACTATCATGCATTAAGTGTACTAGAGGCTTGCTGTCATCTTTGTGTAAATTTGGGTTTCCTGGCAGTGTTTGAATCTATACTGTTGCCCATATAGTTGTAATTATCTCGTATGGCATTGCCTAGGACCTGAACTATCATCAAGAAGTACTTTTCACTTGGCTTCCCCTCTACCCTATCCTTATTTTCATCAACACTGAACTATCCAGAGACATTAGGAAATAAAGAATATACCTTTTGGGGGAAGGTAATGTACATAATTCAGGAACACTATGGATCTAAGGACTAAACCTTGTTACTTCTCTCCATCCTGACATTCTTCTCTGTGAATGTGTCTGCTTACCTAGTTTACTAGAAATTATTCCCTTGCTTAATTTACTAGAATTCCTGTTACCTCTTCCAAGTTTGAGTTCATGTTTGACGTTCTCAATCTTTCATTTAGAAAATATTATATAATAATATGTGCTGAAAGAAGCTAGTGGAAATTGCAGAAGGCCTAATAGAGTATGTGGGCAGAGGGCCTAGAGGCATGTGTGAGCAGAAGGCCTAGAGGCATATGTGAGCAGAAGGCCTAGAGGCATCTGTGAAAAAGTTCCTATTTATATTCACCCACCCAGTCTTATATATATTTAACCTATGGTTGAAAAATCCAGTAATCCTTTGATTGTTAGTGGTTCATACATTTGTACAATACAGTATTTGTTAAAATCTTAATATATAATATATAGTAAGAATTGAGATCGATTTGCCCCATTTCACATGGGACAGGATGCACACATTATAGGCAAGTTTGATTTAATATTTTGTTTTTAATATTTCTATTTATTTCCAGATTCCTCAAGAAGGAGAAACCCCTGAATCCACTGTTGGCATCATTTTTCTCCAAAGTTCTGGGCATGTTGGTACAGAGACGATCAGAGCAGGTGAGTTTGTTCCTACAGAGAAACACTACACCGCTACTGTGGATCTGGGGACGGTGATATTAATCTGGACAACAAATGTATGAAACATTAACGCTACTCTGAATAATTAGGCTGAAAATTTGTATGTTGTAAAGGTAATTATAGAATAGTTTTTAATGGAAATATGTATTAGTCATTATGACAGTGTATAGTGCAGTAAATCTTCCAAAGTTACCTGTTATAGTTATATTTGTTGAAGTTACCTGATTTAATGCTCTTGCCTCAATGTAAATGGTTTAACTTAAGTTTTATTTAACCTAAGTGGGAATTGAGCATGTTAATAGGATTAAAAGTGTTTAGTTTGTAATATGATGTTTTGATCTACTAATGGGTTTGACATCCACCACCACCTTTCTTAAATTGTTCCATCTATGCATAACTTTTTGCAAAAGATAACTTTCTTACATTTCGTTGGCACCTTTGTTTCATTCGGTTGAATCTATGGCCTCTTCGTTCTTGAAGTTGGAGGTTTCAAAAATTCCTCCTTGTCAGTTGTGTCGATTCTTGTGATTGTTGCTTCTTTTCATTCTGTCTTCTAGCTTTGGCATATTTACTGCTGCTAGCTTCTCCTCATAGCTCTTATTTTTGTAGTTCCAGAAAATATTGAATCGTATGTCCTTTTCACCCTTTCTAGTTTGTGCGCTTCTTGAGATTTGGATACCCTACAACTGCTCTATATTTTAAGTTGAATCTAAAAATTGTCAGGAACAGTGTCTATAGTATTACCCCATCTATATATTTAAACACGATTCTGAAATTTGCAAGTGTAGCATATCTCATAACACCTTTGTTCCTATTCTACAAATGTTTTATCACAGAAAATATTAAGTGATGTTGATTGTTTGATATATGTAAATATATGAACACATGTTGAACGGGGGTGAAAATTGCTTGAGCTGCCTCCTCATCCTTTTGTATGTGTTTATCTAAAACCCAGTTAAACTTAAAAGTCATTTTCAATTCCATTGTTGCATATATTTACATTCAGTCTGCCATGTGTTGCTCCAGTTTCTTATTTTGTCTAGGTCAAGGGAACTTTTTGTGAATGTGTGATTAAATTGGCAATAATTTTCTAAAAAGTTCTCTTGTGCCAATGGAGAAAAATATGCTTGAAATCATTCTTAAAGAACTTTGTTTATGCGACCAATATCTGTGTATGCATGACAACAAAATAGGTATGCATATTACATTTGGCACACATGCCATTGGTTCCTCACCTCATTTCTAGTTCACTTTGAAGGGCAAGACAGTCATTAAGAATCTTACTTTCCTTTGTAACTAGCATCATCTGCAAATATATTCATATAACTCTGAATTCCTTCTGATAGATCGTTTATATAGACTATGAACATCACTTGAAAATTGAACCTTTTTGTGCTTTACTTATGACATTTCTCCTTTCTGAAGTGTTACCTCCAATTCTTACTTTCATTTTTGTCAAAATTTGTCATCCATGTCAGTAGTCTACCTATTACTGTTCCTGTGTGTTCTAGCTTCCAGAACACACCTTTCACTGAGGTAGAATGTGTTCTAGCTTCCAGAACAGCCTCTTGTATGAGACTGTCCAAGGCCTTTTTTAGGCCAAGGTGGATACACATGGCCTCTCTTTCTTGCAAGATTCTGTGGTGTGGTTTTGACATAAAAGCTAAAATGATTTGTACCCAGGACTTTCCCGTTCGAAAGCCATTCTGTCTGTCATTGTCATTTCTTTCCAGTTGTTACACTAATTTTATTTGACTAGTTTTTCTATTGATTTGATTACCATGTTTGTCAATGATAACAGACTATAATTTAAAGGGTTTTCTCTGGCTTCATTTTTATGAAAGGGTAAACAGAATGGAGCTATGTTTGCCCCTTTTTCTTATGTCTACAGGCTTCCCTGTTTATAAGGATTTTTTTTGCATGCAAGTGTATTGTTGACAGTGTTACAAGAATATTTTATTTAGTATTATTAAAAATTTGATTTATGTTAAGCAAAAACAACAAATATTCACTGAAATTTTGTTAAAACAAAAAACCAGCTTATAGTGTCCCAAACAGTGAGTGAGAGAGAGAGATTGGTTGATTGATTGCCTAAGTGTAATTGCAGAATGAGAGCTACGCTCGTAGTGTCCCGTCTTTCCAATACTGTACTTTGTTAAAAATAACGCTCGGAAACTACTGATGGTATTGGTCTCCACCACCTTCTCACTTAACTTGTTCCAACCATCTACCATGTGTGTGTGTGTTTGTGGGGGGTAAGGGGTGCATGCAGTCAAGGGTTAATTTACAATATTTATTCTTGAGACCTTCAGTCCTAATTTAAGAACATTTCTTTCATATTTCCTTAGCAAGTTCTCAATTATCACAAACCTGCTAAGAAAGACACCTTTCATTATTTTTTGTGCGGCTACCTTACTTACCTAACCTTTGAAAATATCATGTTGGTGTGTTCTTTCCTATGGTGCCAGCCATCTTTGTTGTTGACAGTGCTTTTGTTTTGAAAAACAACTATCTATCTAGATTTGTCAATTTTCACCTACTTTTGCATATTTTATCTGTTACTTTTCAAATTCTCTATTCATTCGTATTTCCTGGGACACCACTCCTGGTCTTCAACTTATTCTGCAATATTTAGGCAAATGGATTTTCCTGGGGACTACTGTTGTCTCCCGTCTGCTACAGTTTGTGCGTGTGTACTCACCTAGTTGTGCTTGCGGGGGTTGAGCTCTGGCTCTTTGGTCCCGCTTCTCAACCGTCAATCAACAGGTGTACAGGTTCCTGTGTGTGTGCGCATGCATGTGTGTATGCATACAAATGTAATGGAGTTTTGTAGTCTCCATGGTATGCTGATTTTGGGAGATTTACTGTATGATTCATATGAAATTTAATTATGTAGACTTAAGAATTTTCTAGTTAAGTTACTGTACTATAAAACACTTGCCTTATAATTTTGAAAATAACCACAAATATTGAATGGTGGCTTTTCTGAGAAGTTTCATACTTATTTATAAGATAAATTAATGAAAATCATTCTCTTGAAGGGCTCTATTGAAAAAAGGAAATTACTTATCTTTCTCTAATGCTTGCTTACGCTACATTGATAAGATGTAGATATATAATATATATATGTTGAGTAAATATAACACACATAAATATATATATGTTGAGTAAAATAGATATCGTTAATAGTTAAGGATTTGATAAAAACAGGCATGCCTGTCCACAAAAGGTGTCTTGTAAATAGTTTCATCCATGTTATACCTGCAAGAGATTATTATAATGTATATCACCTAACGATAGCTTGGGTTTTTACAAGCAATGCACCTAATAAAGAAAATTGCATTGTCAAGCTTGTTATTTGGGGTTCTTTATTTAAGTATCTTAAGTAAAGCCACTTAAAAATTTATTTTGGAATCTTAAGACTATGATTAGTTCACTTAATATATTAAATGATGATATTTATGGCATGATTATATTTATGGCACAATTCATTATATTGATTTATATCATTTGAATGAATTCAACATTCATAAATTCTCCCTGAGAATCGCAAGATAATTTCTTTTAGATATACAGTACTTGGTGTAATTAAATATATTTTCATCCTGTAAAAGAGCAGAAAACTGTGACTCATTCTTAAACAAGGATATGGGGAGATGCACAAAAATGTGCCCCTGTTTGAGATTAAATCAGAACAGTAAAATAGAACATAAGGCTTATTAACTTCAATTGTTATAGCCAGGGTCAACAAAAGCAAAGCCATGAGCATAAAATCCTCAAAGAATGGGGATAATCCAAACTGTTCAAGCATAACAAATCTACAGTAACATAAATATACTGCGTGGGGCTTCAGTACCAGTGAAGGGACAGACCAAGACCGGCCAAGGAGGATATTCCCACCCCCGACCAATACTGAAAGGAGGAAGTGTCTCAATAGGGCCTTACTTCTTTGAATAAAAAGAGCATGCCCTCACGAGCAAGTGTGGAGAGCATTTGGCTTTTGCTGGAGTTTGAGCCTTACGTCTTTAATGCATTTCTTGGGATAAAGGGGCATGCATGAGAGGATAGAAACTATTGAGGCTATTCAGCAAGGGGAAGTTTGGTAAGCTAGATATTTCCTGGTTACTACAAGAGCAGCTGAGGAGACTGGAACCGAGGAACGAGCAGCACCCTTACACTTCTCGTGCCAAGACTCGTCAGCCAATTAAATCGGAACAGCTATATTCTTCTCCAAAGTAGAGGAGCGTGCAACAAATCTTACATCAGTTTAGTACTGGAACCTGCAGCATATGAGCCCCAAATTCAGCATCTTCATCCTGTGTAAACTGCTGACCTTAGTGCTTGAGTGAAGTCGCAGCCCATACCTGATAGGAAGGTGTACGCTCATGCAAATGGATTTAGTTTAATGAATCTAATCAGTCATTTTGGTTTCATTTGAGTTTGTTGATTTGTAGTTTTGTCGATGGGAACAGCTGGACCTTGCCTAATGAAGCAATAGAGATGTGCTATTTGGAAAGCAATTTGATTAATGGGACAAAACATAAATGCAGTAATTATTTCTCTTAAATTTTAAATAACCGAAGCTCACGAAATATATCTAAAGTGTAAGTGTTTTATTGTATGTAACTTTTCAACTAGAAAAATTTAGGTAATATAGCAGTTAGTTTTGTACAGTAAATATCTTTAGTAAAGTTTAAAAATAAATAAAATTTAGCCAAGAAAAGCATTGCTATTTATATTAAGAGTGATAAAAAGGCAATTCAATAAAGGAGTTGTTCCCCAGACCACAGTTGCTGGGCAGTCTTAAAGCATGTAACTCTTCAGTCTTGGCAGATCATTTGGGTGAGTTGACGTTTAATGAAATCCCTTACAAAACACCAGTCGTTCATGCATTCAGTATGTTCTGTTGAAAATACATTTGCAGTGATTTATAAATTAATTTTATTGAATAGCAAAATTATTTTACTTTAATTTGAAGGAAATTTGGTAATAAATTAGGTTTGCGTTTTATGATTATGTAAAGATTTTTGTTAACTGTTTAGGTAATTATCAAGTTTGAATATATTTTATATTTCATTTTCTTCTAATATTGCATGGATATAGTGTCAGGAAAAGATAGGCTGTTAAAGTAATTTTTCATGTAATTACAACATAATCTTGAATTAGCTACATCCTACCAAGACATAATTAACATAATTAACAAGATAATCTTTTAGATCAATGCGGGGATTTGAACCAGTGTTCTAGCGATACCTTCAATGTTGATTCAAATCTCCACATTGCTGCACATGATTATCTCACTGATATATCACACCATGGTGATTTCTTTGTGAACATTTGAACATATTATTTGCACCTTAATATTGTTTTTGTCACAAGCTGCTAGTTATCTTAACCTTGCTACTGCAGCATTGTTCTCCAGGTACATTTCCTCCCTCCCTCCCTTCCCCAATATAAGTGATTCTTTTCCACATTTTAGATGGTTGACACTTAACTTTTAAACATTTACCCTGCATGTTATCACCTTGTAACATTATGTATAATCCCTGTGTGTCCATGTGTTTATTTATGCCATGTCTGCCTTTAGATAACCCTTTTCACCTTACATTAATTCTGACGGTTTTTAATCATCTTGTCACTTGGTATGTGTTATACTTTACCATCACCTTGTAGCTCATCTTCTCTTGTCGGTTTTACAGTGTTTTCAATTTAATCCTGTGCTTTATGTTCACCTTATGTTGTTTGCTCATCATGTGTTTCCTATTGTGTGCTCTTGTATGAATTATTCAAATAACAAGTTTATTTGGTACTTGATTTTTGCTTCTTTCATTGCATGTATTTATTTTGTAATATGTTATCCTCATGCAGTAAAACCTGTTTCATCTAACACTCTTGTTACCCAAATGCACGAGATAGCTTGATTGATTCATGTGCTAATGTAAGTACATTCATGTAAGTACATTGATTCATGTGCTTACCTAACTGTATTGATGGTAAATGAGATCTAGCTTTTGGACCCTGGATTGTAACTTGTATCTTTTGCTTTTTATATCCTGACGTTCTAATGCTGTCAGACCTGTTCCTGAACTTGTTAATTGAGCCAGCTTCTATGAATTTTGGTTTCAAGTGCATTTGTGATCCACTTTGAATACAAATACAGTACAGTACTTCCATATAAATTTCAAACCTCTGTTCTTTAGTTATAGTAGTTAAAAATATGAAATAAGATTTTGTTGGAGATAATTTTTTATCTTGGTCTTGATTTTTAATTATTTTTGCATAAAAATAATGTAAAAAATTATTTGTGAAGGCTATAATTCTGAATGTTTAAATGCTAGATCTTGCACGTGGGAAAAGGCGAGTGAGAATTCATCAGCTTGAAAAATATTGCCAGGTAATAAAAAGGAAAAGAAATTGTTACAGTATTTGTAAATGTAAAGTGTTTATGGAGTGAGTACGAGAGTTCATAATCTAAGTTTTCATTGTGAATGTTGATGCAGCAAAATCATTATTGGAAGAAAGCCACTTTCTTACTCCTCTGCAGCTGGATCCATCTTATTCTTTCTCCATTAACGTCTGCAACCACGCTCCTGAACAGTACAGTACCATTAAACTTGTTTGCTGCATTTTATCATCCTTTTTTTCTCTTGTTTTCCCCAGAAATCAGTACTGTTTTTTTTATGTAACTCTTAATCCTCATCAAATTTACAAGCTTTACATTATAGTATTAATACATTTTTTCTTGATAAGTGAAAGACTTAACAAATGGAAGGTCATGTGTGTATCAGCAATGTCAGAAGGTCAGTACATGTTTATTTCTGTAGCTAAAGTAGTACATGGTATGTGGTCAGTTAGTAGGTTTTCCCTTAGGTTTGATGTGTGTTCCATCTCAGTTCCTAATAGATTAAACAAGTGGGTTTTGCTATACCACTCAATAAATTGCTCTTCCAAGAATATATAATTCCTGTACAGAAAGACAATATCTGTATGCAGGCGATGAGTCACAATAACGTGGCCAAAGTATGTTGACCAGACCACACACTAGAAGGTGAAGGGATGACGACGTTTCGGTCCGTCCTGGACCATTCTCAAGTTGACCATTCTCAATCGACTTGAGAATGGTCCAGGACGGACCGAAACGTCGTCGTCCCTTCACCTTCTAGTGTGTGGTCTGGTCAATACCTGTATACTGTAATTCCTATCAGCCTATATTGATATTCCTATATCAATCATTCTTATAAGTCTGTCTCAGTGTATATTTAATATTTACTTGTACATTGCTATACAGTAATGTATGTTTAGAGGAAGATGTAAGTCGGTTAATTTGGTAAATTAACTTTTTCCTTTTAACTTACCATTCTTGTAAAATGCAGCTCTGACTGTGCACTGCAGTGACCATTCCATTGGGACGAATTAATCAAATACTCTGGCATTAGATATTTACATCTTTCCTACATTTTTCAAATATAATCCTTCAGGTTTACATTTGAATGACCATCATCAAATTGCTTGTTGTTAATACAGGTACTGTATATATAATTTGTTAAATGTTTGGTGTATATTTTAGCTTAATTCTAGTGAAGAAAACTCATTGTTCTTACAACCACCTAGACAATACTGCACATTCTTATTCCACAAGTATTTTTCCATAAACACACTACCTTACCCTTGTAGGTGAATCATTTATAGTTCCTTTAGTTCTTATCAAAGCAATGGACAGATCCTGAAATCATTACTATTTAACTTTGTACAATTTAAACATTATCTATAATGAACTGCAGGTGTATTTCATTTATATTTGGTCATTGTGGAAGTAGGTAACCTTTCTTGCTTCCATTCCTCCATATTTCAGTAAACAAATGGTCAGCCCGGCCCTAGAGTTTTTGTATGGATGGAATGATGACAAATTTAACAAACGACCAGATTAAATATTAGTGTGGTCATTTGCCTTACAAGATGTTTCCTTAAGACTTTCTTCGTACATGTAATTGCTTCATTTGTTATTGAATATGTTCAACAGTAGTAGTACTTCGCATTCCTTTGTGTCTATTTAAAGTTAATTTCTCACTTTATATGGAATGTTTGTTGCAAGGTTTCTGTGCTGTAGTATATTTTGTTGTATTGGAAAGTCTTGTTTGGTAGAGGTTGACTACAATTATTCTTTTGTGTGTTTAGCTAGATAATTTTAAAATAAGTAAAAAGGGCTTGTGGCTGACTTGGAGTACTGAGCGTAAGATGGCCTGCTGTTCATGGTGGTCAGACTCTCGCCCTCCCGCTCGCACACGACAGGCTGGACCTTCTTCTTTTTACCACCATTTGAGATATAATTTGGAATTGCAGTTGTAAAATTTTGCTGTTAACTAGTTCTGGATAGCAGTATTGGATCTATGAAAGGCCTTGATTACTGCATTTAACATTGCAGTTGTTGTTTTTGACTAAGCCTAACCTTGTGCAGTATATATACATATATATATATTTTCCATATTTACCTATGATTTAATTACATTTGTGATGCATTTGTAGTATGTAAATTGAAATTCTTAGTTTATTCCAGTTAAGTAGAGTATCAGGATTCTAAATAATTTACTTTGAAGTATTTTCAATTTGTTTAAAACTGTGAAGTGTTAGACTTGTTTTGAGGTGGCTTATCCAAATCCTTCTCAGAGCCATTCTTCTATTTTAGATGAATCCATTAATTCTGTATTAAGCAAGTTTTTAGTTATCTAGTAATCAGTAGCTGGTAACTCCATTAAATAACATTTTACTTCTTGTAATGCTTTATCTTCTCTGTGGTGAAGGAAGAAGGCCTGACTTGTAAAGCTGACAATAAACTTCATCTTGACACATTCTTATAAAGTGTATTCTCTTCTCTTCTCTGTAGAACTGGTATTCCTATCAGTTCACTTGCTTCCAGGTATTGGACTTTTTAAAATCCAAAGGTGATTTTGTTGAGCTGGCTGTGCAACATGTGGGGACTTCAGCGATAATGGATTTGATACTCAGACTTATCTGTAATGTGGAGGAGGATGAGATCCGTCAAAGTGTTCATCAGGTACGTATTGCCGTGTGCTTGCACTTTCACCAAGTTTTGAAGCATTTTACTTAGGAAGGTTTTTAGTTGCTTCTTTCTTTTTCAGTATTATAATAAAAACATCAGTTTTTGCTAGAAGCAAAATGGCTTATATGATTTTTTAAAATTTAAATGCATGATTAACATTGGGTTCTCACTTGATTGAAATGTTTGGTTCCAGACACTTTGGGTGCATTACATTTGTAGTCATTCCGCTTTAGCTATTGTCACAATTATTGTATTTTTATTATTAAAAATTAAGTGGTTGCATACAGAGTCAGCACAATTTGGCACACACAAGTGTTCCTGAAGAAAGTAATGTATTAAGTCAAATTGTGCATTTGCAGACGATGAGTCACAGTAATGTGGCTGTAAATGATTTTGCTTTATACAAGTGTCAACTGTGCTGCAGTTTTATGCAAGTCACACAATATTTTATTATTAATAGAAACAATTTATTCATTTAATAGTATTGCACAACTCAGATTAGCAAGATTACTGTGTAGTACTGTATCTTTATAGTCCAGGCACCTATTCCAGTGCATCAGATGCTAACAGTATTGGAATCCTCTCATTGCATCCAATTTTTTCTGGTGTACTGGATTTCATTCAAGTAAGAATCTACTACATAATTCATCCATCTACTTGGCATTATTGGGCAGTTTAATAACTGGGATTGCAATTTCTTTGTTTATATAACTGGATTATCATTGAAGCAAATATACACAAGTTAATTTCAGGGCAATAGGCAAGAAAAATGTAGTAGATGAATGAACACATGTAGTGTGTAAGAGAGAACATGGTATGCACTTGGGGTATAATACATACCTGAAGTATGTTCTACAAGTCACTTCAATAATTTTCTCTCCCTTCTGAGTGAGTCCCTTCCATCCTCATGACAGTAGGTTTTGGGACATTGATGTCTAGCGAACACCGATTGTGTATACATTCTTAAATGTTATTCATCTTTTTTAATTCTTACAGTGCTTCTCCCTCATTTAAGATCTGACGATGTCCTTAAACACGAATGACAGTAGTTGTGAAATGCAGCATGGCATCATAACATTCTTTAACATCTTTGAAAGGTTATGATAGGTTAAAGAGAATACTAAATTCTTTAACTTGACTTCTTGTATTCTGTTCCATATACAGTACCCTCATTTATTTCATGAGATTATTTGAATCATTAGGAATTAACTTCATAGAAATAAATATCGTACAAGGAACAGAATGAGCCACAGCATTCATGTGATCAGTTGACTTGATCTCACGTGTATCCACCCATTGAGCAAACAAGTTTATAGCTCTTTGCTTACAAATAAAAATTAAATAATAAGTTAATTAATGCTAGAGCAACAAATAATCCTCATACAACAAAATCACTCCAACATTCTATTTGATAGGTAGAGTACAGTACCAGTGTTGCCCACGTGCTAACATCTCGCAAGTGTTGCGACTAATGATCTACTGCTTATCTTTAATATTGCCTGAATCTATCCACACAGTTTACACCATAAGGCATTGTTTTGTTTTTATTTTTCTCTATCCATCCTCCGTTTTATCTATCCCCACACAGAATTATGAATTAATTTACCTTGATTGCTTCTTGGTTCTGCCTTGCTTTATCACTTTCACTTTTAAAAAAATATGCAAAGATGTTAGGCTTAGCCTTCAAAAGATAAGAGTTGGCCCTATTCATTTTGTATTTAGTGCACAGGAATGAATGTTGAAATAAATGATCACACTGAATTTGTACCTTGGAGCTAGATCTTGCTCCCCCATAGACACAGGTAAGCATAAGTATTTATATTATTTTAATTTTTAAATGCATTGCCTTAATAAAGTTCTGGCTTGGCATATTTATTTCTGCTATAAGTTATAATAAAACAGACTGTATATGGTCACATCCTGTGTGTTGTGGGATGTTTACCCAAGAAAATTGAGATTTGACTAATGTTTAAATCATTTATATAAAGTACAGTGGAATCTCGGTGTACGAATTTAATCCCTTCCTAGAAGTGCAATGTAACCTAAATATTTGCACATTGAATCAAATTTCCCCCGTAAGAAATAATGTAAATTGAATTAATCAGTTCCACACACCCAAAAACATTAACTTCAAAATACATTTTATACAGAATATTTACTGCACTTACCTATATTGAGGATTCTTTCCTCTATAAAGACAGTGAGGAGGGGGGAAGGTGTTAGTGTTTTTAAGGAAAGTTCCCATCCATTATAATCCCATCCATACTGCACGCGTCTTCCTAGCCAGATCAACCACGTGCATACCATCTTCGTGTTTACGAATGATCTTTTTTCTTCCTTTATCATCATCCTTACAACTATTTTCCTAGGTTGAACTTAACAAGTGACTTTCTTGGGACCATGGTATGATGTATACAGTAATAAGAACATTTATGCTAAGCAACAAAAAAATTACAAAAAAACATGAAATGTTTTGAGAGAATTCAAGCACCAACTCGGAAAACTACGAACGAGTATTTCGTACTCTGGAGTGAACATCATACACCAGGACATAATTTCTGATGAAATTATCATCGTACATTGAAAAATTTGCATTTGGTGCAGTCGTACATCCAGATTCCACTGTATACTTTTCACCTGATAATTATCAACTGTTTGAAATAAAATTCTAAGTTTTTTGTAATTGATTGCCCTTGCATTTTTCATTTTTAAAATATTGTACAGTAGTGCTGTTAGTATTTCAAAGCCATTGATATCTTTAAAACCCAGTGGCTGAATGAGAGTCAGCTAATAGAACGAATAGTAGACCGGTTATCGCCAGAAGCCGACCCAGAAGAACACTCAAGTGCCGACAATATTCTCTGTGAAATTAGCACCTCATGCCGAGATGCCAATAATGACGCCCATCCACAAAGTAACCCACTCCTCTTGACCCTTGAAAGGTGAGTTGAAATTTAGTTACTTATTGTGGTGGTAGGTGGTGGTGTAGATCAGGTGTTTACATTCAGACAGCATGTTGAGAAGGTATGTTAGAAAATTTGTAAGATGTACATGGCCTTTATGGTCTTCAGAAAAACATATGACAGAGTTAATAGAGAAGTACATTAAAGAGTGATGAACATGTACATGGTTGGTAGAACTGGGAAATTATAAGAAGAGTTTATGTAGGAATCAGTGCTAGTGTAAGAGTTAATAATGAATGTGTGATGTCACTGGGTATTGAATATATGCTGTACATGGATGAAGCCATGAGACAAGTCAAGGTAAGAATGTTACTGAGGAGTGAAGTAGGCGATTTTATGTACACAGGCGATACTGTTCTTCTAGCAGAGTGAAAGAGAGAAGGCTCTATAAACTTGCTAAATCCCAGTACTGCGCAGGCTGCGCAAAATGCATTTCTGATGTTAAAATGCATTCCCTGGTCATGGAAAAGTGAAAAAAAAAATTGTATTTGACATACTTTGGCCATGATGAAGCAGAGAGGGTGAGGAAATTATGGGCGCTGAGTGAGTAAGCACTCGGAGATGCTAGCCCTAGCGACCCCCCGTGGGGGTGGCAGTTGCTGCGAATATAATTTTTCATAATTATTTCGGTGTCTCTTTTTTTTCTATAATATTCAAACGTGTGTAATTTGAGATTTATATTATCAAATATTTGGGACATTGATATGCTCAATGCCTGCTCATTGCTCATTGACAAGCCTGGCCTCAGGCTGGGCTTGGGGAGTAGAAGTAGAAGTACAGTAGTAGTAGAAGAAAAAAATTGATTGCATATCCAGATAGAAAGGAGTTGAATTGTGAATTATTGACTAAACTAAATTTATTATTTGAAAGGAGTTGAATTGTGAATTATTGACTAAACTAAATTTATTATTTGGAGGCAACTGCTCTCCTGTCTTTACACTGCAGGCAAGAATAGTCTGAGTCATTTGGCCATTTCTCTATACTGTATTTATACTGTACATTCAAATGAATTATAATAGTTGTATTTGTGTGTTCTCTAATTACTTGTGAAGGCTGTCTTGAAACAATGAAATGCATCTCTGATGTGAAATATTTTTCGTTGTAGTGAAGAAACTATAAATAAATTGCTGGACCTACTCCTTCATGAAGAACGGAACGAGTCTTCACTGTCACATGTCATCAATATTTTGCTTACGCTTCTTGCCGCCCGAACACAACAACAAATGCAGCAACAAGGGTAAATATGTTTTTTAATATATACTACATAGTAATGTTAATATAATTACATTTGTTTAATATTGTACCAGCATATACAGCTGAGGAAGAGGTTAATGCACTCATGCAGAAGCTGAAAGTAGTGTGAAAGTATTAAAATTATAGTAAAATTATTATCGTAATGGAGAGGCAAGGAAATTGTGTGAACTAGTGCAAGTGACATTGAGAGAAAATCGAGTCATGGAAGGAAGTGGGTGGTGCAGTGGTTAGGAGCTGGAACATCTATAATCCTTACTCCATTTTTCTAAAAATATACCGGCATGAAATGATGCTGAATACTAATGTTGGTAAATTTCAAAATAGAGGAAGGTGTACCAGTGTTCTTGGTTGTCTTCAAAGAATGGATGATGGTCGGTTGGTGCTGAGGAGGGTGCATTTGTGTAAAGTTGAGGGTAGGAGGAGGGGAGGAATGCCAAGATGGACAGGCATAAATTGTATGCATGCAAGGTGGGAATAGTGTGAACATGTAATATGATTTGGAGCAACCCACAACCATTTAAGTCCTGGATACCTATTTACTGCTAGGTAAACACAGGCATCAGGTGAAAGGAAATGTACCCAACCATCTCTGTCCTGTGTGGGAATTGAACATGTGACCTACAGTTGAGCTGATGCTGTAGACCACTGCACTACAGAAACTTGGGTGAGCAGTATCGGTATGAAAGCACAGTGGCAAATAAAATGGTATTGTACATTGTTACAATATTTCACAAGGAGCAGTGCTGTAGTTGAATGAAGCATTGGAATGTTGTTGTAGATGACCACTGGCTGGAGTGTGGTGGTGCTTGTTCATCTACCATGTTTTATGTATGAATGATAAATAACCAATTGAAAGTGACATTCTTTTATATTATGTACTGTGTATGCTTTCACTATACAGAATTATTGAGCTTATTATCTCTAATCTTACATCCCCAAGTGCAAAACAAGTAATGATAATGAATTAATATGGTTAGTGTCTTTTTCATTAGTTATTTCTACTTTCAGATCACAACAATCAGCGTCCATAGAATCTAGCAATAGTGATTCGTGTGAAGGAAAGAGAAATGCTGTTGCGAGAACAATCGCCAAACGTTTGCCGAGCCTTCACAATATTCTCCTACACCCACCAAAGGTTTTAAGTGTTTTTATGTTGCTACTTTTGTATTTGCAGTTAATTTCGTTTTAAATAAAATATGCATAGCCTTTCACATTTTTGTCTATATTCAGGTTGAAACCATTTTTGTTTTTGTGTTAATTTTGGCTTAGCTTCCAAACACTATTAGTTATACTATTGTAGCAATAGCTACACTATTTCTTTGATGCAAGGCAAGGCTTAGCACATTGAAGGATTAATCATAACCACATTTGAGCATTTAATTTTATAATTGCATGAATATCAGATTCCCCGTCCCCCCCCCTTCCTTCCACCACCAAGTCTAAGCTTCAGTGAGCGTTTTGGACACATTTCATTGCCAAATTCTTGGACCTCGACTCTGAAACCCTTACCAAGAGTCTATTCCCATTTACAATTAATCTTAACATAAGATACATAAAGTATGTACTATATTACAGGAAGACTTATGGCCTTGTACATTCCCCATAAAAGTTGCTATCTACAGCTTTTTGTTTACTATGGGTAAAGTTTTTATTCTACCTAAGCATCCAGAGCTTTCACGGAAAGTTCAAGTACTGGATTTAATGGGTGCACTTTTCTCCTAAACCTGGCATGTGATTGGTGAATATGCTCTCCAACTTTGCTAGAGAGAGAGATAAATACATAGAGCTTACCATTCATGATACATCACTAGGTGAAATTTATATTTTGCAATAGAACTTAAAATACTTTTATTTGATCTTGAAACATATTTAAATTATGTGAAGAATTAAAACTTCCTTATGCAGAAGTATCTTTTGTGTGATGGGTAATTTTGAATGAGAGTATGCTTTTGATGTTGGGTTTTGAAGTGATGACTATTTCAGTGTCCAAGCATTTTATGCATGAATGCCCAAACTTATCCTGGCATTTTAGAATTTGGGAGGCTTATATTTGTGCAAATATTGTATAACTGAGGTATTCTGACTCCTAGTAATCTTGACATGAATCATGCTATACAATGACATTTGTTAGTTATAGGGGTTTTCTAGTCCTATTCCATTCATTGATCTATGTTGGTCCTCACACTTCTTGTGTCCTTATAGCCCATTCATTGATCTATTCTGGTCCTCAAGACTTTTATGGCTATTGTTTATCTCTTGTGTTATTATCTCTTGACCAACATCAGCATTTTTCCTTAGTTGCCCTCCTTCAGGAAATTAAGAATTCCATAATCCTTCATTATGGATATTAGATTTACAATGTTGTATACCAGTGTTGCCATGCGAGTCTTTTCTTTCTCCATTTTTTGTTGTTTTTGTTTTCAAGTTTCTCTTATCATACATAGATCTTTGCTTTTAATTATATAAAATTACTTTTGCATAATTATGTCGACCAAATCACACACTAGAAAGTGAAGAGACGACGACGTTTCGACTAGTCACAATCGACTTGAGAATGGTCCAGGACGGACCGAAACATCGTTGTCTCTTCAATTTCTAGTGTGTGGTCTGGTCAACATACTTCAGCACGTTATTGTTGCTCCTCGTCTGCATTGTCACGTTACTGTTCATGCGCGAATAACTCTTGTAGTTTCCAATATTCTTGTATGTTTGTAATTATTAAGAGTCTATTTAATTTTTCAGAAAGGGTTAATACTAACTGCATATGGTGAGGAAGTTGAGCCCTTGGGAAGCACTCGTCTACAGGTTGTGACCTTGGTAGCTGCTTTGGTGGCTGCCAATGATCCCATCGTCCACAATGCCCTTTATGAACTTAATACAGTTGAATATTTGTTGGTAAGCCTCTTAAAACCACCACCACAACATTAATTACTCTTTTACTACTACTGCCTCATCCATCATCACTGCCACTACAAATCCAACCTTTACAACTATCCAGCATCATTATTACCATATTGATCACAGCCGCAGATCGGCCGCAGATATTGATCATTACCACAGATCACATATTGATCACAACTACAGCTACATACACTATAACCACAAGCACGACTTGAACCACAACCCTAGCAAGGTCGCAGCAGCCCCGAGCCTCGTAACCACCACCACTACTACAATACAAACCCCCCGCTGCACCTCCACTGCCCCGTGCTCAATACATGCACTGTAGTTTGTACTCCTGCTTGTATTCATTTCACCACACCTTTGTTCTTCCTGTACACGTACACACATCTTGATCTATAGTGATGACAACCTCTATACATATTTAATTGGCATTGTTCATAGAGTGAGATATACTATACTGGCCAAGTACATTGGCCTTTTACATTACCTTTGATGATCTCCCTCATCACTTTGACTCTTGGCTTAGCTCAATGTTTGTTTATACCTGGGAGTACTTGGGTGTCGTTAAAGAGGTGCCGAAGAGTCGTGTGTTAATATTACTCTGGGATTTATTGTATGTGTGTGTTTTAACCTTCATCATTCACCCCATTGAGTAAGAAATAAGTTGATTATTGGATATATGTACTGTAGTTCTTATCTCCCCACTTCACGAGTCATGTATTTATTTAACTTGTCAGATTTGCTGTTGTATTTCAATCACATTCATATACATTACAACTATTATCTGGCTCAGTAGTTCCATTCTTTGGATTATATATATACGGGTATTGTTAAATTATATAAGTATGTATTTTATAGGAAAATTAATGTTGTACAAAATAAATTATTTTATATTCCACAGGACTTATTTTTCAAGTTTATGTTGAATAATTTCCTACACACACAAGTGGAGCAGTGCCTAACAGCTATACTGACAAAAGCCCCAATTGCCTCGTCGCCTCAGGGGGAAACGGACCACCTTTTGCTCACCCAACTTTTTACCGAATGTCGCATCATTGAAAGAGTTATATCGGCCTATGAAGATCCTTCGGAGCCACAGGAGTAACTATCTTCCCCTCAGTTTTTTTAATAACATTTTTTTTTTGTTAATGTTGCAGTGTTTTAGGATTTTTACATTAATGCACATGTGAAAATCTGTGGCAAAGTTATAGCCAAGTCTTCATTAAGAACAACAGTTACCAGTCAAATGTTTGTCGGACCCCCACATGGAAAAGTGCTCTTTATGTTATGGCTATGTTGAAGGTAGATGTTTATCTGACCCGTCTTGAGCTCGGAATGGGAGCTAGTAATGTGACAGGATCACTCCATGAATCAGGGATAGATTTATCAATACTGCTTTTCAATTTACCAGCTTTATCTATGTAAAAGTTTTTATATTAATTGTTTCGAGTGCCATTAACACTCGACTGCTACCTATGGAAACATTTCTTTAATAAAATTAATGCTACCAAAAAATTTAAATCAGGATGCCTGTTCCTTTGGGCCTTGTAAGTGCTTCATTACTTTGCACTTACTAGAGTTGAAACTCAAGTAGATACTTGTTGGACCATTCATTCAGTTTTCCAGATCTTGTAGTCTCTTGCTACCTCCTCTTGTCTTAATCTTTTCCGTAATGTTTGCATCATCAGCAAACATTAAGAGGAATGAGTCTAAATGATCATTTGCATATATGAAGATCAGCCTCTGGAAGATCAATTGCATATATGAGAAATGGGATAGGTGCCTGAACTCTATAGGACTCTGCTAGTGACATCATGCCACTTTGAGATCTCACCTCTCACAGTAACTTGCCGTCTTCTGTTACTCGGAAGATTTACCATCCCTGAGTTGGTGTTGCATTATAAAGTCCTACTCTCCAGATGTGCTAGTACCCTTTTTTCTATTACTATTCTCCATCACCTTGCATGGTATGCAAATTGGGAAGAGTGGCCTGTAGTGAAAAATATGGTAAGTACATAGGTGTTTTCTATGTAAGTACATAGGAGCCTTCTTTATTCTATACTATTTTCCTATTTACTCTAAGGTAATCCCTCATTTGGACATTGTAAACAGGGTAATAATGATGTTATGAATACAGTGTGTCAGACTAGATGGTGCTGGAATATCAGTGATGATGATGCTTGCTAAAAGTTGTATGAAGTTTTCTTCTAATCATAGTCAAGAGTTACTTCTTTACTGTATACATGTACACTGTAAATGTATCCTATATATACTACATATAAATATAAGGTATATATATTTACAGTGTATATAGCCCTGTGTATTATTCTATACTTTATGGGAAACTAAATTTTTGTAGTACCCTGTACTCAGTATTTTTTAATGAGCAATATTTTTATTTTATTTGCATATTGATTTTAGTGGTGGATAATAAAACTGTAAAGGGGGTTTATTCTTTCTGTTAAAGCTTTTGGGAAGCTTTAAAAGGGCAGAACAAATTAAATGCCCAGATGTCAATTTTAATGGGGTGCTTAAAATAGTATGAAAGCTTAACTTTTTCTTCTTATACCCTATTTTCTTTTATTTGCAGTTGTAAACAGATCCATAATATCAAAGGCTACATGGGTCATCTAAGACAGTTAGCCAACACTATTGTCCAACAGGCTGAGTTTGGCCCCAACGAGCACCGTATCAAGCGTCTAATCCAGGTACGTCATGCCCTTAGTGTGCACAGACGAGTTATGGTGCGAGATGTCGTATTGTAAATAATATCATAAAGCTTGAGGCTTTGTGCTTCAAGGGTATGAAACTTGTAAAAAACTCAGAATGGTCTCGTTAACTTTAATGCCAGTATAACCCGAGATTTATTATACTGTCCTGTGATGCTATTTGGGTCTTGTTTAAAGGTTATTGTCTGATGCAGTAAGCTATCAAAGCTATTTAACCTTAAAGTTAATACGGAAGAAATACAATCTTTATTAATGTGAGAATCATATATAACATAAATTTTAGTTATACAAGAGTTACGATTCATTGAGATCAGGAGTAAGTAGGTGAGTGGTTGGCTGGCTTGTGGAGACCATCAGTCATGGACTACCTACTGCAGGCCTTCACAAAATTATATCCACCCAGCTGCACTTATTTTAATTGTAAATTCGTGAATTTCTAATGCCAGGAGCAGCAAATAAGTCAATTTACATAATACTAAATAAATAAGGGCACTTTTTAGATGTGATGTTCAGATGATCTTGGTGTTATCAGCTAGGTAATAATTTCCTTGATTCCTTGCCTAATAAACCTATGTATGCTTTCTCATCTTAAATGTAAATTCTAAGAGATGATGATGGCTGCAAAGATGCAGACAATGAGTCACAATAATGTGGCTGAAGATGTGATGACCAAACCACATATCAGTAAATTAAAAAAAAGATGACTTCTCGGTCCATCCTGGACCATTATCAAGTTTTCTTTTTTTTTTCTTTTTAAGCTATATACAAGAGTTGTTACATTCTTGTACAGCCACTAGTACGCGTAGCATTTCGGGCAGGTCCTTGGAATACGATCCCCGCCGCGAAGAATCGTTGTTACAACCAAGTACACATTTTACTGTTGCGTTAAGCAGAGGCTACAGTTAAGGATTTGCACCCAGTAAATCCTCCCCGGCTAGGATACTAACCCATGACAAAGCGCTCGTGGAACGCCAGGCGAGTGTCTTACCACTACACCACGGAGACTGGTGTAATGGTCCAGGGCGGACCGAAACACCATCGTTTCTCCATTTTCTGACGAGTGTTTTGGTTATCATGACTGCAAAGATACAGATTTAATATTTTTCTTTAATAAATCCATATCATTTAACTTGTACTATATACATAAAAAAATATTAATGTACAGTTCAGAATTTGTAAATTATGCTTCAAAATGATTGTGCTCATGAGTGTACTATACATTTGTATGATATCATGGTTTGTATAAGGCTTGTTCTGATTAAGAATTTTATTTCAGGACCTCCCTGCAGATAAAGCCACACAGTGGGATGACTTTGTGTCTAATGCATTGGCTGAAGTTAACCGTATAAATGAGATTACACCTTTACCGGTAAGATTATCTAGGACTGTTAGAAGCATAATTATAGTAAACACTTTAATTATGAAATTACAGGTTTATCAGGCGGAAAAATATCACTTAATGACCGAGATAGAGTGAGTGAGTTTGCTAGCTAATGTACAGGTAGTTGTGTATTTGGAGAACAAGATTTAGCTGTAGATTCCTGCCTCATAGCTATTGTACATGGGGGTGTTTATACCTGCTGACATTCCAGTGGTCTGGGATTCTTGCTCTTTAAGATATGAATGATTGTGGCTTCCACCACCCTTGATTAAGCTTCATTCCACTTATTAACCTCCCAGTGCATAGAAGAGCATTGAGAGGTTAAGAGGTCCTTGCCCTTCGCTCCTCTAGAGCATCTGAGTTTCCAAATTCCACCTTTGCCCTCTTGTTCTCTTATCCATCATCTGAAAAAACACAGGAACCACTCTATTTTTCTTAGTACGTTGTATGTTGTGATGATACTGCATCTTGCCCCTTTCCTCTAATGCCAGTAGATTTAGTTTTTAGCATGACTTCTTAGGTCACCTCTAATATCTAATCTTTCTCACTTTCTTCATGTGCTTTACCAGACGTGGATTTTGTGCTGGAACTGTATTATCTAAGACTGGCCTAACATGTACCATGCATTGCATCTTGCCTCTTTGTTTAATTTTTCTTTCTCTTTTTTTATTGTCTTTATACTTTTCCTGATTTAGGTATACTCCCAAAAGCTTGTTCCTCCTCTTCTTTTCCACCATTGGGCTCCTGGTTTTAAATGGAGTCAAAATATATCAAGTATATATTTTTGTGTAACTGTGTGTTCACTCTGATACCATTTCTTACGTTCTCACTATTTGTTTACATAACCTTGTCTGTAACGTCTCTGCATGACATAAGATGTGTACTAATGTCTCCTTGATGTTTGTGTGTGTGTGTATTGTGTTTTAGGTTAGGTTCATCTGCACTTTTTTTTTTTGTAGAGGTGAATAACCATCTTGCTTATTTAATTTTGTTTACATTTTATTTCTTTTGTATAAGCTTACCAAGTTTTCATTCCAGTACATTATGAATTGAGTCTTGTGTTTTAAATTACATGTGCAAAAATGTTACCCCATTTCATTTACTGACCATTCCCAACTAAAGGTGGTAACTAGGTATCCCAATACAGAAAATGACAAATTTAAAGTAATTGCTGACAGTGCTTCAAATTTTGGCAAAATACAAATGTGCAGCATTATTAATATGTTTAGTAACTTTGTGGGAATGATAATGCTAAGGGGTAAAAGTGGTAGAGGCAAAACAGTGATGTTAGTTGCATTATTTGTCTGTGAATCGTTCTTGTTTCATGAACATTATGTTGTTACTGGCTTTTGGGTACAGAGTAAAGAAAATAATGTAAATAGTAAGTGACTTGAATTTGAGACATGATATTAGCTTAACTGTGCACATAATGCTGTGAGAAACACATACTGCATTATGATACCAAATTAACTGGGAAAGGCTTTGTTTTCTTTGGCACTTAATTTAATGGCTGCCTCTTAACTTCTTAGGGTATTACTTTCTCCCATTTATCTTGTTTAAACTTTACTTCCCTTGCTCTGTCATTTTGGTTAATACAGTGTAGATAGTCTATGCTTAATACAAACTCATTCATTGTTTGGAAGAGAGCTTGCTTACTAAATTAACTGAATTTAGTTTGATTTACAAAATATTATGTCTTTTCACATTACACCCCATTACACCCATTTAATTCCTTTGGCATTAACATGCTTGGGAATTCTAATGTTTGTTAAAATTATTTTGAGTTAAAAGAAATTCCTCCTTTCCATAGCTAATTGGCTAAGACCACCACTCAAAATCTATTGTCACTCTTCATCTCTCAGGTTCAGGGGATGCATCATCATCTTGACACTGATGACGATTCCGACGATGATTCAAATTTTTATCCACAAACCTTTGACAGTCCCCTTGTCAAACAGGTTAGCAGTTTCTGGCGAGTATGACTCATGCTACAATACTCTGTACTGATCAACAGTGGCTGCTATGCCTACCCTTTGCTCTCTTGTGAACTGTACCTTCTGCAGCGATCCACCCACCATGACATATATTTTTAGGTGTATAGAGAGAGCGAGAGAGAGAGAGAGAGCGCGCAAGCGAGCGAGCCTACAGAAGCGCACAGTGTAACAAGTCATTATGGGATTCAGAATAGATAACATGGTATGGTTGTGGGTTATAATTAGTCTTGTTGGAAATCAACTCTTATCCACCAATCAAAATATCAGCTGCATTTTACATTGGATTATCTCGGTGTGCATGAGATATTAGTTTGCATGCTTAAGGAGTTTCAAGGAGGTTCTTTTCATCTCTATACTGTGCTAGTCATTGTGGCATGTACACAGTGTCTTGTATAGCTATTTATTGTATGTTATTTAATTGCAAAATTTTAGGAATGCATCCTTAAAGAATATTTTGTTATTGCTGAATATGTCTAGGCTAGGTTTATATACACCTTTTATGAATAAATATTTGAACCACATTTTTGTTGTTTCTGAAGTAGAATACATTCACAACTTGTTTTGCTTATAGCTTTTCTTTTTTTCTTATCGCTCCCTCCCCCAATCCTGCACTGTGATGTGTTATCATGCAATACTTTAATCTGCATGCTTGATAGAGGAACTACATGCTTAGTGGTAGCTCTTCTGGAAGCGAGCATGATTGGGGGTTGGCTTCGGTTGAGGCAGACGAGACAGATCGGGGCCCACATGTGTACCAAGAGAGGCAGGAGGAAAGTGAGGAGGAGAACAAGCAACCTGAACATGTATTGTGCCAAGAAACTGAAACTTATCAACTTATGGCAAGAAACAAGGTGATTAATCTAAAACGGAATCGATTATACAACAGACGATCGTTTGTGAATTCTGGATTTTCTTACCAAAAAAAATATATGTATATACAGTACAGTATATGTTTAATAGTTGCTGGTTTGGGCTGCCGTTTAGTTGCTATAGACTTTTGTCTTTGTGTAAATTTATATCTTCCAGTGTTAGTTTCACACTGTCAATGAAGCATCGAAATATGCCAGAAACTTATGATATAGTAGAAATGGGGAATATAGATCTCTGACAGTCACTTTGGGTGCACAGGAGGAGGTTAATGAAAGAGCACGATTTAAAAGAAGCAAATATTAATTTTTAGAATAGTGTATTTTTGTAAATGAATAATACAATTTTTACTTATTTCTTTGAAAGCTAGTTCTGGAAAGAAGGTTAAGTAACTAGGTTTTTTAGCATTTTTCTTTAAAAGTTAATCTAGGTACTGTATCTCAATAAATGTAAATTGAAAGGTATTTTTGATAAATATGGATTGGATCAAATACTATAGACAAAATACCATGGTGTCTCAGCCTATATTCCGGAGAACAGGATATTGCCCATTGTTTTTTTAAATAGTTTCACATCTCTATTCACCTTGCATAGTATACAGGTAAGATTCTTAAGCCTTCATTCTGACATAAAATGCTTCAGAGGATGCTTTGTATTAATTCCTCTGGTTTTAATTGACATAACTGAAGGCCTCCAGTCCTTGTTTACCTCTCCTGCTACTGCCCTACTGTAATCATTACACCTTCAGTCATACTCTGGTGTTGTTCAACATCATCTCGCACTCTCTTATTCTTCAAGACCACTTCTGTTGTAAGAATTTTTATTATGGCGTTCTAATGACTACTTGAGGGCATTTCTTCTCACATTTCCCAATTTATTTCTGTTGCTTATATCATATATAAGTTAATCAATTCTATATCTTTACATATCTGTGAAACATATTCCACATTCGTTTTCAAGAGTTGGGACATACACTCCAAGAAGTGGATTTGTGACCTATGCTGTACTTCAATTTTACTGGTTTGCTAATGTTTCTTGAGCTTTACAAGCTTTTTCTCACCTTAACCTGCTTTTATGCTCTGCTATTCCTTTCCAATTTTGTTTTCATCTGCTTAGCTCCAAATAGCAAATCAATACACCTTTTTTTATTTACAGGTTCCATAAATTATTATTGTGTTCTTAAAACATCACTGATGGCTTCCAGGAATAATCCATACATTGACCTGTGTGAGAAAAGACATTAATTGTGGAATATCTAATTGCTAAAAGAGGCATTTGTACAAATGAAGTTGAGAATAGGGAGTGTGTGTGGAAAGGAAAAAGGCCTTGTGGATTGAAAGTCCTGGTTAGGAAAACTAGGTGGGATTAGCTGCAGCCGGAGGTTTGCACATGGTTGAGAGATGGTGTAGTGTGAATGTGAAAATTGAAAGTTAAAGTAGTAGAAATGGATAATCTGAGAAATGTGTGGTGTTAGGAGAATAGAGAGGAATGAAAGGGATGGTGTGGAAGGTGAGCAGCCATGGTGAGTACAGGTGTGAGAAAGTGGGGAGCAAGTGTTGACCACACGTGGATGAAAGCACTTTGTAAGAAAAGAGTACCTACCTCTTGACTAAGTGAGGTACATTAAGTGAATTTATATGTAATTTATAAGAAATTCAAAAGTAACACTACACATCTTTGAGTACCCAATCACTACTGAGTACTCAAATGCGAGTCACAGAGACATTAGAAAGAATTTTTTCCATGTCAAGGTGGTTGACAAAGGGAATGCATTAGTCAGTGATGTGGTGGAATTAAGACTCCATACACACTTTCATATGTAGATACGATAGAGCCTAATAGGCTCGGAAATCTATACACCAGTTGATTGACAGTCGAGAGGTGGGACCAAAGAGCCAAAGCTCAACTCCCACAACCCCCACAAACACAACTAGGTGAGTACGTCATCTTTTGAAAAGGTAGCCTGCTGCTATGAATGACTGCTGGGGTGTGGCAGTGCATGATATATATAACCTTTTACTATATGCCCAGTTTTTCTTGGGGCAGTATCTTCCCACCCATGACAGTAGAAATATAGGGTGATGTAATGAATGTATACGTTAGCCATTTGTTTTCCTTTTATGGTGACTTAGTTTGGTAGAGAGACAGTCATAAGCCAATGGCTTTTGTCATGTGTTTCTTCCTTTAATGTATTAAATAAAAATAACAGAGAAATATTAAAAGGTAGAATTCTAGGACAACAAATCTAGAGTGCATGGAAGGATTGTGTGAAACCCCTGTTCAGCTTCATTGGAAGTTTCAGGAACCCTAGTGGATTCGGTTGAATTCCCTGTTGCAATCCTCTTGACCATGTCGTGGCCTAGTCATCTAAGGCATTTGCTTGGGAGTACCCAGAGCATAGGTTTGAATCCTAGTCATGTACTTGTCATTGATTTTCTGAGATACGTCACGTTAGTGTAATTTATCTGTGCATAAAAAGAACAGTTTTTAGTTTTTTTAATATCATAAGTATGCACATCAGGTACCCTATTCTTGACATTTATTCTTACAATGTATTATTTTAATTTAGCTTCTATCCCGTTTCCCCAATTCCATCCAGTGAGAAGATGTATTCCAAGAATAGAAGGAAAATGGCATCTGGTGTATGAATGAGTAACATTTGTAATTAAATACATTAGTTAATTACAAATTAACCACAAGTAAAAGAATTCGGTGTCCCTAGTTCCTTGTTTCAGAGCCTGTTTATCTCGGGTTGTCTGCAGTATCAAGTTTAGCCAGCCTGTGCTCAACCCGTGGGTCCACAACCATAAGTTTGCGGCATTGTCCATTGTTGTTTTGAGTACGTCTTTAGGCCGAGGGGTTTTGGCAGTCCACCTTCAGTTTTCTGTTTGCTTGGCTAAATAACTGGGTTGGTAAAGTTGGTAGTTCAGGGAGGAAGATGTGCATCTCCTGATGTGCAGATGTAATGTTAGAATTACTTCACCACTGGCCGGTTCGTAAATCTTGCGGCTTAGGTTGTCATGTTTACTATGGCTTGTTTTCCTTGCTGTCATCTGTATTAACTCGACCTCCTTTCTGGTGGCCTCTTCTTGGTTAGGGTGATCTACATCCTTCCCCTCTTCCTTGTGCCTCTTTAAAGTGAAGGGGGTGAAAAGGGTTTTGCCTCGCATCCCTGATAGGGTGATATGTTTTGCAAGGGCCTCGTATGGATTGATTTGTGTCGAGCTTGACAGATAGTAAGCAGCAAGGAGCTACAAAGAACCCTCAAGAAAGAGGAGTTTCATTACATTCATCACTGGGTTTTCAGTTAATACAAATAATTTGATAGGTTTTAAGAGACCCCTAAAGACAGGCATTTCAAGTCTGTATTGTTAGAAGTAATACATGCTTGCAGGCATTGGAGAAGGTAGTGGTAGAGTAGAAGGTTCAGAACGTGTATAGACGTCGTCATAAACCAGATCAAGTATTGCAAATACAAAATTAAGTGGTGTTCATTGGGGAAAAGTTAGGGAGAGTAGTGAGATGATTGCATGGTTTAAGGGCAGAGGTTTGCAAGAAAAGTAAAAACGTAATTATATGTACAGTACTTATTTGAATTGGGCAAGATAAGATTGAGATAATCGCAGCTTTAGTTTTGATGTGTTTTACATGGATATTTTGTGTTTTTAGCATAGTCTTCCATTTTGATTTTGTTATTAGGTTTGTTTGTTCTTGATGCATTTGTGTTTTACAGGTTTTGTTTTGGATTACTTTTGCAATGTTTGTTTAAAGTGCAGCTGTTGTCTTTGATGATACAGGAAATGATACATACACCATGTAAGAGCCGTCCTATTGATCCTAAGTGCCAAGTGGCAAGACATTAGGTAGAAAATATTTTGGTTTCGGCAAATTTGAAGATAAAATTTGTTACGTTTTGCAAAGAGGTCCAGATGTGAGATTGGCCTCGTTTGGGGTATATTGCTAATGAGCAATTGTATATTTTTAAGTAAGAGCCACAGTACTACAGAGCTACAGCAGCATCATTCTAATAACATTTACCTATTGAACTCTAATGTACATTACATGTAAACATACTTTTTCTGTTTTGAAATAATTTTATTTAAATCACAAATCATTCAACAGTATCAATAATTCACAGATAAATAGATTTACGTTTATTTAAAAACAGAACAAAATAAAAAATCTTGCATTACCTGTAATTAAAAAGAAAAGTGTACAATAAGAAATATGAACACTGTGCTATATTTTACTTTCCCAGGGTTTTAAAGAAATGGATATGGACGTGATTGGAGACTTTCGGTATGCTGATGATGAATTTAAAGATCCAGATGACAACCTAAGGTAAGTTGTAAGTGCAGTCGACCATCTCAGATTCTGGATATTTGAAAATAGTTTCGATGTGAATTTTAGTTATTAGTCACTGACAAATAACAGGCTCCATCTTCACGTACATGTTATCGTGCACTCTCTCATACTCACCAAGGTAGGGAAGTGTGTGTGTGAACAAGCTTAACCCCTACACTGTGCACCTGTTTATAACTCACAACTCCATGTGCTCAAAAAAGAAAAAAATCTTTTGACATTGTTAATTAGCATTCGGGAACACAAAAATCCAAGTAAAAAGTCTCGACCTCTTGTGGTTTAGCTGTTGTGGCCCCGGTGAAGTTGTGTTTTTTGGTTGAAATGAGCTGAGGTGCAGAAGGGAATAACTGTTGATGTAGTTTCATTGCGTCTCGTATTATTTACCATACATGTTCGCGTACAAGTCAATCCGGCGCATAGGTTGACCCCAAAAATTTTGGTGTAATTCAGGTTTAGGCCTATATGCACTGCATAAGACTACCCCTCAAACCAAGGCAGCACAACTTCCCGTGCCCACTCTATGGAAAGAAACTACAGAATATCATAAATATACTGTAGCTTAACAGATTGTATATGAAATTTGGTAGGATATTAGAGTACATAGAATAATATACATATGCGCAATTTTAGCCCTCGGAGATGCATGATATTCGTAGAACACCGTTGCCATTCTGAAAAAAAATTTGGGTTAAAATTTTAACAAAAATATTCGTCACTTTGCTTATAATTTTATAATTACTGTATAGTAGAACCTTCATACTGGACTTGTTTTGAAGCTAAGGAATCATTGTTGTCATCAATGATAATTTTATATTAAATATTACTTTGTTTTCATTTCAAGATCACATGAACAAATCTTGATCTCTGACCTTGAAAAAAGTAAATTTTTAAAATTTTTTTTTGGGAAAATGTTATAAATATATTTATCTTCGTCTCTGCCTCTCCCTTACCCTCCCTCCCTTTCCTTGCCTTGTTTTACCTGTGTGTTGGAGTGGGCATAATTATAAGCTATCACTTAAACATGCACTGAGTATGTAAACAAGAGTGAAAACTACAAGTTTGTGTAAATGTGTGTTGCAAATTATACAAAATTTAATTGGCATACAGTCCCCTAATTTTTATCTGAATAAACCAGCTATGAACAGTTCTGTCTACTACTTGTGCTGTGAACAATTCTGTCTACTACTTGTGCTGTGAACAGTTCTGTCTACTACTTGTGCTGTGAACAGTTCTGTCTACTACTTGTGCTGTGAACAGTTCTGTCTACTACTTGTCCTGTGAACAGTTCTGTCTACTACTTGTGCTGTGAACAGTTCTGTCTACTACTTGTGCTGTGAACAGTTCTGTCTACTACTTGTGCTGTGAACAGTTCTGTCTACTACTTGTGCTGTGAACAGTTCTGTCTACTACTTGTGCTGTGAACAGTTCTGTCTACTACTTGTGCTGTGAACAGTTCTGTCTACTACTTGTGCTGTGAACAGTTCTGTCTACTACTTGTGCTGTGAACAGTTCTGTCTACTACTTGTGCTGTGAACAGTTCTGTCTACTACTTGTCCTGTGAACAGTTCTGTCTACTACTTGTGCTGTGAACAGTTCTGTCTACTACTTGTGCTGTGAACAGTTCTGTCTACTACTTGTGCTGTGAACAGTTCTGTCTACTACTAGTGCTGTGAACAGTTCTGTCTACTACTTGTGCTGTGAACAGTTCTGTCTACTACTTGTCCTGTGAACAGTTCTGTCTACTACTTGTCCTGTGAACAGTTCTGTCTACTACTTGTGCTGTGAACAGTTCTGTCTACTACTTGTGCTGTGAACAGTTCTGTCTACTACTTGTGCTGTGAACACATACTTGTCTTTCACATATCATGCTCTAGTACTCGTTTTCCATATAAAGCTTGAAAATTGCATAATGTAACTTTTTGTTATAAGTATATCATAATGTAGGTAAACAAGCACTTTCTAATTATTTTGTTCCATGTTCATCTGTCACATTGTGGTTTGTGTGGAGGGTTGTCTAGTTACATGTGGATTTCAGGTGGATGTACCAGAAATTGAAATATCTTAACATATGTTTAATATTGGGTAACAAATCATTTCCAAATTTATAAAAGGAGGGCTAAAATTAAATATAAATATGAATATTCCAAATTTGTTTGAGAGGAGGGATATTATGAAATGTAAAGCAACAGTAAGAGGAAAACATGAATAAAGAATTGAAATCAAATTGTTTAAAATTTGGTTGATGTTTCTAAGCTTAAAATAGATTTTATGACCAAACCACACACCAGAGGATGAAGAAACGATGATGTTTTGGTCCGTCCTGGACCATTATCACTTGATAATGATCATTATCACTTGATAATCAGTCTGTCCTGGATCATTATCACTTGATAATGATCCAGGACGGACTGAAACATCATTTCTTCATCCTCTGGTGTGTGGTTTGGTCATCATTTCTTCAACCACATTATAGCGACTCATCATCATCTTAGAATAGATTTGGCCTATTATATAGATTAGTTTAGTTTGTGTGGTATTTTTGCAGTGGACCCCTTCAGAGGCTGAGTACACAAGCTCTGGCACTCTCTGGTGCCTCAGGAATGGGAACTGGTACTACTACAGGTGGTCAGGGAATTGAAGGAGGAGGAGAAGGTGGGGTTGCTGAAGATCACGATTTGTTTGAGGAGATGTGCGCGCACCGACGTCAAGACATGAATGACTTTGACGACATGTGGAGTGACAAGGAAAAGGAAATCACTTTCAACCAAGAGTCTGTGCAGTCAGAAAAGTAAGTGTAGCATTTCATATATTTTATAAAGATTACTAAAAATTAACAAACGTTTTAAATGCGGTTCTGTACATGATTCTACACGTAACTTTCCTTAGTCCAGTGTTGTTGCCCAAACTTCGTAAACAATATTACTTTAATATTGAAGCACTGAAAGCTATGAGGACTAGTCAAATAATAACCGTACAAGGTATTATTAATGAATACATAAATATTCATTAAATCTAAGTTAACTTGTTTGTTGCACAATTGAACTAATGAAGGGTGAAATCATTTTAAAGGTGTATTATGTGACAAAATCTCTCTTCAAGAAGGTAACAAATGTTATCAGTTGTGACTCATTAGTACAGTTTATTTAATTCATAAAGGGAGGGATGATTACAGCATGAAATTGAATTAACCTTTTGTTTAAAGGATGTATTGGCATCCTTGGTGATATTTAACGCCTTCTGATTATTCCGCACATTTGATGGTGCTACATAGCCTTCCCGGTTTGGTGCCTTCTTTTGATAATTAATTACTTCTTAGTTGTTGGTATTTTTCTTCAAGAGCATGTTTTCAAGCCACACTGTTGTATGAAGTTTTCTTATCTGTACTTGGAGCTGTACCTGCTTAGGGCCACCTTCCCTAGGTGCTCCTTTGACATTTTCCTTGCCTGGCCAGAGTTGGCTTCCCTGGTGTGTTTGGGAGTTCATCTCTGAGAGGCCAGGCCACCTGAGTGGAGAGCCTTGCCCAGGAGTTATGCAGTGTCTCGTGACTCCTCGACACAACCTTGTAGTTGGCGGCATTCTTTGTTTTTATTTTGGTAAATGTTCCTAGTGCCTGAGTGTCCTGCTTGTTAGCCACCTAAAGTTTGTAGCTTTTGAAAAAGTATTTAGGAGTGAGATTTCCAGTTTTATGGAGAATAGTGACTTTCACAACCCAGGTTAACATGGATCTAGGGTGAGAAGATCCTGCCTGTAGCAATTAGTCAACCACTATGACAAAATCACAAAAGCATTAGAATAAAAACAAAATGCAGATGTGGTGTTCATGGACTTTGCAAAGGCATTTGATAAATGTGACCATGGAATGATAACCCATTAAATGGGATCAGTAATGATAAAGTAGGGTGATCAATATTTAATTTCCTATCAAGCAATATGCAAAGAGCAATAGTCAAAGAAAATAAAATTCAAGTACACCCAAACATATCCGATATAGATAAAAATACAAATCGCAATATCGTGTCATACTTTCCACATGACTCAAAAATCAGCATGAAAGTTACTGACGTAGAAGATACTAAAAAGCTACAAAATATGTTAATAGTCTTCAATTGGGCAATGGAAAATAACATGGAAATAAATTAATATTTATTATTAATAAATAATAATAAATAACCACATTTATCTGTGATAAATTCCAGATGTTCAGGTATGGACAAAATTAAGACCTTGAAACAAAATGCAGGGTTGCTAGACATATTCAGTATTCAATATTCCTTCTACTCATAGAAGGAAAACAATATATAAAGATTCTGGAAATAATGTCTGACCTGATGTTTAGGGAGCATAACAAAGCTAATACAGCATCTGTCAGGAAAATAATAGGATGGATTATGAAAACATCCAAATACAGGGATCCCAGGGGCGCCTGACAGCTGGGTGGACAGCGCTTCGGATTCCTAGTTCTGAGGTTCCGAGTTCGATCCCCAGTGAAGGCAGAGACAAATGGGCAAAATGTTCCTTTCACCCTGATGCCGCTGTTATCTAGCAGTAAATAGGTATCTGGGAGTTACAGCTGATACGGGCTGCTTCTTGGGGGTGGAAGCCTGGTCGAGGACTGGGCCACAGAGACAATAAGCCCCAAAATCATCTCGAGATAACCATCACAATGCTTATGTTATTCAAATCACTTGTCACGCTTCAGGAATCACATGTGATGTGATTCATTATGCTAGTCATTTGTGCTGTATCTTCTTGAGCACTGCTCAGTATTCACTTTCACTTTGAGGACAATAGAGATTTTCTGAAATAAAGGGAATTCAGAGAGCTTGTACAGCACACCTAGACATGTCTCAAAGCTTTCAAAATGTACTCTCTAGAAAGGAGATGAGAAGAATTATATAATATAATCTAGTGTACATGGAAAATACTGCAAGGCCAAGTCTCAAATTTGCACAGGAAAATAACATAATGGAACAAATGATATGGTAGAAAATGCAGAAAGAGGTGATGAAGATTAGAGGTACCATAGGCACAATCAGAGAACACTGTTTGAATATCAGAGGTCCACAGCTGTTCAATATCCTCCTAGCAAGTAAAAGAAATATTGCCAGAATAAATATTGACATCAAGGAAAACTTAGACATTTTCCTTCAAAAAGTGCTGGTTGTAGTGAATATGTGGGCCTATTGGCCCACATATTCATACCGGTAGATACCGGTAGTAGATACCGGTATCTGTATGTAAAGAATTGAAATGTAACTTTATTAGAGATACATACATTCAGCTGAAACAGATACAAATTATGTAAAGTATTGTGTTGTAAGTTTTCAAGACAGTGTCATTATTTTTGAATAACACAAAAATTCTGTGTCGATTAAACTTGACTGTTTTTAAGAATTTTCCTTGTTCATTTTTTTTTTTTTGTAAACCACTCATACAACTAGAATCTTACATAAATAATGGAAAGTATTGCATAATGTTGAAAAAATATTTTCATGCTTTCAAATTTTATCTTAATAAGCATAAGTTTGTGGGTAATCTTTTCTCAGATTATTATTATTTATCTATATATATGATTTATTTCTTATAGGAGAGTTTGCGGGCTGCAAAAAATCATGTGGATCGCAGGCCCATAGTTGGACAATCCTGGTTTAGATTGATTCCCAGTGTTATTAGGACACTACATGGTACATGACCTCATGCGACATAATGTACCTCGTGCTGAGTGCCGTAAAGTTAATGTTAAAACCCACTGTTGCATAGTTGTGTTTGAGACTTACGGGACTGAAGCATAATGCCACTCAGTGGATTCCTAAAGCGAGTCATTCCTTGACCAGAGGACAAGCAGGAGCTGTGGCAGACTATATTAGCTTTGAGCTAACAATACTGTGACCCAAGAGCACAGTCCAAATTACAATACTGTACTAGGAATATTTATATCTATTATACTGTACATTTGATGTTGCCATTAATATCATGTTGTGTTTGTCCTCGTGTGCCTTGCCTGTATGTGCATAGTAGAGAAGGATTGAGATTGCTCATAGCTGTACAAATGTTCTGCTTCTCTGTTTTAACGCATTTATCATTTATCCTTTTGTGTTTCGTGTACCTAGTGTTTTAGTTGAATAAATGTAGGCAAAGGACACGCATTCTTTCCATGACCGCCATTTGTAACTATAACACTAAACGTGTACAGCACAATAAATTTGTTGCCTCTTATAATTGAAAAATAAGAATTGAAGCACAGATGCTGCATAGGCTCCTTGAGTTGTGTGTTCTCCATTAAGCATAACTTACAGTAAAACATCAGAGACTGGAAAGCTTCAAGAAGTCTGGAAAAGGTAAACTACTCAAAGTGTATAAGCAGTAAGCCCTAAACTGTAGACTACTGTGACATAACGTTTATGCCTTACAAAATCCTATACTGGAAAAAATCATGGGAAGAAAATAGAATTGAATTGATTGATTCAATTAGGGGAATCGGGGAATAGTTCATAATTGAAGATTATAAAAAATTATAAATGAGATACAGCTGATAGGTCACAAAGTGAAATTCATGTGGATTCCATCTCATGTTGGAATAGTGCTCAACGAGGTGGCGGATGACCTGGCCAAACATGCCACATCAAAACTAAAAGTTGATTCAAAAGGTGGTACGTTAAGGTCTCACACCCTCACTCATGTTCTTAATTGTCCGTTGATTAATGTATATAGGAACACTGAGATAAGGGACTGTTTCTGAACAAATAGCTTGGATGTGTCACAACGGAAAGATTGATGATATTCTGGAGAGAGATAAGAATTTTGCACCGAGTTTGTAACTTTGTTGGATTGTCTGAATGTCTATTGCATATTGTAGAAGAGAGAATGAGCAGAAGTGATACGGTGAGAATGCAATACTCTTGTAACCAGTTATCAGAGTTGAGTCTAGCTACACATATTTTGCATGAAATTGTAACTGCACACGTTGAATATATTATATATTTATATTTTGAAGGTTTTTACCAATATTTTTTTAAGTGCAATGATACAGTGGACTGTCAATAATGTTATTTGTATCACAGAACATAGATACCCAGGGTTATTGTTGTCACTAATGTATTCATAATATTATATTCTTTAAACAATAAATAAGAACATAAGAATTTAAGAATACAGGTAACTGCAGGAGGCCTATTGACCCATACAAAGAAGCTCCTATTAATATCCACCCAGTCTCATTCATATATATGTCTAACCTACATTTGAAACAACCAAGGGAGCCTCCTACTATTATGTTATGCGGTAATTGGTTCCACAAATCAACAACCCTGTTACCGAAGCAGTATTTATCCAAGTCTTTCCTAAATCTAAACTTATCCAATTTATACCCATTGTTTTGTGTTCTATTTTGTGTTGATACTTTTAATACCCTATTAATATTCCCCCTTATTCCACTTGTACACCTTTATCATGTCACCCTATAATTCTTCGCCTTTATAGATAATGTAAATTAAACTGTCATTCTTTCTTCATATGACAGGGTTCTAATTTGCGGGATTAACTTTGTAATCCTACAATGGAGGCGTTCCAGTAAATTTATATCCATTCTATAGTATGGCGATCAAAACTGAAGTGTATAATGTAAATGGGGCCCTAACAAGAGCAAGATATAGCTGAAGAATAACAGCAGGTGTTTTATTACTAATGCTGCGAGAAATAAATCCCAGTGTTCTAATCATACAGATTTTGCTGTTATTACACTACATTTTTATGTACCATATTGAACTACAAAACAGTTCTGGTGGGTTTGGTAACGACCAAGAACAGCATTTCGCACCATGCTACCAGCAGACAACGCCACCAGCAGAATACCTCCAATATTGCTAACTCTAGCCTATGAATCATTTTCCTCATATTTATTTTCTAAAGGAACATTAAGTCCTGTTACATAATGCATAGATGGTCAAAACTGGTGCTGTAAACCTCTCACTGTGAACATCATAACCCAGCTTGTGCTCACTGATATCTGAACCTTGTACAGTTTTTATCAGTCAGGATATTCTATAACACAATCATTGCAAAATAATTAGTTATTTATTTCATCAAGTAATGTGGATGCAAGCTGCGCTGCGGTGAGCAGCAGCAGCATATGTTATCCGTGGTCGCCCGCTCAGTAATGAGGCTCGTGCACACGGGAGGGGTGCCCATAATTTTTGTCAAAGGTGGCGTCTGTTTACTATTGTGAAGTATAATATCAAAATTGTTAGAGTACAGAGGTTTGCAACAAGATCAGTGCTAGAGCCGAGGGTTAGGTTATTAGGATAAGTTAAGGACATTAGATTTCAAAACCTTTAAGACAAAGGTTTAAGAACAAAGACACCCTCTTTAAAATGTGAGAAATAGGAAGAGCAGATATAAGTGGAAGCTGGAAATGCAGACGAGTTGAAGTGATAGGAAATATAGTACTTGTACCCTGCATGAGTGGTCAAAAAATGGAATGCACTGGAAGTAGCAGTTGTAGAAGCCAACTCCATCCACAACTGCAAGGCCAGGTTTGACAGTGAATATGAGAATAGTTAAATTACAACGAGACAGGTGTGAGGATAGAAGGGTGGGCATAAAGACATCACTTCCTCATAGTCTCCAATAGGTAAGTGCATATAAACATTCTTTAAAAGAAAATTATGGTTAACACTTTTGCTCACAGAGGGAGCGAGTGCCAGACCACCCCAAGGTGCGCCGTGCATTTTGTGGGAGTGTGCGTTTTTTTAATCTTGGTTTTCACACTTTTCAATTTTGTCACCTCAATTCTCGTCCTAGGTCTTTCATTTTGGTATCAATATGTTCGCAATAAAATTCCCTACAGGAGTTTATGCATATTAAGTCTAAAACCGCAGTGCGCCCTTCCCGAAGCCAAGCCGAAAACTGGCCAAATTTGTTAATTTTTGACGCCATACTGCGTCATTAACGAGCAAAAAGTGTTAAGAAACTTCACTGAATTGCATGACAGGGTTGCCAAATAAGACAAGAAAATGAATGATGGGTAGACTGCATTTTCGTAAACTGAGAAAGCTGTTGATACAGTTCCTCACAAAGAGTATTACACAAGATGGAGAAGCAAGCAGGGGAACATGCAAGGCACTTGAATTGGTACAGGAGTAACTGATGGACAGGAAACAAAACGTCATATTCTGAAAGGATACATCAGGCTGGAGAGAGTGGAAAGTGGTGTTTCACAGGGCTCTGTCATAGGACCATTGCTCTTTCTAATTTATGTAACTGACCTCCCAGAAGAAGTGAGCTCATACATCATGTTATTTGCAAATAATGCAAAGTTAATGAGGAGAGAGAGAACTAAAGAGGACCGTAGTGTGCTATAAGAAGGCCTCAACACACTTCAGGAGTGGGTAGATAAATGGCTGCTGTAATTCAATCGGAGTAAGTGTAAGTAATGAAGATGGGTAAGGGAGACAGGAGACCTGTCTTTAACTATTCCATGAGGGAAAGACAGCCACAAGAAACTGTAAGATAAAGACCTGGGAATAGACATAATTCAAACATTAACACCAGAATCTCATGTGAACGGGATAACAGCAGCAGCCAATGGCATGTTAGCAAACATAAGAACGCCATTTAAGAATCTAAACAAAGAGGCTTTTAATTTCATACACATGGCCTATGTGAGATGTTACTTGAATATGCAGCATCAGTAACCCACACCTTGTGAAGCACAAAACAAAGTTGAGAGATTTTCAACTAGATTAGTACCAGAATTGAGAGGGCTCAGCAATAATGAGAGATTGAGGAACTTGCCATCACAACCTGAGGAAAATGGGGGGGATATGCTCACTACATAGAAGATCCAGGGGTAATAGACTAAGTGGACAAAGAAAGTTCATTTGAAGCCCAGTAGGTAGGTCAGGGGACATTATTGGAAGCTGGACATGTATTTGAGTTGAGGCATAAGGAAGTTTTCATTCTCTGTACAGATGATTGACAAGTGCAATACATTGAAGGAAGAGGTTGAAGTTAATTTCACTCACAATTTTAGAAAAAAATATAAAATGTTAAAACTATCACATTTTAATATTGCTTTTGAGTTTTTTTGCCAGCACTTGATTAACAATGCATTTTTTGCAACAAAGTTTACTTATTCTTTAGAGATTGATAGACTTTCCCAGTACTGTATCACAAGCTTATGTAATTAGGAGAATTTAATAGTTGTATGATCTCAACAGTGATAAGGAGAAGGAGACGGAGTCCAGCTCGGAAGACGAAGACGAAGAGGAGTTTACTGGACTCAGATCAGGAGAAACTAAAATGGAAGTTGATCAGGATGGTGAGTTTGTCATTCATGAAATTTTTTACAATAAAGTTAGTTATAATACATTTCTGAAACATTGTGTATGGATCAAACACTATTTAGTTTTTTTATCTTAACAATTCTAATATAATGTTTGAAAAGAAAATAAGTGCTTTAAACTTAAGTAAAACTTTGAGATAGAACAAAGTATTATACCTAACAGGACTATTTTGGAATGTAGCCCACTCTTCGGTCAATTAATAAAATGTCTGGACTGATGCAAGTACTGTATAGTTCTGAGGGTGGATATTTTTTTGCATCTGCTTTACTACCTCCATTGTGAAGTGGTGTGATTTCCGCTGTTTTACACATGCCACGGGATAACCAGTATCCATCTCCAAAATATGTTTAGGGCCTTCAGTAGTCGTTTTTTTTCACATCCTGATGATTGTAGGCTACCTGTCATACTTAACATACGTTAGATAATAACTGAGAGGATGCACGTTACACGTTGCTGCAAGGATCAGTTGACGTTCTGCTATGGATGTATTGTAGTGTGATGGTGGTGTCGCTTCAACATCATTCTGTAATAAGTACTGTACTGTGCAACATACAGCAACTGGATGGAGTATCTTTGTTGGTTGTATTCATTTTCTCTCTCTCTCTCTCTAATTTACTCATATTTCTCCTGAGTTGATGTCTCTCCATACTATAAAGTGGTAAATAGGGAAATGAGAATGATGAATTTACATAGGTTTCACAAATAACAGTTCTCAAGGCTGAAAAAAGACAATTTTTTATGCCTGTAACAGAACAGTAATACATGCATTCACCAATCTGTGATCATAGTGGTAGATGTCATATTTTCCAGCAGCTGTTTTAAGGGCTAATACAGATTATAAGGTGAAGATACGTAAAGTTAATTGTATTTCACAATTCAGATTGGTATACAGAAGCGAGCACCCTAAGTAGCCATGATATTCAGTGCTGTTTTTGCAATAAATTATTAATAATAATTAGTCTGTAGGTATATAGGTAGGCTTCCATTTTTTAGCCATGACATTAACAGTAACTACTACCCACAGTAGTGTGGATAAATTTTGAGTGCCATTTTATTTCTGGATGGTGAAAATTTAGGGTGGTTAGGAATATTTATAATAAATAATAATAATAAATTTTTCAAGTGTACGTACAAATTATACATGAACAGTGGACGATTCATTGGTAAGCCAAAAATAGTGTATAAAGCCATTAGTACGCCGAGGGTTTCTGAAATTTAGGTACATTTGTAGGTCCATGTTTGTGTTGGGTCCATAAAATTGTTATACCATAATGCATAAATGTGTGTGTTATTGTAGGTGTATTTTAAATACTATATTGAGCAATTTCAAACTAACCATTTACCATTAGCAAAAAAAATAAAACATTTTATGAATAGGAGGCAAGTACAGTAATTACGAAGCAAACCAAAACGTGCCCATAGAATGCAGGAAAAAAACGTGAAGCACTGTTGTAAAACTAAAATGGTCCAGACTCAAACCAAGCATACCAAAAAAATTCACTTTTATGGATAGATAAATTGGATAGACAAAATTATATATTACAATACTAGGTTCGTTTGGAAATGTGAGGTGAATAAGGTTAAATAGATGAAATATGAGGCTATATTAAACACAAGTTGGTACGAGGATGGAAACCTTATACAGGTATAAGTTTGCCATATTAAAGACAGAATTTGTGTACCACATTTTAGAAGATGCCCTCTATGATGATGATTTTATTGTTTACCTTTTAATTACAGTTGAAGAAAGATGCTTTTAACCTTTAATAATAAAATACATGTTTGCAGACTGGGCAGAGGTATTTGACAAACGGTCTAGTGGGGGTCAAAACAGTGGCCCGGAGGAACCTGTAAACCCCTGGCAGTCGGCCCCCATGTCAGATACCTCTGACAATACTGGCTGGGCAGACTTTGGTGGAAATGTATTTGGAGGTGCTTCCACTGTGGATCCATTTGGACAAAGTCGTAAGCATAAAAAGGAGACGTTTTCTACAGATTTCACCAATGTCTTTGGTCCTGCTATGGCTCAGCAAGATAGCTCAAATTCTGTTTTTGGTGACACTACCACCAACCGAGAGGCCTTCAAAGCAGATTTCTCTAATGTGAATTTTGACTCGGCATTTGAATCTAACTGTGATGACCAGAAGAACACGGTTACCCCGGCAGGTGACCCTCAAAATAGGTGAGCATAAAAATGCACCGTTTATGGAATAAACTGTTCTAATTTGTGTTTAAAGCTTTCTGGTTAACATTCAGTGCATGACATTTTGTTGTAGTAATATTAACAGATAACCTTGCATCTTGTATTGCATATTTGCATGTATTTTGATGGTTTTTTAATTTAATGAATATGCAAATTGGAAGTACCCACAATAATTAAGTTGAGAAATATTGTGAAATGGAGATAAATGAGTAATATTTGTGGCATCTTGTTACATACATTTGGAGATCCTGTCATGAGATTGAATACTGTTCAATGTTTACATAGAGCATTTCCTTTGTTCTGGCATTAATAATGCCCTGCAGGTTTAAATATATTTTAATACATTTTCCAGAGTACCTTGATTAGATTTAAGCATGAAATGCACCAAATATTTTGCTGATCTTGATTATATCTGATACCACACTGTTGTAATACATACAGTAGAATTTTAATGAAATGCACATATATTTGGTAATGAGATTAACATGAATGCTCTGAACCCTTACAGTGGTTATTCTCGTATGTTGATTTAAACAATTATTGTCTGGGTTTTACATGTGTATAGTGCTAATAAGATACAATAGCTCTCTGTGGATGTAATGGAGTTTATCTTAACCCTTGAAAAAAAAGTCCTATCATTTCATGGTTACGTTACTATGTGAATGCGGTTATTGTCGTGCATGTTACTAGGGGAATGCGGTCATTGTCATTGTATCAAATTCCATCATAATTACATGATATGTATATTAATGAGGATCATATGGTTTCCACAACTCCATATGGTTGTAAAAATATAAACCAATCATCAATCAAATCATTCTCTTTCATTATGTGTAGCCTGCAGTGATAAGTGGTGGCTTACGCCTTTTTATCAATCTATACTCACATCCATATGATGCCATATGTACATTGCCCAGAGCCCAACACCATTGTATATTAAGTTCATATTTTTTTCACCACTATACAGTATACTGGTTGTAATGGAATATACCAGGTAAACCGATCAATTGAAACATTATCGTGTATTATGTGAGATATGAGATTTATCATGTTATTCAACACACATACTCCTGCAAATAAAGGTAAACGAGTGATAAAGAATCAGTGAAACACTTGAGGATAACACAGGAAGCATCAGCAAAGTCAGGCACCAGTTGTTGACAGACGCCAAGACATAGCCACCATGCAACCTTCCAGAGCGCCTCCATGGAGTGAAATGATAAATACTGTATATACTCATTTTCATGTTTTTCTTACATTTTGCATGCAAATTAATAATTCCATAATGAAAAATTATTTTTTAAAATTGTTATATTTTTTGCACATAGGCAGGAATGATCATTCATTCTTGGCTGTGCGCACAAAATTGCCTATTGCTATAGCCGCTGTTCAAGGGTTAATGAGGTATTCATGAAAGATTTTAAAGTACATAGGATAAACATGGTAAAATTTGTATATATTAAATTTGTTACTGTACTTGAACGATAATATATTATCGATATATTTAGACTAAACTGCAATGCTTGGATGGTGTTTTTGTTTTTAGATGTGCTAGAGTTTACTTTTGTTGCTTAATGTATCTCTTTAAGTCTTGCTGAATTGTGTGTAGACCTGTGTTTTAATCTTTGTGCTGTTTCTAACTCGGTTTTCAAATAACCATTGAACTTTGTAGTGGATAATAATTTAACATAATGCATGGCTTTGGTATGCAGTAATTTGGAACCAGCAGAGAGTGAAGAAGAGTCAGGGAAGAGAGAGGAGAAGGACCAAGATGATTTAGTAGATAATTTCAAGTAAGTATTCACACTAACACACTTGTATGCCTTTCAATACTTACTTTTAAACTTTTATTTCTGTTTATATTTTTTGAACCCAGACACTGACACTCCAACAGGGTAACTCAGCAGGGAATAACAGATTGTCTCGTGTAATGTAAAGCTCCAAAGGTGCTCAAATCTTTTACTTATTAAAATAAGATTTACTTCCTGGTATCGATATATTATGTGCGTCCAAAATACTGTTCAGTAGTTGAAAATTTCTTGTTTGTAATCCCTAGATAAAAGTGTGTAATGTTACTCTGTACTGTAAATGGATTAATGATATCATTATAGGAGGGCCTGGCAAAATCAAATAAAGTGTCTTGAGATGTAAGAGATTGTATAACTTAAGAAAAGAGAATGATGCACTTGAAAGCAAAAGCAAAGAGCTGTGCCTGAAGTATGTAAGCTGGTAAATGTCACTACAGTATATACATTAATATTTTTGTGTTTTGGAGGTGGTGCACATTTCCTTGGCAAAAGTGAACCACCAACTTGGCCATTTGCTCAGCAATGCATAGTATTAAACTTGTTGTTTGTTAAAAGCTTAGAACATTGATTCTAATACCACTAATACCAAATTACTTAAAAATGACTGGTCTTAAGTAAAGAAAGGGGGGTGGAAAGGGGTGGGGGGTTAATTCCTAGTTGGCTCACCCAACTTGTACCCAACCATCACCAGGTATGTGCACCTACAAGTCAACAGGGTAACTAGGCTCTGTGGAGACCAACAGTCAACTTAATTCAATTAAGTTGAAAATTACTTTCTCTGAGTTTGAGAGAATATGGAGAGAGAGAGACTGAGACAGACAGACAGTGTAGAGCAGTAAAAGGTCATGGTGAATAGATTCACTAGATACCCAGTAAGTAGGAGGCAGAGCCCAAGAGTTTGATCCCATTTCCCATAGGCATAGTTAGATAAGCACATGCTCTTGGTGTTGGTGATCATCCAGTTCACTTTTGCTATATTCAGGGAGTAAAAATGTCTTTGATGCCTTGCAAGCTACAGTGAAGTCAACGAGAACATGAAAAGCCTTGCCACAACCTAGTGCACAGTCATGAGAGAATCTAAATTTCTTAGTTTTCAGCATGTTAGTAATTCTGCTTTTCACCCAGATGAAATCACATCATATCCATGGAAGAATGACACACAGCTGGTGTGGGACTACACGTGTGTCTACCCCCTGTAGATTAGGTCAGCAGGGTGCTGCCAACCGTAGTCAAACAGACAAGGTGATACTCTTTAAGGAACTTGTGCTCTCATTTAGAATGAAGGTCTGTGCTCGCATCCCCTTTCAAGGCAGGTGAATTGCAGCCTAGAGAAAATAGAAATCCTGTACTGCTCAAATACAAATCATCATAACACTGAAACTACTATGGCCTTCCTCAGAGCATTAATATTGTACTCTCTGGAACATACATGAGAGAGAGAGATCTCATAATCAACACATGGAAAATAGGTCAGGTCTCTGCTGCTTTCTTAAAGACAATAACAACTTAATGGAGTGAGAGTACAGCATTACATTCCATCAAAACAGAATGCATGCTACATCCCTGGATCTTGCCTTCCTATGAAGAAGCTTAAAGAAATTCACAATTTCAAATTTAAATCTATTATAATTTGTAATTGAATATTAATAGGTAAAATACAGAATAAATTATTGTTAGGATGGTATGTTCAAACATACATTAATAAAGTTTTTAGGAAACATTTTTTTCAATAAAAATATTTTTTAAATAAAACTGCGTGAATTGACCATTATGAGTGTAATAGTGTAATAACCGAGATTCTAAGAGGACCTGCAATTGCTCGTGGCATTTGCAACAGTTCACGTTGAGGTCCCAAAAGAGCTAACAAGAAGACACTGACATGCCAGTGGCTGAGAAAATTAACAGAAGATATAATCTCTTCCACTATGATATCAAAATCTTGTGGTCAGGTTTTGTCCTGCCTAATCAAAGATTTGCTAGAAGGCGTAGGATGATAGGGGTTCTACATCAAAATTTATAAAAGATGCAAAGCTCAGAGGTACATCAGGTGTGTCAAGAGGCTCTAGGACTCAGGGTACAGAATGACTCGTTCTACCCAGCCACATGGAGAGGTAGGCTTTATCCTTTGTGTAGCCTATAGACATGCTCAACCAATGAAATCACAGCTTTCTGAGCTGACAGAACAGCTACTATGCTCCACATCTGCTTTGGGCAGTTTGGGAAGATAAGGTGACCTCATACCTCCAGTGAGTCATCTCTCTGGCACTTGAACTCTCTTGCATCTACATGCTTAGCCGCGGTTGAATATCTGTGTTTTCCAATCATTAGACTTCTGGGTCATGTAGAAGCTTGCAATGACAACCTACAACAGCCACCATGGTGTCAGTTATCGGTTTAGGGGTTGGTCAGGCAATCCAACTGGTAGTTAGCAAAGAGATCTTGCTGTTGACTGCTTGGAATGATGTGAAAAGGCGTATTAGGTTATTCATTTTTAAATTAATCATTGATGTTTATTCTGGGCTGGATTTGAGCATTCTTTAGTGATTCCCTATCACATACCCCACATGATCTTATAGGGTGCTGGAGTTACTTAATATTCCTTGTGAGGTTGTGCTGTAAGTCATTCTGCCTGACAACATGGTTTCGACAATGGACATGGTAAACTTATCTCGATGATCAGTCAAATGATCATGAAAAATACTTCCCATATATATACTCAGAACATAGCTTTGCTTACATTTTTATACTTTAATAACATACAAGGATATGAACAGTAAAAGTTCTATGTAAGTAAATGGTTTACATTTGGATTTTAATTTTGATCATAATGTATTACAATTCTGTGACAGATTAAGCCTACCTGCTTGTTGAATTACTGTAGAATAACAAATTACAGCACCTTATGAGTTATATTTTTATTCAAGTAGTGAACTAAGAGAACATTTCTTGAGCCTTTTAATATATCCACAGTACAGTGGAACTGATAGTATGATCAGATCCCCCTTCCTAAAATCAATTTTTTTCACTAAGTATTTATTGTCAGATTTTGGGTATTTGTTATACACTACAAATGGTGAAACACACAAATATTGTACGAATTACGCATTTTTTAACAAATTTTTTTTGCTTGCATTTCTAAAAAAAAAAAGATCAACTTGTTCTGGTTGAGACTGTGTTGATCTGGATTATCTAGCCCTTAGGTATCTTGGTTCCACTGTAATATATATATACAGTACACTCACATGTACACTAAACATAAACACTTTCTGGGGGGAGCCCTTCGTGGTTCCCTGAAGCTACGATACTTATATAGCGCCAAACTGCTAGGTGCCATCAGCTGAAGAGTTCTTATTTGTCTACCGGGGACCATAAGCCAGAACCTGGCCCCTTCGAGGGGCATAGGGAGCAGTGGCTCTATGGAAAAAACATTTGTAAATTTATTCATGTCAGCCAACACCAAGGGAAGGCACCCAGAAAGTCAAAAAGAAACCACTACTTGCTTACTACCCATCAAGTAAGCCAGTTGTCTAGGACTATTTGTCTTTCCTCAGGTTAGGAGTGGATTTTGGTTGGTGGGGCACACTGGTTTGTGTGACCTGATGCCTGACAGGTCTGACGTCAGACAGCTGTCAGGGCGCCTGACAGCTGGGTGGACAGTGCTTCGGATTCGTAGTCCTGAGGTTCCGGGTTCGATCCCCGGTGGAGGCAGAGACAAATGGGCAAAAAGTTTCTTTCACCCTGATGCCCCTGTTACCTAGCAGTAAATAGGTACCTGGGAGTTAGACAGCTGCTACGGGCTGCTTCCTGGGGATGTATAACAAAAAGGAGGCCTGGTCAAGGACTGAGCTGCGGGGATGCTAAGCCCCGAAATCATCTCAAGATTACCTAGTCATGGTGCCGATGTGGTCACTCCAGCTTATATGGCTGGTTGGGTCTACGATTCTTCCTTGTTTACTCATTCTCCATGGTCTAGTGCCTTGAGAATTAGTTTGTGGTCCTTGTTTTAATTTTTGGTCCTTTAACGGCTCTTTTTTTTTCGTTTGTGCTGCATTTTGCTTAGGGGATTTATTCATACAGTTCCTGCCTCCATTAGGTTTTGCCTAGCGAATCATCCCCTTTGGTCTCTCTTGCCCTTTCTGCTGGCATTGAGTTTCAAGGGGGCTTATACTGTATAGGGGTTACCTGCATAGCATTCTAAGTACCTGGGCTTAGCTTCAGAGAACACTCGCCCTGCAGACCCTGGAAATCCCCTGCGGGTTCGGTAGTACTATGAATACCTTTACCGGACCTGCTCTTGTGATGTGCCATATTTAGGGTTGGCCATCGTCTGTGTAAATAGGCAATGTTCAGTCTTTCTTCCTCCACCTGGCTGCCTGTTGGGTCGATGACACCTTTGATCCCAAGTCATGTGGGACTTGTTCCTTGCATGTTGCACGTCTTACCCATCCTTTTATTGATGTTCATGGGTATCTGGCAGCAACCACTTTGTATTCATGTTGCTGTGGTCTAAGGGTCCAGTTGGTTGCCTTGGATTACCCTGCTTTGTGGGGATGTTGGCTGTTCAACCGTGTTAACATCGCATCTGTTCTTCCTTCCCTGGCGTGCATGTGTTTCACTCACAAATGCCAATTTCTGGGTGAAACCTAATCGTTTCCTGACAGCCTCCCTTCTGCAGGGTGTTGGGGTGGTTTCCATCATCATAAGAACTGGTGGAGCAGTCAGCTGACCCAGTCTGCCTCCCTCCTCACCCCGAAATGATGGGGAAAGGTAAGGCGATCTAGCTTGCACTAGTTTCACGTATTTTGGATCATTTGTTTACATTGTTGGAGCAGTTCTTTTGGCTGTGTTGAAGCAAGTCTTGTTTCTAACCAAACGGTGATCTGTTTTGTCTTGCCGGTACTTTCCCTTTGTTCCCGGTTCCCGGTCAACCAGGCTGTTGGATGCGGCTGCTCACAGCCCGACGTATGAGTCACAGCATGATTGAGCAGGTATCCTTTGGAGGTGTTTGTCAAAGTCTCTCTTGAACACTGTGAGGGGTCAGCCAGTTATGCCACTACACATAAGGGGCATAGCTGGCCGACCCCTCACAGTGTTCAAGAGAGAACTTGACAAACACCTCCAAAGGATACCTGATCAACCAGGCTGTGATTCATACGTCAGGCTGCGAGCAGCCGTGTCCAACCACCTGGTTGACCAGTCCAGCAACGAGGAGGCCTGGTCAACGACCGGGCCGCGAGGTTGTTGAGCCCCGGAATCACCTCAAGGTAACCTCAAGGTTGGTGGCTAACATGAATAAATTTACAAACAAAAGTTTTTCATGGAGCCACTGCTCCCTACACCTCTCTTGAGGAGGGCTAGGTTTTGACTTCTGGTCCCCGGTAAGCTAATAAAAACTCTGCAGCTGATGGCACCTAGTAGTTTGCCACTATACCAATATAGTAGATTCAAGGAGCCATCAGGGGTCACCCAGAAATTTGCATTTCATTAAATTCAACGCTGGTTTTTGTCATGTTTTGGTTTTGTACTTGTGTAGAATTGGAATTTTCCCTTTTTTAATTATATGGGTTTTTGAAGTAGGCTTAAATTTACTAAATCTGCTTGTCAGAATTTTAGCCTCTCAAAATGAGCTGTGTAAATGAATCTGTTGTTGAACAGTAGTGCATGAATTAGTATTTAGTTAACTCATTAGTGGTTAGAATAATATATAGTTAGCCTTAATATGTATGTACTTTTAAGTTATTTTGCTTTTTTGCAACCTTTAGCAAATACACTTATTAAGTCTGGTGTTTTTGAGTGTTAAAACTGCATGCTTACAAACTTTGCACATTTGGTTCAGCTTCCTATCATCTCGAGGCCTGCTGAAGAACAGTGATGAGAGTTCAGGTAGCGATGAAGCAGGTACGACAGATCCCGTTGTCAGCAAGAGTGACGCGGTAACGCAAGGCGACCCGAGTCAAGAAGATGGCAAGACAATAGCAGAGACGCCAACACAGAGTTAATATTTCCCCCAAGGTATTTCTTTTCTACTCTCCTTGATTTGTTTTTGTATGTAATTTTGATGAGATTTTAATGGTATGTATTTGTTTGACCTTGGCCAGTCATGGACAAACTTAGAATTGTCACAGCAATAATATCCTCCCTGTATTTATTCTCTTTACTTTTCCAGCACATGATAACTGAACTTTGGAATTGAACAATTTTGTTTGTACTGTACTGTATTTCTTCCTGCATGATATCCATAAATAAATATTACTCTTTGTATCTCATTGACTTTACATGACAAGTGGATCACCTCTTAATTTCAAAACTGCCATTGTTTTCACAAAGCATTACTTTCCTTGTAGCAGGAGGATGATCTTCGACTTGTTTGTTTATGGAAGCAGTCATTTTAAATTTGTAGCTAAATTCTTTACCCTCATGCCTTCAGCATGTTGTTGCTTTAATTATAGTACTCATATGTGTCATGATATAAATTGCTATGATGGGCTGGACATTTGGGTTTTATAATAAAACGTCACAAAGTGTCAACTTTAGTAAACTCGTTAATTTGATTTTAAAATGCACAAGTGTAGGGTTAGTTTCCTCAATTATATATCAGACTAACATCTTTAACACTTAACATTATAATGAAGGATTCATATTTTGACTGTGCATTTTTTTGCCGTCAGGGTGAGGAGTGGGAGGATCAACTGTATGAGGATGTAGGATAACTGCCTGCCAGCAACACCTCAGGATTGACATGCCTGATATATACTTCCAGTCTAAAAATGCTCTAACCTCATAGAAACTCTCCAATGGAATTGCCTTTATTTAGGTTTTTGTATTTGTGATAAATGTTGTCTACCACAAAACAACAACAAATGTTTTCCTTCAAGTTTTTTCAGTGGGCTTAGTGAAGTGTAATATTTCTGCTTTACCACAAAAGTTGATTTTTAACTACTACAATGTAAACTACATTTTTGAGATGAGGGATGCTAGAATTCATTTCCCCGAGCCACAGATTTTAGATGTATTATGCAGTGTAGAAGAACGTGCCTGGACAAGTTGCACAAGAGAAGGGAAGTTTGCTTCCCTTCCCATGTCAAGGTAACTTGCCAAATTATATTTATTTACATATTTTATCCTAAACAGTGTTACTAATGAAACAAATGTAGTTATTATATTGGGTTTTGATAACTAGTAATTATACAGGTCTGGAACTGGATCAAAACGAATTATACACGTCCACTCTAGTGATACAATTCCTAATTGTGTTTTTAACAGTACACTCCATAGTATTTGCCAGAAATATATGAATTAAAGTAATTGTTCCAACATTGAATACAGATATGAACTAGGTATTCCAGCTGATGAATATGAGGACAATGACATTTGTATAAAATTCTTACAGGCCAAACACCTGACATTTCCAGTCATGAGTGAGTGAAACTGTTTTATGAGATGTATGTTGGATGTTGAGAAACTCTGTTCCTGGTCATGATTATTGAGTGTCAACTGCTTTATAGCATGAGAATTTCTCATTGAATTTTGTTATTAGGCTTTACGTGTCACTGTATCTTTTGTCATATACAGTATTTTTAAATAACTGTATTCTGGGTAGTCAGAATTGACTTGGAAAAATGAGGACCAGTTTGATAAATCCATTATATGGTCTCAATCTTGAGTTGTTAAGGCTAGTGTGTTATGAAATTGTTCAATGTTAAATGACAGGCGATATACTGCTGATCAGCCTCGACAAATTTTATACAAATATTCTTTGTTCAAAATTATGTACTTGACCTCTTGAAATGTCATTACCAGCATTTATATATATATATATATATATAAATTACCAGGGAACTTTTAATTTCAGGATTAGACTTCTCATTTATAAATCAATACAGAAGCTTTTTCTTGTCATTAAGTGTTGGTTTATCATTCCAGTGAGGAAGTCTTAGCAAAAATTATTTGGAGACCCAATAGTTTTACTTGGATTAAGTAGGTTATTAGTTTTAGTGCTCTGCAATTAAAGCTGGCATTAAGTGTGTGAATTTACAAAAGAAAAGCCAAAAAGACATGAAACGACTCGTCCCTATCCTCACACCCTTCCACCGGTCTACAGAAAGCTCATTAAGCTTGTCTGAATTGCTATAGTACAAGACAAGTCATTTTGTATTACTGGGAAATTTTTACATCTGATAAGTTCAATGAGGTGCAAATCTGGACAAATGTTCAATGGCAGATCTTGAAAATACAGGGAGCATCATTCCACTACTGAAACAAAATGTGTCTTTGGATTACGTGGCAGAGTTCTCTCTCACTGTTTTAATAGCCCGTAATACTGCAATTTTATTTGTACTATTCCATCTTAAGATCTTCACAGTGAACTCCCAGTTTTGGCCTTCTAGATCTGCCCATTTAGCACTTATTGTTCATTAAAATTGTTGGTTTACCGACCAGTCTGTGATTAACAGTGAATACCCTTTGTAGCATCTCTTTCTGTAGATACTACAACTACTTTTGATTTGGTGCTACTGTTTATTTATTAAATAGATAAAAATATGAATTGTCATTGTCTGCATATGTAGGACATTGAGTAGGCTCAAGTTACTTTCCATTAATAGTAAAATTGTCTTAACAGTACCTATATGGGTTTATAGATTGATTATATATATATATATAAATATATATAAAATTATATTGTATTAAGAGTACAGGTGTTACAACCAGTCCCCTTCTTCCCTCTGCTCTTACTGTGATGAAAGGCACAGTTCTTAGGTTAATTCAAGTCATTAGGACAGTGCTGTTCCCTATGAAGGAAGACCCTAATTGTTCCTAGATATTAAACCTTTATCAGGTTGACACTTATTATCCATACTAGATTACTGAAGAGTCTCCCACAGTTCAGTTGTGTACAGTTAAATAAGTGATCAAACCTCCAAGTGAATATGCAATAGAACTATTGGCCCCCTGACCTCTACAATTCCATAATAACAACCATTACAACCTAGTTATAAATGCTTTGGTGCCAGTGTCCATTAATGAAGTATGCATGGTGTGGCGAGTTGGTGAGAATGGCATTCCAGTCTGTTAATACCAGTAAACTATTAGTCTGACTGTGACATCATGGAGCTTACCATGTATGGTGAGAAGTAAATTATATGAGCTTTTATGATAACACTCCTTGGGTGATAATGTTACTATCCTCGTGTAAGATTGGAAATGGAGTCATTATATTATTGGTATGATTTTTACATTAGCATTCTTACTGAAAGTGCTTTTGTGTGTGTGGAAGCATAATGGCATTGACAGAAATAATTATGCCATGTATGATACCTAGAAAATGCATTATGATGCTGTAAATAAAGGATACCTTTAATTATCGAGTCGTTTTCTTTTTCAAAATTGGTTGTTGGTATGATACCAAGAAGTTGGAATAGTTATGACTGATCTTAATGGTTCAGTGGGAGTAGGTCTGGAGACAAACGTGATGGGTGTAGAAGGTGTTCCAGGGGTAAATTAAATAAGCTGCAGCCTAAAACATGTAAAGTGAATAAAAGCCATGTATTTATAATACATATAATCTGTCAAACCATGTCAGATGAACAGTGGTAGGAAGAGGGGCAAACATAAAACTAGTAGAAATCACCAGCCACTCGAACACCAACCCCCCTAAAAACCAAAAAGAACCAACTGAGGCAACTACTCTGGTACCAAGCCATGAACAACAAAAATATACAAATGAACCTGAAGAAGCTTCTGCCTGCAAGACCTTGTCACTACATAAATAAAATCAAGAAAATTAATACACACAGGCATGAGCTAAGATAGAGGCTTAGCAAACCCAAACATCACAGGCCACAGGAATTACCAAGGCCTGAAGAGAAGGAACAAGCAGGACACCCCAGGCACTAGGGACACTCACTAAATAAACCGATACCAAATGCAGCACAAAGGAAACACGTACTGTGCAGAGTGCCAGTGGCTTGCCATATATACAAGCATGCAAACCCTAGTGCTCCCCTCAATCAATCCCCAGTATGCCCCAACTTCAGAGCCTTGCATAGGAGTCAAAGATCCTTGCACAACTCAGGGTGAGGCACCCTTCACAGGAGGCCTCTATGGAATAAACACCCAAACCCACCAGGGAAGTAACCCTGTCAGGGCAGGGGCAACATCAGTGAGCACCTAGGGAAAAGGCAGCTCAAGATGAACAGTTTCCAAAATATACAAGTGACGCTTGTAAATACATGCACGTGAAGCAAGTGCTGTACTACAGAACACAAGCATTATATAAGTGGGCCTTCACAAGGTAGAGTTGAAAGGATGGCTAACACTTGCCTAGAAAATCGAGGACCTGAAGGGCTGTCAAATGTGTCTGACACAAGGTGATGGATTGAGAATTGTTGACATGAGAACTGGCAGCTCCTGTGGTGCTGCCACCTGGTGGTGGTCAGCCGTTACTAGGGAGTGTAAGACCTAACTACTGCATGGATCGTTTACAGTCATTTCCTGCATTGTTTAATTTCTGTGAACCTTGCAATAGTTTGTTTTGCCTCACTTCCTTTCTGGGGAGTTGATTCTTTGGCGAGGGTGATAATGAATCCTGCTCCCTGCACCTCTTTGGTTTTGGCCTCTAGTTTATGGTAGGCTTTAATTAAGGACTCAGAAGAGCTGATATGACTTACAGGTGTGGAGCTAACTCAGTGCGGCTAACTACAGGAAACCACCATTCTGCCCCTCCAGAAATAATAATAAAGTTTTGCTTGTCAGTAAGTAATTTTGAAATACATTTACCAATTACATGGTTTTTATCATCATTAACACTTGCCATAACTATACCAACAACCCACAAAAATGTATCACTTAAGTTATTAAGTTATCCAAACATGAATAAATCCCTTGATATTTAACTCCTGTGCTTCTGCAAAGTATCCAACAAGATTATTTGTGGGGCATTCAAGATAGTAATTACCATATAAAGGTTAAATTTGTGCTTAGTATACTGTGTCCATAATTACTAGACAATATTTTCTGCATCTCTCTTATCCTAGAATTTAGTCTTTATATTTTTATAGAAGTACGTACGTTAGAATAGTTGGTGGAAATGTTGAGTATGGTACGGAAGTTATCAACACTAACACAGTACAGTACTAGCACTGTACTATGTTAGTGTTGTGTACAGTACTGTAACACAGACACTGTGCTGTACTGTGCTGAGGTACACAGACACAATTCTGCAGATTAGTTATTAATACAGTACAGTGCTATGGTGAGCAATGCATACGTGACACTGTTAATTAGTTGTAAACACTAATACAGTACGATGTATATTAAGTGATAAATTATAGGAAGGGAATCTAAATCACAACTTTATTAACATGAAAACCAATTTTGTTTTCATAAAAGATTCTGAGTTTTAATGCTATATTAATATTTGGTATAAAAATGATAGATTTTCATATACTGTAATATAATCCATTTATATACTGTCACAAAACTAAAAAGGCATATTGATAAATAAAACATACACATGGATCCTATTTTAATGTTTCTAAATTAGATAGCAAAAGGGTTATTTATTTTTTGTATAAAAAGAATATTAAAAATTATAATAAAGTCTCGACATGTAAAAAATGTCGAGTAAGCCATTCGCGGAACATACATACATATGTATATATTCATACATTCATACATATATATATATCCATACATACATACACACACACTAAAGAACAGTATATATATATACACACACTAAATTCCAAACCACGTGTCATTATCTGACACATATTAAAACTGTGCCAGTTATGTAATATTGTACAGATACAATAAGCCATTCATTATAAAATGAATGAGACTCACAAATGACAAGTATGGGGCACATCAGAAACACAAGAATGAAAATTAGAAGCAAATTATCACAAAGTAGTGAGGAAGCATTATAAGTGTCAACACACATATAATCATGCTTGTAGCAGTGCTGGTCAAGCTGTAGATACACTGCACTCAACCTCAAATGGTTGCATCAATTATGCTTTGAGTCACAAGAATGACAGTTTATCCTAAGGATAATAATGCAACTTTACTAGTGACAAGTAAAGTCTAGTAACAGTAGATTCAGAAGCGCTTTCTGTAATGTCATTTTGCAGAGCAGTGAGAAATACCAAACCTACACCAGTCTTGTATTTATAGTATGACTAATGCCATTACCCGATTCACCTTGCTAGTAACACCGTTTCTTGAGACGGACCCAAGTTTAACATTCATACCTTCGCTTTTCTCAGCTCTGCATTGGTAAAATCAAGGTAAGTAATTTAATTAATGTATAAATATACAGTACACAAAAATGTTTGTGGCATTTAATAATACCACTAGCAACGAGAACAAGGAATTTTGTATTCCAAATTTGTTAATATAATTTTATCTTCCACAAAAAATTTCTCATAGGCTGGTAACTTAACTTAAAGAGTAATTAAACTAAAAATATTGCAGATTAGTCACCATCATAAAAGGCAGACACAATTATGGCAATTTGGGAAACAAGAAAACATCAACTATACAATCTGTGTGAGGCTACACTTCAATTACAGCCTTCAACGTTTCTGTGTTCTTATGTTTATTATAATTATATAAATAACCACATGATGGGTTTCAGATCTCATACACAATTGACAAAAGCCACAACGAGTCAAGGAATGATCGTGTATTAAATAACTATTGTATCACAAAAGCAAATGACATAACTCCAGAAATGATGGTTTTACTGTCATAACTCGGTTATAAAGGCAGACCTTACCTTTCGATATCATTTTTCATTGGTAGTTTACGCGTCAATCTAATAAACGAGGACATTCCAACGATATCAGAGAGTAGAGATATCTCTGACTACCATCTAGAAGTCATTCTAATTTCAAACTTGTACTTAAGCATAATAAGAATGTATCATGTTTTATGCTGATAAAGCAGATCTTACAATAATTTTAACAGTGTAGTACAAGAAAAATTGCCTTGTGCTGAAAGAACAAGTCAAGCCTAGAACAACATTGCCTTTCAGGCATACACCGTTACTTCACTTACCAAACCGTTTTTGCTCATTTCAACATTTTCTTCATTACAGATTCATACATATTATAATTAGTGGCACAGAATAATCTGACACAAAGCCAGTTTTATGCTACTCAATGTTACCTCTGACTCTGGCATGAGAAGTGAACAATATCACCATTTGGATACCAAGCAAAAGCACTGCAAAGAGAAAAATAACAGCATTACCCGAAAAATCAATATTGAAAAGGTATTCAACAAAATTTAGTACTTATCATTACTTTATCCATTTAAATTATTTATACTTTACGGGCTCGCCATAGCCTGTGTTACCTGGAACATTTTGTTTCAGGCAGCGAATCTTTAACAACAACATTTATACGTCCATACAGTATTAGTATACGTCCATACAGTATTATCCCTCTCATCTATCCTCAGGTGGACTCTCCAGTGTTGTTTCTGAGCATTATTGTTTGGTCTCTCACTTGTACAATTACTCACTTGTTTCAGCATTTCACTCAACTCATTCACCCATATCTTCCTTGTTTATGTTAATTGTTTTGCATATACAGTCTTTATTCAATAATGAGTAAACTAAATACTAATGCAAAACTTTATTCCACAAAATGGTACTACAAGAAATTTACATAATTACAAATTACTGGTAATACTACTACCAATAACAAAACAGTGGTGAAAACATACCTGTGTTTAGTGAATCTTTTGCTGCACACAGCACAGTAAGTATATTCTGATAACATGATCTTCAATCTTTGGCATGAATTAAGCTCTTCACTAGTCTGAAAATAAGGAAAATAAAATGCTTACAAATATTTCAGTGTCGTTATTTCAGTTGTCGTTTTTTGTCGTTTATCAAATGTCATATGATAAAGATTGTAGAAAAGACGGGACACCACAAATGTAGCTCTCATTCTGTAACTATACTTAGGTAATTACATATCTGGAGAAACTGAAACAATGGTCCAATAAGTGGCTACTACTGTTTCATGCAAGTGTAATGTGAAGCTGGGTGCTGGAAACAGGAAAATAAATAAAAGGTACTAAATAGGAAATGAAATCCTGCATGAATCTGACAGAAAAAGACCCGGCAGTGTTGACATTACACTGATGTGGACTTTAGGGAAGATGGTTCAAACTGATATCATCAATTGCAAATGCAGGGTCGGCCAACATATAAATAGGAGTTTGTATACCACATATGTCAGACAAATTCTGTTGGTGGCACATGAACAAGGGAACAGAGATGAAAAGTTAAGTATCCAAATGAGCCACTGAAAGAAAAATGTCAGAGAAGAGAAGAATGGAATGCAATAAAAATTTATGTGGTGGAGGCATAATTTATACATGGCTTTACATGTAGATATAAGAGCCCAAAAGACTTGGCTATAAAACATACAAATCTTTTTAACACAATCTATTAACAGATGGCTGGTAACAGGTACAGTAACTAAGAACCAGAAAATTATACAAAAGATGTCTTGAGATTAGTTAATCAACATTGTTTAGACTACTATAATATCAGCATGGTAATCAATTTAAAACTTCAATACAGTTTTCATTAAGAAAACCCTGGGTTTTTGATAGCATACAATACTGTATATCTTATTATTTATGTAGATAATTTGGCTGAACAGCTTGCTGACCTGATAAGGAAATTGATTATAGCAAAATACGAGATAATGTTTTTTAGTCTCACCTGAAGCTTAACCGACTGTGTGAGGCCTCGAGCTATTTGCTTCTGTTTGCACACAGTGTTAGCAAGGTTAAACGACGCATGGATAAATGGTTTCAGCAAACTTAATGTTACTTCATCTGGAAGGACCTTCAGTGCCTGAAAAACAATAAACATCAGGTAATGGCTGACCAATCTAGACAGTTCGTTGCCAATTACAAAAGGCTAATCCAAGTCTCATTCTGGCTTCACTGCTAATGTGGAGAACCCTCTGCCAGCACCAGCTTAGTCTATGCACTAACTACCTCTGCCTCTATGACACAAACACTAGATAGAATTGAAGTTAATGTAAAAGAGGTAAAAGGACACCTGGAGGAACAGGACGTAGCAAAATATCACCATAGTTACTGAAATAAGACAATTGGGGGACAACAGGAAAGGCACTGGACTGTGTATGAGAGTACAAAATAGACAGGAAACACACGGTCATAGTCAAGAAAATACGTCAGGCTGGAGAGGAGTGAAAAGTGGTGTTCCAGACGCTCATGTGAACAGGATAACATCAGTAGTACAGTACTGTGTATGGGAAGTCAGCAATCATAATATTTAAGAATCTAAACAGGGAGGATTTCAATAGGCTTATATTACCTATGTGCCACCATTACTTGAGTATGCAGCACCAGCATAGAACCCACACATTGTGAAAGCAAAAACAGAAACTTGAGAAAGTTCAGAGGTTTGCAACAAGATTAGTACTAGAATCGAGAGGCCTCTGTTATCAGAAAATAATGGATTTTCTCATTGACACATGTTAGTGTGTGTCTGTGTAATAATAATAAAAGCTATAAACATCACTGAAAATGTTTTATAAATAGGTTGCTATGCGAAGTACGTACTATATACTGCACTTTTATATACCAAGCTTACATAGCACCAAGCTTTACCTGGCCCAGATCTATGCAATGTAGATAATTCTGTAGAAGTTGCAGAACAGCTTGAACATCTAGTTTTGCTGCCAGCTGCTGCTTGACTGGGGATGCCGAGGGGCTCCTGGTGTCCGCGGGGCCCACCAGCAGCTTCAGCAGCGTCAAGTATACCTGCGTACATGCAACACCAGCATCAAGCGTCACAACAATTGAAAAGTAATGCTATCGCAACTTCCATTGTTAATTATATCTGCAAAAATATAATAGTAATTGTTCTTGCATTTCTGTAATGCCTTCCAAAAAGAATTTAACAACTGCTATTCGTCTGCTAAGTATTTTACTTTCCAAAATGTTATTTACAATTTAAATATTGTAAATTTTCTTCTGTGACTGATGATTCACTGTATGACCATAATCATGAAATATTGTTTGGGATAACATTTCTTCATAAAATAATTTTCATTTTTGTTACCAACATTGGTACATACATCTGCATTATGCTACAATGTTAAAACAACATGAAAGGATACAAAGTTATGTCAAGAACAAGCAAATATGAAAATAAGATTCACATTTCACAGAATAAAATTAATATAAAATTAACCTCACTACCAGCTCCAGAGGCAGTGTAGTGCTTCTGGCAGTAGTTCAGAGCAGCCTGCGTGTCCCTCAGTGTGTGAGTGTAGATGGAGAGAGCCTGATAATGTTGGCCTAGGCAGCCCAGTAGCACTGCTCGCTCTTCATGGAGATCTAAGGCAAAAATAATCTTAATCAAACTTACACTGCCTAACTGCGTGCATTTACTACATTACTGTAAAGTTAAGGTAAGCCAGGAAGCTTATGTTGTAGATATACAGAATATGAAAATGTTAATAATCTGCTGTAAAAATGCAGAATTCTTGAACAGAATCACAAACTTATCTTGGCACTTTTTATTATGATTATTATTGTATTGTTTCTTATCCACAATGAGCAGAACAAGTACTGCGGACACCACAGACAGCTATAACCAGTGTAACACAGAATCCACACCAGTTTGATATTGGGAACTGCAAGCACCAAAATCTAAGTGATGAGAAGAGGCAAGGATAGCCACTGTGTAAGTATAAAGAGCTTTACATAATGAAGTCACATTAACACCCTCAAGCAAAACCTGGAATCTCAAACAGAAAATGACATGAATTTCTTACAAGCTGTGTATGAAAATGAGAAACTCTCCACTAAGCTCCTAGCCCAAGACAAAGTCAAAGGGGACCTGTCAATACAGTGTCACAACTCACAAGGAGCCACACCATATTCAAGGTTACACCATTCACAGACAGAAGAAAACACTGACTATCAATGGTTCATGAAAACTGGTGCCAGGGAAAGAAATCTGAATGCTGCCAAAACAAACAGCTCAGTTTGAGAGACGCAAAAGACGAGGCACTATGTCGTGAAGTGATATGTGAAGTACGAGACCCCTTGTGCAGAGAGAAGTCTCGAAGAACAATGAGTCGACTTACCCTAACTGGCCTAGCAAGCAGCTACTCAGTCATGGATTGAGTTACACTCTAGTGTCACCCTTCTCCAAACTATATGCAAAAATCATTTGAAAAGCTATTTATCACAGAAAGGAGAGAAGTTTACAGGAACCTGGTGAGTGGACCAAATCCTGGTAGGACCATTTAGGCTTTGAACAGGGCAGAAACCGAAGGATCTGGTTCAGAACAAAAATATGTACAAAAGTTTGGATTAATGCAAATTCCTTAAGTTATACCTGAAAAAATTATAGGTCAATACTTCTCTTAAAGACTGAATTTTTCCTATTTTCTAACATAGCCTACATACATACATATATACATATACTGTATACACATACAGTATAAAGGGGATAATTCCAATATTCCAACAATACAGGGTATAATCATTTAAAAGAAGAAAGATATAACATTACTTAATAGAACACAACACAGGAATTTAGAGAGAATTCTTATACTGTATTAATTAAGTAAAGAGAATGATTAGTGATATGATACCAAAAAAGTCATTACAAAATATTACTTACTGTCATATGGGAAATGAACCAATAGAGTTGCTGCAGTATAATATTCAGAATCATTCAAGAATTTCAGAAGTTTTTCACGAACAGGTTCTCTTCTAGCTTTCTCCTAAAAAGTTCAACAAGCATACGTTTCCCAATGTTAAATGATATATCGTAATGGGCATTAGATTCTGAAAAATAGTGCATTTAGTGAAATAAAGTGGTCGTTCCTGAGCTGATCTCTTGGTTGTACGCATGAGCTAGCAGGCTATATGGGTTCCCACACACATTCTGCCCACCGCCTGTTAATGACTTGTTCACCCACCAGGCTTGGTAACTTTTCAAATTGTCTGGTCATGTAGTTGGGGAAGGAAGACACTGGCAAATCTTAACTCGGCTATCACCCAGAGACTAACTCACGAAAGTCTCACTCAGACTTTCTTATATAGAAATATAAGAAAATTCACTTATGTAAACAGAGTGGTAGACAGTTGGAACAAGTTTGGTGAGGTGGTGGTGGAGACCAAAACCGTCAGTAATTTCAAAGCGTCACATGACAAAGTGTGCTGGGAAGATGGGACACCACGAGTGTAGCTCACATCCTGTAACTATACTTAGGTAATTACAACCGTATAAAACAATGACCACCACTCGACAAAATCAAATAACGTAAATTCCTGCACTAACATCTATCATCTAGTCAGTCAGCTGCTACTCTGACCACCACCAGATGGCAGCACCCAAGCATGCTTGGGAAAGACAGAAAAGAGGGAATGGTCACAACTGAAGAAATAACTCAGAAAGAATGCTTCAGTTCACTCAACACCGTTTCTAGTCTGAGGATCATCTTAGAAACAGGGAAACTAGGGAAGCTGCAGGGCATCTAACCTGGACAACTGCAATCTAGACAAACGAAGTTAAAAAGCAGTTGCTGTCTTTGAAGCCCGAATGTCATCAGGACAGGAGACAAAATGGGAACACACCTCACATGACTCCAAGTCAGCATTACAGAGGCAGGTGGAATGAACATTGCCTGGTGGCACAGACAATGTACACCCCTCAACCACACAACTAGTGAGGGCAGGGTTGACAGGTGCAGTATATACACGAGGACTGCCGAACCCACTGGGGATTTCCAGGCCTAAATGCTTGAGCTAAACGGGAAGCCCAGGCACTGGGACGCGATGTCAGTGCTCTGTAGTAATTCAAACTAGCCTAGACCACTCAGCTAGAAATTACTTTGGCATTACACACAGAAATCACAATAGCGTGATGCATCAAATGAACAAATCCACAAGGGCCATGACGAGGGTTTGAACCTAAGTCCGAGAGGATCCCAGACGCTGCCTTAATTGACTGAGCTACGACATGGTAAAAGAATTGCAACCGGGAAATCATCCTGACCTACCACAGATCCCTGATTTGTGTCTTGGAGAGACTGCAGGATCCGTGGTAGGTCAGGATGATTTCCCAGTTGCAATTCTTTTACCATGTCGTAGCTCACTCGATTAAGGCAGCGTCTGGGATCCTCTCAGACATAGGTTTGAACCCTCGTCATGGCCCTAGTGGATTTGTTTACTTTGGCCTGCTGTGGTGCAGTATGCGAGTACCCAATAACGACCCACCAGCCCAGGACATCCCAACCAGGAGAAAGATGGAGGGTGATGAGCCCCAGACTCACCCCAAGGCAAAAACCACCACAAACAATGTGGACTTCTGAAGGAATATTCCTGAACATTCCAGGGAAGAACACCCTGGCAGAGCATGGGAAACACTAGGGAGCACACAGGGAAGAAAACCCTGTGCTCATGCAGCTCCAAGTGCACACAACTGGCCCACACACACAGAACAATGTAAGGAACAGCCATTAAAGCAAACACCCAAGAAAACAAAGCTCTGGGACCAGAGCAACATGGCAGCTCGTGACCTGGATCAAAACATTTACGGTTGTTTGATTATCTAATTTGGGAGAGTTCTAGGGTCGTTTGTGAATCTGCAGATATGGGAAGTAGCAAGCTGTGGTCGGTTTTATCTCGCTGACTTTCTGGGTGCCTTCCCTGGTGGCGGCATATACAAAATAAATGCCACTGCTCCCTGTGCCTCTGTGAGAGGGCCAGGTTCTGGCTCATGGTCTCCAGTAGGCCAGAGAACTCCATGACTGATGGAACCTGTTAGGCAATACATACATCAGAGATGTTAGCTATAGGAAGCCACAAGAGGCTCCGCCCAGAAAATTACTGGTTATTGCGGGTGAATAGGTCATTAGTGTTTGGAGGGCCAAATGCATTTCAGTGGACCGATATAGGCTGCTAGTTCAAAGGGACACTCAAGGGGCAAAAGCTAAGAAAATTAAGTTCTATACAGTACTGCTCTCTACTGTGCTTAACAGTTTAATGAATGACTCTACTAAATACGTTGTGCATTACTACCATTTCTTGACTACTACTTGACACCATGGTTTGTCAACATGTTTGACCATCTTAGTGTTCATAGTAAAAATGCAAAACGTAATGGACATGCACATTCTGATTTTGTTATTATTTTAGTTTTACCCAGTCTCATTCAATGAAGACTTTACACTAAATTTATTAACAATGGGTACAGCAAATAGGATCAAATTATGCCTGAAGTTAAAACACAAAAGTTTGTATAAATGTCTGACATAAATATTACAATTAAGCCTTAACAAGTTTAATCTTCGTTGTGTGTGTGTAGCTCATACTATTTTATAAAAATGACCTAAACTCAAAACACTTACTACAAAATTATATTTGAAAGTTACGTTTTTTACAATTAAATTTGTAATCATAAAATACTTATTTAAAAAAACCAGCATTGAGTATAATGAAATGCCATTTTCTGGGCGAGTCCCGGAGGCTCCCTGGAGCTTACCGGGCTGATATGTATGTATTAGACCATTAGGCGGCGATGGTGACATCATGCTTGTTTGCTTGATTTGTGTTTGGGGAGTTCTGCTTGCAAGTTCGGTTTTTGGTGGCAGTTTTTAACCAGCTGTAGTTTGTTTTTGGGATGCTTACTTTTCTGGATGCCTAACCCGGTAGATGGCAGACACAGAATGCTTCCAACCACATGGGGGTTTCTATAGGACATTGCTCCTCATGTTTCTGCGGGGGGCCAGGTTCTGGCTCATGGTTACTGGTAGGCTAGAACTCCATCGAATTGACTGATGCCACGGTCTAATACATACACATCAGCCCGGTAAGCTCCGGGCAGCCAGAGGGGCTCTCCACAGAAAATACATTATACAGGTGGTAAACTTTCATGAGAAATAACAAACTAAAGTAAAGTAAATTTGCTTACCTCTTCTACATTACTTGGATCACTAGACTGGAAGGGAGCCGTGACTATGTCACGGTACTGATGAATGAGCTCATTGTGCAACAGAGGAGTTGTATCACCCCACTCTTCAATTACATGCTCCTAGTAAAAATAAGGCATTAGGTGTAGATAAAATGCTTCTTCCTGAGCTTGTCACATGGTCATTCTCCTCAGTACAATCCCACTGTCAAAGAAACATTGCACTGACCCAGTTTGAAATATGTAACGTTTTCATCCCTAACCTAGCAGGTTCCCTCTGGGCCACAAATGAGAAATAAGAGATAGTAGAATTCTCAAAACTTCCCTGAGGTACCAACAGATGGTACATTCCCTTGCACACAAATATTTCCTCCAGTTTAATTACCACCTGCTAATTAACCACTTGGTTGCTGCTGCTACCCACCACTATGTAGCAGTCCTTGCCATGTACAGTATACAGAAGGCAGCCAGCGATCTCACCCGAGTCATCTCCATGCACATCTAGGAATGGCACATAATAAGTCAGGATAGAGAAGATAAAGTTCTACACCCAAATGTTGATGTTTGAATGAGCCAACACCAGGGATGGGATTTCCAGCTGTCATCTGTATACATAACTAACTAGTGGCGTATATCCCAGCCAATCCTCTCGAGTTGTCACAACAGACAGAAAATAATGAATTAAATTGCCTGAATCTAACCAACGACCCCCCCCCCCCTGCACAGAAAATGTAGCTTTTGCAAGCCGCTGTAATTTATAGTATGTCATATTTGATTTACTGGATTTTGACGTTAAAATTTGATGTATTATTGGGGAAAATAGGATGGGATATCGGTGGTGACCAAGTGGTCAATTAACAGTTGGTGTAGGAGAAACAGCAAAATATTTACCTGTTTCTTTGATTTCAAGCATTACTTGGAAGTCATTGGAGTGTACAGAAATGTTTGTTACTCAGGGCTGGTGGATTGCAAATTATCTAGTGTCTACTTTTGCTTTCATAAGTTTGTGGGGGGGGTTAGGAAAGATCCCCATAGTGTCATGGATTAGAAGATCTCACTTACCCCACAATGAAATATGCAATATCCTTTGGGGTCAGAATCAGTATTACACTGTACCAAATATTACAGTTTACAACATAGGTGAGGTAAGTGTTAATGAAAATTACAAAATGAAGTGGTAATTTTTGCATGAAATCAACATACTTTTGTTGTTTAATTTTTTATTCAGGGGAAAACTGCTTTTTATTCTATAATAAAATCTGGACATTCAATGTACTGTACATGTACCTACAATATTTATATTTTTTCCTGGAACGTTTTGGAGATTCTGTACATAGTAAAGTACATGTCATGCCTTGTTGCTTACCAAATATGGGATGACTAGAGATTTCTCAGTTTTCTTTAGAAAGTTCAGCACTTTTGGTCGTGGTAGTTGATCCACTTCACCTGATGTGGACTTGTCACCAATAAAAATTTTCAGCCCATCTTCAGGATATGACTTCAACACCCATCCTCCGTACTCAAAAATGAGATCAATGTGCTGGGGGCCTGCAATACAAGAGTTAAAAGGTAACAGAAAAAGTATACAAAATTTATGGAATGAATAAAAAGAAGCAATATAACAAATGTTTCTCATGATCCTGATATCTTTAAAGACAGACAAGAAAAGCTTCCATCAATTTAATGATACCTAGATGCTGGAGGTAAGTGACGGTGTGGTGGTGGCCACACAGAGATGAGTCTGCTCTTTTGGCATGGCGGATCAAAAGCTGGAGAGCGCGCTGATGAAGTCCACGTGTTTGAAGCAGAAGAACTAACTCGGGATACTTATGGGCATGGCGTAAAACACGTTCACCTTCTACTATACTAACGCGGCTGTCTCGCATTCGAAGCAGGGGCTTCACAAGACTGTCATTAGTCTGCAAAGACAAAAAGAAGTATAATTTAAATGGACAGGAGATTTTTCATCTGAAAGTGACTAGCAGTTTCAGAACTGTGTAACAATGAGTGTGGGTACTTACAAAAACATGTTCATAGATGATGTCAAAATTTTAGAAAAGTACAGTACAGTAGAAAGTACAGTACTTTATCATCAGAGAACCACATAAATGCTAAAGTGAGCATTTTGTGGAATTTTATTTTAAGTAAGAATTACAGCACAACAGTTGAGTCATGCTAATGTCATACAGTGGGTGCAGGTGGAGCGAGAGACTTTTGAATGTGACAGTCTCTGGGGAATGTACATTTATAGATAGGTATCCTTCTCTTATTTAATTGAGTCACCATTCCTGCATGTAATCTTATGATGTTATGCAACACTGACTGAGTATAGGGAAGTGTAAAATTGCATCAAAGTACTTCAGCCAATAAGGATTTACTGTGGTTGTGAGAGTTAAGATGTTATGTCTCCTTCAGAAACTCTGTAGAGCCTACCTCTAGTGTGCCTATGTACATCTCTACTCCTGCCTATGTGGTTTAAGGGAGCAATTAAATGTAGACGAGCTAGAGCTAATTGTTGTTATGGGGGAAGTCATTAATTAATAAATTAATGTTAAGTTCCAGCTAGATTTTGTGACACCAGTATAGGGAGTAGACTGATCAATCCTTAGATAAAGTATCCTTAATAATTGTCGTAACTAACTACCTTGAGGACCGGGTCTTTAACTCTTACTGGGGGTCTTTTCCAGTTATCTCCACTGTATATACACAGATTTAAGCCCCAGTGGTAAGAAAGGTATGGAACAGATATTATTATAACATCCCCCCCATAACATCAGTAACTCCAAAACCTGAAAAGCAAAATCATTTAAGCCACTGAGAAAATCTGCCACAAAATTGAACTAGCTGGCTGTGATTATCCCCAATATTCACTCACATATTCATCTGACTCTCACCTGTACATAGCACTTCAACAGTGTTGTGTCAATTATCTGGAGCTTTTCATTACGGGACTTTAAGCTTGCGGCTGAGGGAGAGAACTTGTTGTCTACACCATCTTCCACATGTGCCTCACTATCAGTGCTTGACAGCTGGTGACGCATCTGTAACATATGTATAAAGCAGTACCTACAGTTACAAAGGTTTTTGATATCGTGAAAGATATTAGTTAAATCTGGGAACAACATCCCTGAAAGTGTTAAAACAAGCAACATAAACTTCATATTTTACTCTACTATTTTCCAGTATTTTAGTTCATGGTTTAACTTATTTAATATGTTCTCAGGGATCTTTAAATTTAGAGAATCATTACTGCATAACATAAGCAGCTCCAGAAGAAGTTTTTTCTCCCTTAATACATTTATTCAAATGTAACAATTCTTTTCTTTGATTCATATTCAACCTTTAAATTTAATTCTTCCATTTAGATTCACATTCTGTTTATTATAATTGAATATATTTGGTGCCACAGCATACAGTATTTGTCTTATACAGATTACAATAAAAATCTTATTCTTATTTTTTGGGGGAGGAAGCCTTATTTCAAGTTATTTGTAATCCTGTTATATATTAAAACTGAATTTCATATCTACATAATAAACTGCTGACCTCTAACAGGAAGTGAACAAGGGCTTGGAGTGCCTGCTCTAAGTCCGCACCACTTAGTGCTGGAATGGGGTATGGATACCGGAGTCGACTCCGGTATTCCTCAGGGACCATGTCTGGATACATTCCAATAACAAACGGAAGATCTGCAAAATATGTTAAAAAATAAATAATGAACTTAAGTAAATATTTAGTTATTAAGATAATTTTATGACTTGTCAATGGGTTTGTTTAGTGACTGCAGAGTGGAAGTGCAAATCTACAATTACTGAAGAAAAATATGTATCCTACTAAGAGAAAAAAGGCTTTGTCAGACCTGTATTAAGAGTGAAAAACAGCTTCATGGCTTCAGGGTAGCTCTTGCTACAGAAGAGATGAATGGCTTGCAGGTGCTGAATGTGTTTTTGCATCTGAGTCTTGGCATCCTCAGCTTCATCCCACACATCCTGAAATAAACAACTAAACTTTGGAAACCATAAAGAGAAGTGATAATATCAATAATCTTCTGGAACCAAGTGTCCTGAACTTCATTCTGATGAGCAGCGAGAAGACTTTTACCCACTGTTAACCTAGTACAGGTACAGTACTTTTACAGCAAGGAAAAATTGCATTCTTTGATTTAATGTATACAGTATAAGGCAAATTTTTCATGCAAAATTCTTTTGGCCCTACCACAGCAGTATAGTGGTATATTTAACACTTTCTTCTGATAATTACTTAGTCCTTCTTACTCTAATATGGTACAAATTTATAAACAATGACTCTTTGAAGGATATGGGGTTATTTGCTATATTTTACCAACAGAAAATGTAACATTTTATGGAGATATAAATGCAATATAAATTTAGAATTGACTTATTATCCTTCTGTTTAGATAGTACTCTTTGTAATTATGTGGACCATCATACATATATTGACATAAAAGGCAATTAGATAGAAGAATTTGGTACCATTCCCTTTATAGAGCCGAACAAAAATAAAGAAACTTAAATATTCCTAGGCCTAGTTATAGCACATATATGTACTATAGTAAGCCTCAGATAGTGTGTATTATGCCTAGAAAGGGTAGGTTAGGTTAGTTTAGGTTATCTTTGCAACAAAAATACAAAACCTTTTCCGGTTTGTCCAAATTCAATACAGTAATACCAATTTCTAACATCTAACAGCCTTTTACCTCAATATATATGTATACAATGGCCCTCATCGTTACTATAAGTACTACCTAAACAGGAGGATGCAATGCATTATAAATGATAAATAAATAATAAATTATAAAATGAAGGCGCATTGAGAGTACTGGAAGCAGCAGAATGATGACATGGCGAGAGTACTGGAAGTAGTAGAGTGAAGGCACAGTGAGAGTACTGTAAACAGTAGAATGATGACATGGTGAGAGTACTGGAAGTAGTAGAGTGAAGGCACAGTGAGAGTACTGCAAACAGTAAAATGATGACATGGTGAGAGTACTGGAAGCAGCAGAATGAAGGTACAGTGAGAGTACTGCAAACAGTAGAATGATGACATGGTGAGAGTACTGGAAGCAGCAGAATGATGACACAATGAGAGCACTGGAAGCAGCAGAACACAGTGAGAGAACTGTCAAACTATTTTGTGCATATTGCTTTATTAGATTACAATAATTTTCATTGCACTTAAATAACTGACAAATAAGATTTATCAGATGCACAAGTCTCTGGTGCATGATATGGCTTAATGAATTTACTTATTATTTAAACAATACATTTCAGACATACAACAAGTTTTAAGGCCAATCCAAACTGTTTTTCAGCTAGAAGTTGTGGGATCTGTTGATTGATGGGAACGTTATGTAGACACCACACGTGAGACGCCGATGCAATGTAAACCTGACTTTTTCCTCTGAAATGAGAGGTGAAATGTAATTTTTAAAACTTCATAAATATTGAGATACTGTATGCCTGTGAATAATCATGCAATTTACAGTATGAATATTAAAGTATATCACCTAGAAGAATAGCACAAGAAGGATCCTTGTTATACTCTATTTGCAAGTACAGTACTGTATATAATTTAATAACTGTATAAAATATTTATTGTACTTGTGTACTTCAGAGTCAAAAGTTTGGAGAACTGCTTTGGAACCATACAGTGAGGAACTTTGCAAGTTGATCAAACTCTGAGACAATTACAAGCTACTTGAACTAAGAAATAATCCAGTACTGTAAAAAAGTGAGAAGGTAGCAGTGGGACAAAATTACACACAACATTAACAGAATTAAGGTAAATGTAAATGAATGTATAAATGTTATAAGGCAAAAACTTAGGTAATAAGAAATATATAAACCGTAGACTGAATAAGAATTATAAGTGACACATGACAAAATACTGGTGTTACAAAAATATATATACATATATATATATCATGTTGCAACTTTTATTGATTTATTATTACTATATTGCAAAGATACCCTCATTGTTGATGTTTAGCCTGTGGTGGGAGCATCTTGCAAGGATACATCTGCCCTGACTGGCATGATATTTTCCCCAGAACATGACCCAATCATTCTTTTACATCTGGGTTCACTGTAATGACTGGTGGTTTTAAGGCAAACCACTCAGAGAATGATACTTCCTAAACCTGGTTACCCCCTCAAAACTCAGTTTATAAAAATTAAACTGCAGAACATACACTACAATATGTCCAGGAAAAGATGCTGATATAGAATATTTACAGAATTATTCAAACAAAATAAGTATTTTGAAATTTTCAGTTTTCAACAAAATGTCACGAAATATAAACACACCGAACAGTGTACAAATAACCAGGAGACAGCCTGAAGAGCTCGATCTTACTTCCAGTAGTGCCTGAGAATTTTTTTTTTGCTACCTGAAACAGGCCGGTGAACACTTGCAAAGACGAGGTCTCTACAGGTCATGCCTTTGTCTAACAAGCAGCAAATGAAAAAGCAAATTAGGGTAGAGAAGGGGGAGGGAAACTATTAGGAGAAAGTGACAAGTCATTATGACTATATAGCTCTGGGAAAGGGTAAGGATAAGGATTTAGGATGGGACAGGGAAAAGGAATGGTGCCCAACCACTTGGATAGTCGGGGATTGAACGCCGACTTGCATGAGGCGAGACCGTTGGTCTACCGCCCAGACCAAGTGGTTGGGAGCTGAACTGCTCTCAGAGACACGAGTATGCTCTAAGAGCCAATGGAAGCTGCAGGCAACATGGGAATCAGAACCACTACCTCTCCAAGGCGATCAAGGCACCAGGAATGACAATGATTAGCTCAGAAAAGGGCAGTTCATGATACTAACCAGAAGATAGTATCTGTGCCAAGTGAGAATTACCTGACAAGTTGCTCATCGTGATCTTAGCAAAAACATGCAGCCAGGATGATTTATAATGATAATTACCCTTCTTGAAGGTAAACACAAACTATTCTTCATAGAATGTCATTCACTAAATCTGCTGCTGTAGGCAAAGGAGAATGAAAACCCTCAATTTCAAGGTTAATCATAGAGGTTAATCCAGAAACTATCTCTGCATTAAGGACAGGGTTGTGTCCAAACAACACTCAACTTCCAGAAGTGGTCAAGATGCTCAACAGTGGAGGAATGCATTTTCTAGCTAGAGAGCAGATAATAAATTTAAATAAAATTATTTCTGGGGGAGCAAGGCTAGTCTGAAGCTGACCAGTAAAGCTCGGCAAGAGCCACGATGGGTGGATACCTCCAGGACACCTACTGGGTAGCTGATCACTAACAATGATGATCACTCATGTCACTGAGAAAACTGTGGTTTTCAAGTAACTATTTCAGCAGTACCTGACATACTTTTGATGATCCTAAAGAGAACTGTTCCCTATTGCATCACTTCTTATTATATGACTGACTTGTAAAAAAACAATTGTACATTGGAATGGCAGAATACATCACTCAGGAAGCTTTGATTTCAGGTGGAGTGTCAAAGAAAATATCAGTACAACATACACCAAGGTAAAACAACCCTGCCTTACTTTGAAGACTGGCCCACTGCAAGAAGTCTAGGCTTATCTAGGTTGAGAACTTGCACAGTAATCTGGGGTTCTGCAGTCTTGATTTCTATTGTTTTTGATAAGATGGCTATCAAGTATGGCTTGTTGTATGCTGAAAAAATTTAAAATAAATAGATCATTAAGCATCCTGAAGTAATAGGTACTAAATGTTTCCATGTATACAGTTAGTATAATACAGTAATTCAATGTACAATGACAACAGTATAATAAAATATGTTTAGATCAATTTTGTTTAAATTTTTTTGAATGTTTTGTAAATTACCTAACATTAGCTCTTTTGTTATGCCTTGAGTTTACTCATATATAATGCACAATAGTAATTATGACTGATAATCTGATTGTTAAATTTTATTGGGAATTTATTTTCTACAAATCATTACTGCTGAAGATGGGTTGAAAAAGCGCTCATTCTCAGGGACTAATATGCTTCCTTAACACGTAAAGATCAGATGTCATAAAAAATATTGTATGACCTGAGCTGGATATTTAATTGCTTTCTTAGATGATATCCCACTTCCCTGGGATACTTGGAACTCCACCCTGGATCAGTGCAACTTCCTATCACCTAATACAGCAGGATTTTTTTTTTTTTTGTGCTGTAAATACTTAAACTATGCCCAGGAATACAATCCCACCCAGGAACCTTTAAGCACTGTATACACACTAAACTATGCCCAGGAATACAATTCCACCCAGGAACCTTTAAGCACTGTATACACACTAAACTATGCCCAGGAATACAATCCCACCCAGGAACCTTTAAGCACTGTATACACACTAAACTATGCCCAGGAATACAATTCCACCCAGGAACCTTTAAGCACTGTATACACACTAAACTATGCCCAGGAATACAATCCCACCCAGGAACCTTTAAGCACTGTATACACACTAAACTATGCCCAGGAATACAATCCCACCCAGGAACCTTTAAGCACTGTATACACACTAAACTATGCCCAGGAAAACAATCCCACCCCAGACCAGTGATGAGCGATGGGGCCCTGCACAGGCCCCCCACCACCTCCTTCCCATGGAAAGGGGAAAAAAAAACACCCCTGTATTTAAACATGGGAAGAATAGACTTCAGCCCTTCAGAATCACATTTCCAGGGAAGAAACACTGAAATCTGTCAGAAAAACAACCCCAGTAGGCATCTCCTTCTACCTTCAAGTTAACTTGAGTGTAGTCACTTCAGTATTGTATTTTATTATCACCCGAATCATTCACCATGACTTAGTTATTTAAGCTTTCTCCTTATGAAAATGATAACTGGAGATTGCTGCTTCCTACAAGAGGATAAGCAGCTTTCTAGCTTTCAGAAAGAGCTTTTTTACTTTCTTGCTATTCATGGTTAAGCTGTCTTACAGCCAAAGTTATCTAACAACTTATTAATGAGAAAATAAATAACGCTCTATTTCTCTTACCTAAGTGCTATAGTGCTTGTATGCAAGGTGAAAACATTTAACAGCAGCTTATTTTTCTGACCATTATATCTTATATTTTATTGAAATTGATTCTTTCCTTCAACTTTTCTCTTAGAGCACCTAACAGTTAATGTATTGAGAAAAACAAAGTTGAACAGCAATTTATATTTTGCAACATTGAACTGTTGCAGGGAACAGTTCAGTGTTGCAGAAAACAAGCTAATCTTGGCATTATCTTGCAGCATCAGTGACTTATAATTCACAATAATTCCCAAATAGGGATTAAACCAAGAAATAAAATATTAAAGACGTGCATTTTACAACATTCAGCAAAGTGACCAACACTAAGGCAATACATACATACATACACAGTTTGATCGACAAACGTCACAGAATCACACGGTTTAAACATTATAACAAGGTGACTCACCTAAACAAAGTGGTTGTTCATCCCATTTTAAAGTATAGCTGCAGGTGGCATTGCCCTCAGCATCAACAAAAATGGTCTCTTTGTCATGGGCCAATGCTAGCTGCTCTCCATCTACCATTCGTGTAATTAGTGGTTCTTGACTGCGACCGGTAGCAAATAACTCTTTCTGTTCACCAGTCAGCTGCAATAATTAAACAACAAAATTTATTTTGTTAAATTTATGCCTTATTTTGATCAATTTTACATTTTCACTCCTTGTGTTCGATCATCTACAATACAGAATAATATCACTATCATGCGGAGACGCACCAAGTTACTTCATTGCTTTTATAGTTTTTCTTACACAAATAAATAATAACTCATCTATTTTTTCTCTATTTTCCAGAATATATGAATGGCCTTATGCTAGAAGTTATTGGTATCATTTAAAATTGTCACCATTACTGTTTTCCCTGTCCACTATTTATCACCTATTAAACTGATTAAATTTGCCATCACTAAACACTAAATTATGCTAAATTATTTATAATTAATAAATTCAATTATTTTCTACCTGCACCAAACACGTATGTGCTTCCACCCATTTTGTTTTTCTGCTGCAAAGTTTATTTGATGGAAATAGTGATTCACACCGGTTCTTTTCAAGTTTCTACTCTATATGCAAGGCACAGAATATGAGAACTAGATCAAAACACAATGTTATGTATATTTATGTAACTTATTCTTACCTTAACAAGCCAATACTCATGCTTAAATGCAACAGCAATTGCTTCCATGCACCACGTTAAAGCTCGTGGTACATCTGGGAGTGCTAAATCCTCACGAAGCTGGTGAAACTTTCTAGATTTCCAATAGAAGAGCTGGAGCTTGCGTCTCACAGCCACCACCAGACGAACAGTCACTACTGCATCCCCAGTGAGTGACACGTGATGCTGCAGAGTGCAAGACATGAAACACTATATTGAGTGGCATAACTAGACAATGTCAAGTGTGGAGGCAGAGAGGCAGAGTGCTCTCGAAATTACAGGTGACAAATTTGTATAATTCATATAATAAACATACCAAAATTATTAAGTGCAAATTATATTTTTTTTTAGAAGAGGGCATTCCTGGAATAAAGTCACAATGATGATGCTGGAACAAATAAACACTAAATCCACACATTAAAAAGTGAAAAGGTAATAATTACATTATGTCATGGAGTTGATAATAGTTCAGGAAAGATCAAAACGTCACTTTTAATGCATCGGTTTAGTCTTTATTCCATTAAGTTTAGTGTTATTTCATTGTTAAAATTCAAGAAAGGTTCAGGAAACCTTCTTCAGGATTAATTCAAGAATCAAAGGAATAATGAACCCATCAGGTGCTGTAATATTGAAAACAGGCGTGAGAGGGCACTACACTAGATGATAATGAGCACCATAGCTTAAATTTTACAAACACAATGAATTTACATTTATTTTCAAATGACACAGACCTCCATGGGCTTTTATCCAAATAGTTTAATAGTCCCTGGGGCTGTATCCGAGAGCACAGTGCATTATAGGCCAGCAACTAATGTATCCATAATCCTTAGGGTAGATAAGGAATAATCATTCCAATTATTCTACAATTACTCTTGAGAAAGCACTGTGATTTTTGTGATATAATATATGCTCCAAGATTCTGAGAACATTATAATTATGATGATGATGATGAAAGTAAGGCATGATTACACCATTACTGATGAAGATGACATGATAATGTAAAATAATTATGATCATGAGTGGTGAAAACTCATGAGCTGATGATCAACACCAAAATCATAAGACACTCCCAAATAATTTACAATAAACAATACAGTACCTTAATATCAAGATCAAAGGCAGTAGCACCTTTGGTTTGGGTTAATGTGCACAGAAGAGGTAGATTGAAGGCCGTCAGATCATGAATGCTTACAACATTATCTGCAAATAAATATTGATTAGAATTATTTATACCGTTTTCTTTACTGCATGTATACTCAGAGTACAGAACATTAAATGTGAGAGGCTCTGAAGGGGTTGTCCAGAAATAAGAAGTAGGCAACACTCATGGAAAACCAAACATTCTGCCTTTTATTCTGCAGTTTCATCTATCTAATGTTGTATTCACTTTACAATAGGTTTTTAGGTGCTGGTGGCTGTGCCACCTTAAACAAATGGGTATACTTAATTACTGTATAGTATTTGTATCATTTTGTATATTACTGTATGTCAAATTCTAGAAAAACATACAAAACATAGGTCTTGTAGTACAGTTGGCTGTGTTCTCAGCTCACAACTGGGTATCCTGGGTTCAATTCCTGCATGGTACAGAAATAAACAGACATGATTCCTTTTCCCTAATGTGTGTGTTTGCCTAGCAGTAAATATATATGTACCTGGAGTTTTTGTTTAGGCAACTGTTGTGGGGTTGCATCCTATGGAGGGTTCAGTAGTTCGACCTTAGGCAGAACTGTAATACAAGCCTAAAATACATTGGCTTAATGTGACCAACAATAGGAATTACTCTTACTTTAAATTGAGAAAATTTTCTGAAGTCAATGCCATATCAAGAAATAATAACTTAATACAGAAATACAAAAGATTAAATTGCCAAAAGCTGCCATAAATATAGTACTAACTTCAAGGGTCTGATATTTGTTATACCATGTATACAAGAAACACCGAGGGTATGTAACTCAACTTCACGAAATAAGATTGATATGTTTCTTCAAAAGATACTTGATCAGTCAGGGTGTGATTGTAATGTTATCATAAAGCTAGCATAATGCTAACTTGAGGGCTGCAAGCTTTATTAACATCATAATGATAGGGGTAATATACATAAGGCATTAAAGTAACAGTTAAATAACACTAGGCACTTAAATATCAAGGACTACACATTTGCCCAAATTTATATTTGTAATCTTGTATCCAAAAGTACTATACCTGATAAGGAGACAATAATCTGATGTTCAGGTATTACTGCCACCTGAACAATTGGTTTACGGGAGAAATTTTTGTTAGAGCAGAGAAGCGCAACGTCCCAGCGACGGGTGGTGCCAGGTGTCACTGTATACATGAGCAAGTGGCCTTGCCTCGTTCCCACCACCAGATTACCATCTGAAAAATAAATGAAAAGATAGAAAGAAAATCCCCTCATCTACAATTATTTTTATCCTCTAGTTACACACACATGAATAATACAAACGTTTTCACTCACTCTCAATTAGGCTAACCATTTCTTCAATGCTTATTCCATCAATTCCTGTCTCACCTTCAGTGTCACATTAATTCTAAGATGTTGAAAATATGAAATATTCACCTATAAATGTCTCTCATTGTAATTTTGAAACACAAATTTTGGCAACTGTATTTATGTAAAATAAAAACCATAAACCATGGGTGGCTTATATAAACTGAGGCCTCGTTTCTTGATCCAACAGCCTGGTTGATCAGTCCAGCAACCAGGAGGCCTGGTCGACGACCGGGCCGCGGGGACGCTAAGCCCCGGAAGCACCTCAAGGTAACTCGTGGCTGCACCCATCATGGGTCATTCATGGGCACATACAGTATTCAAATTGAAAGCTCATGACGCCCGTCAAAATGGGTTCCTATTCTAACTTAAGGTTCATGACCCCACCGATCATAGGTAACATTGACACTTATCACAATTGTGGGCTATTCCCTCCACCCACCACGGGTGACACAAAGGCACCTGTCCCACCTTTGGGCTTGTCAATTTGCCCATCATGGGTGACTCTGAGGTGCTTCTCCTACTTGTAGGCTCACCATACCCACCATGGGTAACTCATGGGTGCCTTTCCCACTGTGGGATTGTCAATATACCCACCATGGGTAAATCATGGGTGCCTCTCCCACTGTGGGATTGTCAATATACCCACCATGGGTAAATCACTGGTGCCTCTCCCACTGTGGGATTGTCAATATACCCACCATGGGGTAACTCATGGGTGCCTCTCCCACTTGTGGGCTCGTCACTACGCCCACCCTGGGTGACTCAGAGAGGTGCCTCCCACTTGTGCCCATATGCCTTGCTCACCATAAGCAGTGACAGCCTCAATCTGCAGGGGCAGCTTCTCCAGGATGGGGATGGCCTCGTAAGCATCATGCATGCTTCCTGGGAGAAGAAGCTACTTCATAATACACTTAAGACAGCCGAGAGTCCTGGCCTCAGATCCTCTCCTTCCCTTTGTTTACATCAACAGCTGATCTGACGTCATGTGATTCACATTCATTGATGAATTTAAAATATTTCTTATTAATCCATATTTTTTTTATGCATTTTATCATTATATTAAATTTTAATATTCAAAATAAATAATATATTAACATATCACTACGTGATAATGATTCAGAACCCGAAACATTCTCATTTACATTTCTTTTCATGTCTATGGGTTGGGAAAATTATTCCAGACGTATTCTCTGCAGTACTATCTTACACCTGATACATTTGTTCACCTAGTCTTAAATAAGCTCCAAGGAGTTAGGCAACCGTTAATTGTGGGTTGAGAAAGGACAGAAGTGGGGGCTTCGGCCCCCAGTAGTGGGGGGGGGGGGAGTGGGTATAACCCCTACAACCTTATACTCAAATGGCGCATTAGTACCCTGACTACACGCGTGTGTGGTTACAATTATTCAAATTCAAATTTTTATTCGGGTAAAAGTATATACATAATAGTACGAAGCCAATTATGTCACTTGGTAGCAGTCGTACTGTGGTCACAAGTATGTCATCCGTCACAAGTCATTATTCATAATCATTGCGAGCCTCATATAACCAGCGCTTTGGCCTGGGTTCGTTCGTACCCTGGTCGGGGAGGATTGACTGGGCGCCAATCCTTAACTGTAGCCTCTGTTCACCCAACAGTAAAATGGGTACCTGGTTGTTAAACGATTTGGCGGGTCGTATTCCGGGGAAATTAGGATTAAAAACTTGCCCAAAACGCTATGCGTGCTAGTGGCTATACAAAAATATACGTACTCTAGCATATATAAATATAAAATACATAACAATTTGGTCAGGGGACAAGTAACTTGTAACGTACGATTAAGGCTACGTTGTTGAGTAGATTAGATACACAGTATTTAGTGGGTTTTCATATTTATTTAGTAGTCTTGATTAAAGTAGTGTCGTAGACATTGAGACGGAGCTTGGAGCAGAGCAGAGAGCTCAGTGAGCCCAGAGTCGCGGAGCTCTATGAGGGAGAGCGTGGCGGCTCGATGGGGAATGGTAAGTGTCTAAACTTGATGTGGAGCGAGAGCGTCGTAGCTCTCTGTGTTGAAGCTGTATTGTCTTGGGGTCAATTAGAACTGCATACGCCGATGAGTAACATTGAGTAACTGGACCCCGACCAATTGTGTAACCGGACCCCGACCAGTTGTGTAACCGGAGCCCAACCCATTAAGTAACTGGACCCAGACCAGTTGTGTAACTGCAAACCTAGCATGAACGAACCAAACAAAACGTCTGAAGCGCAACCATGCACGAACCGAAGCCCAAATATGCACAACCCGAAGCCCAAGTGACACCCCCGGAGCCCGACCAGTTGTGTAACTGGAGCCCGACCCATTAAGTAACTGGACCCAGACCAGTTGTGTAACTGCAAACCTAGCATGAACGAACCAAACAAAACGTCTGAAGCACAAACATGCACGAACGGAAGCCCAAATATGCACAACCCGAGGCTGAAGTGACACCCCCGGAGCCCGACCAGTTACGTAACCGGAGCCCGACCAGTTGTGTAACCGGAGCCCGACCAGTTATGTAACCGGAGCCCGACCAGTTGTGTAACCGGAGCCCGACCAGTTGTGTAACTGGACCCCGACCAGTTGTGTAATTGAAGCCCGACCAGTTGTGTAACCCAAGCCCGAACAGTTGTGTAAACCTAGCCCCACCAGTTGTGTAACCAGAGCCCGACCAGTTGTGTAACCAGAGCCTGACCAGTTGTGTAACCAGAGCCTAACCAGTTGTGTAACCCTAGCCCCACCAGTTGTGTAACCCTAGCCCCACCAGTTATGTAACCAGAGCCCGACCAGTTGTGTAACCAGAGCCCGACCAGTTGTGTAACTAGAGCCTGACCAGTTGTGTAACCAGAGCCTGACCAGTTGTGTAACCAGAGCCTGACCCTTTAAGTAACTGGACCCAGACCAGTTGTGTAACTGCAAACCTATCATGAACGAACCGAACAAAACGTCTGAAGCACAACCATGCACGAACGAATGCCCAAATATGCACAACCTGAAGCCGAAGTGACACCCCCGGAGCCCGACCAGTTACGTAACCGGAGCCCGACCAGTTGTGTAACCGGAGCCCGACCAGTTATGTAACCGGAGCCCGACCAGTTGTGTAACCGAAGCCCGACCAGTTGTGTAACTGGACCCCGACCAGTTGTGTAATCGAAGCCCGACCAGTTGTGTAACCCAAGCCCGACCAGTTGTGTAACCCGAGCATGACGACTTGTGTAACCCGAGCCCTACTAGTTGTGTAATCCGAGCCCGACCAGTTGTGTAACTGGACCCCGACCAGTTATGTAACCAAAGCCCAACCAGTTGTGTAACCGAAGCCCAACCAGTTGTGTAACCGAAGCCTGACCAGTTGTGTAACTGCAAACCTAGCATGAACGAACCAAACAACACATCTGAAGCACAACCATGCACGAACGGAAGCCCAAATATGCACAACCCGAAGCTCAAGTGACACCCCCGGAGCCCGACCAGTTGTGTAACCGGAGCCCGACCAGTTGTGTAACCGAAGCCCGACCAGTTGTGTAACTGGACCCCGACCAGTTGTGTAATTGAAGCCTGACCCGTTGTGTAACCCGAGCCCTACTAGTTGTGTAATCCGAGCCCGACCAGTTATGTAACCAAAGCCCAACCAGTTAAGTAACCGAAGCCCAACCAGTTGTGTAACCGAAGCCTGACCAGTTGTGTAACTGCAAGCCAAGCATGAACGAACCAAACAAGCAACATCTGAAGCACAACCCATTCATGAACCGAAGCCCGACCATGCACAACCCGAAGCCCAAGTGACACCCCCGGAGCCCGACCAGTTGTTTAACCGGAGCCCGACCAGTTGTGTAACCGGAGCCCGAGCAGTTGTGTAACCGGAGCCCGACCCATTAAGTAACTGGACCCAGACCAGTTGTGTAACTGCAAACCTAGCATGAACGAACCAAACAACACGTCTGAAGCACAACCATGCACGAACGGAAGCCCAAATATGCACAACCCGAAGCTCAAGTGACACCCCCGGAGCCCGACCAGTTGTGTAACCGGAGCCCGACCAGTTGTGTAACCGAAGCCCGACCAGTTGTGTAACTGGACCCCGACCAGTTGTGTAATTGAAGCCTGACCAGTTGTGTAACCCGAGCCCAAACAGTTGTGTAACCCTAGCCCCACCAGTTGTGTAACCAGAGCCCGACCAGTTGTGTAACCAGAGCCTGACCAGTTGTGTAACCCGAGCCCAACCAGTTGTGTAACCCTAGCCCCACCAGTTGTGTAACCAGAGCCCGACCAGTTGTGTAACCAGAGCCCGACCAGTTGTGTAACTGAAGCCCTACCAGTTGTGTAACCGGAGCCCGACTCATTAAGTAACTGGACCCAGACCAGTTGTGTAACTGCAAACCTATCATGAACGAACCGAACAAAACGTCTGAAGCACAACCATGCACGAACGGAAGCCCAAATATGCACAACCCGAAGCTGAAGTGACACCCCCGGAGCCCGACCAGTTACGTAACCGGAGCCCGACCAGTTGTCTAACCGGAGCCCGACCAGTTATGTAACCGGAGCCCGACCAGTTGTGTAACCGAAGCCCGACCAGTTGTGTAACTGGACCCCGACCAGTTGTGTAATCGAAGCCCGACCAGTTGTGTAATCAAAGCCCGACCAGTTGTGTAACCCAAGCCCGACCAGTTGTGTAACCCGAGCATGACGAGTTGTGTAACCCGAGCCCGACCAGTTGTGTAACCCGAGCCCTACTAGTTGTGTAATCCGAGCCCGACCAGTTGTGTAACTGGACCCCGACCAGTTATGTAACCAAAGCCCAACCAGTTGTGTAACCGAAGCCTGACCAGTTGTGTAACTGCAAGCCAAGCATGAACGAACCAAACAAGCAACATCTGAAGAACAACCCATTCATGAACCGAAGCCCGACCATGCACAACCCGAAGCCCAAGTGACACCCCCGGAGCCCGACCAGTTGTTTAACCGGAGCCCGACCAGTTGTGTAACCGGAGCCCGACCAGTTGTGTAACCGGAGCCTGACCCATTAAGTAACTGGACCCAGACCAGTTGTGTAACTGCAAACCTAGCATGAACGAACCAAACACGTCTGAAGCACAACCATGCACGAACGGAAGCCCAAATATGCACAACCCGAAGCTCAAGTGACACCCCCGGAGCCCGACCAGTTGTGTAACCGGAGCCCGACCAGTTGTGTAACCGAAGCCCGACCAGTTGTGTAACTGGACCCCGACCAGTTGTGTAATTGAAGCCTGACTAGTTGTGTAACCCGAGCCCTACTAGTTGTGTAATCCGAGCCCGACCAGTTGTGTAACTGGACCCCGACCAGTTATGTAACCAAAGCCCAACCAGTTGTGTAACCGAAGCCCAACCAGTTGTGTAACCGAAGCCTGACCAGTTGTGTAACTGCAAGCCAAGCATGAACGAACCAAACAAGCAACATCTGAAGCACAACCCATTCATGAACCGAAGCCCGACCATGCACAACCCGAAGCCCAAGTGACACCCCCGGAGCCCGACCAGTTGTTTAACCGGAGCCCGACCAGTTGTGTAACCGGAGCCCGAGCAGTTGTGTAACCGGAGCCCGACCCATTAAGTAACTGGACCCAGACCAGTTGTGTAACTGCAAACCTAGCATGAACGAACCAAACAACACGTCTGAAGCACAACCATGCACGAACGGAAGCCCAAATATGCACAACCCGAAGCTCAAGTGAAACCCCTGGAGCCCGACCAGTTGTGTAACCGGAGCCCGACCAGTTGTGTAACCGAAGCCCAACCAGTTGTGTAACTGGACCCCGACCAGTTGTGTAATTGAAGCCTGACCATTTGTGTAACCCGAGCCCGAACAGTTGTGTAACCCTAGCCCCACCAGTTGTGTAACCAGAGCTCGACCAGTTGTGTAACCAGAGCCTGACCAGTTGTGTAACCCGAGCCCAACCAGTTGTGTAACCCTAGCC